GTGCCTTGGCATGGGCTGAATTTAGTTTTCCTTTTCTTTTTGAAATTCCGATTGCGATCTATTTACCTACACATAAAATTGTAGGTAAATTCACATGTAGCTGAAAATTATGTAAACAAAAAAGAAAAATTATGCGAAACAAGCATACTCTTACATATCGGATATGACAATGATATGTATATTCGTGTTGGGTAAGATGGAGGTCCCTCTTTCGCGCGGGCTTATCGATAAGTACATATGATTTCTAGCAAAAAAGAAAGAAAGATAAGTGCATATGATGCTGATCGACAAAAAATATTCGTGGCAAAGGAATAAAAAAGGCAAGAAATGAGAAAATAATAAAAAATAATTAGCAGACGGGCATCGACCGTCGATTAATAATCCCTATTCGACTTGATTAGAATATTAGTTTTAGGTTTAGGAATTCCGAGTCGATTTTTCGTTCTAGGCAAAAGATTGAGAAGACGATTGCACGTTCGTACATAAAACAACACCATGACATCAACTTGATACGTTCGAGTTGATTATTAAAGGAAAAAAGAGAGATTACAATAGATTAGTATTTAGTAATTTAGCATGTGAGATTCCATCTTAATCACAAATCGACCTAACCATACATATATTACTTTATGAAGGTCATCCGATACATCATCGCATCAATAATAAAGCCTTTGACCTTCGTATTCGTTCGCCAAATCTTGTTCAGTTCCGTTTGAGAGTTCGATCATTCCTTTCGTGCCGAATTATTTAAGGGGTTTGTGTGATCATTCCTTACGCAAGCAGTTGAAGAACAAGTAAAAACCCCAATGGAGTGTACGCTAATAAGGGCTGCTAGACAACAATGATTTTGCGTGGTTATTTTATACACATGTTGTGCTTAACTGGCGTTGCACAGGTACGTTGTTGTCTTGTGTGAAGTAGACGTTTGGTGTTCTTCTCCAGATTATGACTTGCCTTAAGAGATCAGCCGTCGGCCGTAGACATGGCCACGGGCCGGTTTTGGCCCGGAACCGGCCCGTGGCCTACGGGCCCGGTTCCGGTTCCAAAAAAAAAAAAAACTACTGCTACAGGCTCGCTGCAACAATTCCTCCTCTCCAGAATCTTCCCCTCCTCCTCCGCCGCCGTAACCCATGGCCCACGCGCTCCCCCTACAAACCAGCAACATTGCCAACACCGTCGCCGCACCGGCGGCGGCGGCAGCGCACAAGGGCAAGACTGTGGAAGAGACCTACCAGAAGAAGTCCCAGCTCGAGCACATCCTCCTCCGCCCTGACACCTACATCGGGCTCCGTCGAGAAGCACACCCAGTCGCTGTGGATCTACGAGGGCGACGAGGTGGTCCGCCGCCCCGTCGCCTACGTCCCCGACCTCTACAAGATCTTCGACGAGATCCTCGTCAACGCCGCCGACAACAAGCAGCAGGAGCCTGCAGCCCCATGTTCCAACCCCACTCACGCCCACCTTCTCTAGTCCTCCTCCAAATCCCTCCTTCCCTCCTCTCCCCTGCGCCTCCTCCGGTCCTCCCCTTTTCTCCTCCGCCCGCCCCTCGTCTTCCCAGATCTGGACCTCGCCGCCGTTGCCCCCGCCCATGGCCGCAGCCCGCCGACGCCGACGCCCCTCCTCCTCCCCTCGCTACCCCCGTGCCTCCTCCCCTTTTCTCCTCCTCCCTCTCGAACCGAACCGGCCGGAACCGAACCGCCCGAACGCCTGAACCGAATCATAGTCATACATGGCCACGAACCGGAACCGGCGGTTCCTGAACCGTGGCCATGTCTAGTCGGCCGCTTTCCTAATCTCTGATTAATTAACTTGTCGATTTCATCTGCCATCACAACTCGATCTGGCTCTCTCTCTCTCTCTCTCTCTCTCTCTCTCTCTCTCTCTCTCTCTCTCTCTCTCTCTCTCTCTCTCTCTCTCTCTCTCTCTCTCTCTCTCTCTCTCTCTCTCTCTCTCTCTCTCTCCTTATTATGAAACTCGTATTCAATAATCTATTAATTTAATACATAATCATAGCCATGTACGTAGCTCTACGGTCTACGGTCTCCATTAATAGTAGATGCATTAACTTTTGATTGAAGATAAGAGCTACATGAAAAGAATTTGGGATCATTTGATTGGTCCGAAAGCGAGGATTTTCTTGATTGTCGCCCACAAAAATATGAACTTTTTTTTTGCTTGTGCGTGCTTCTCAACAGGAATAGTATAGTTGCTCGATCAATCCTCTGCATAATATGTAGATTTATTTGGGATAAGTGCATCGGAAGTCCTAAAACTTATCACGAAAGTGCAATTGAGTTCCGAAACTTTTAAAAAGCTCAATGAAATCCTAAAACTTATCACGAAAGTGTAATCGAATCCTAAAATTTTCAAAAAGTGCAATCAATGGAAAGGCTTGATTGGACTAATTTGATAAGTTTTAGGACTTGATTGCACTTTTTGAAAGTTTTAGGACTCAATTCCACTTTCGTAATAAGTTTTAGAACTTCTAATGCATTTCTCCTATTTATTTAATATAAATAAGTCTTGCATTGATAAATTTCGTTTGATTTCGCGGCCTTTGTCTGTGAGAACTAGAAAACCTTGTCTGGCCCAGGAAGTATATAGAGCCTAGAAGGAGTGGAACACAAACTACCATAATTATCATGGAATCATTTTTGGACCAGTTTGAAATTTTTCATAATAATGTTGGCTAGGTTGTCGTAAAGGGCCATGAAGTCGCCTCAGGTAGGTAGTCTTGGAGTTTTGCCTTTAATCCATGCCAAACTCGCTCTCCACGCAACTAAAATTAGGGTTGTCAAAGAATATTCGCCACATATTCAGGGAATCTCTACAAATGAGGGGGAAAGCGTTTCGATTCAAATATTGGGTTTTAGGCGTTTTTGATTGAGCAAATATCGGTACAATTGGTTAGATGCCGGCCGACATATGAGAGCTAGTAGCGGCTGTCGTCACTCTTATATTTGGTGCTTGGTGTAATTTTCAGTATGTAATACATGACGCTCGCATTAGCATATTTGAAAAGTTCGGATATTGCAACCTTTTTTGAAAAAATTCTTGCTCCGCCATTAGTTACCTAGAGTGAAGCGCATCATTCATTTTCTGCCGTTTGGTATTGAGAATATGTCTCGAGTTTGAGTAAATTTTCCACTTTGAGTTGATTTCTTAAAGGGGGTTTTCTACTCTGATATTGGATACAGTAGAGCAAACAAGAGGAGTATTAGGTTTTATCTGAGTTTTCTAAGTGAGTTCTTTGTAAAAGATTGTGAGATGACACTTGTAAGTTTGCTTTGGGTGTAATCTAGAGCTAGGAAACACTTGAGTAATTGAGCGATTGTAAAATTCTCTGAATTCATAGTGGATTACTTGCGACTGGCTCTTTCCGTGGAATATCTACCGACACTCTAACTGAATCACATAAATCTCAGGTGTTCGTTATCGTTCTTTGTTAATTTCTCTGGTAATTTCATTCTCTCTCCTTCAACTTTAATCGCAAGATCCATTAACTTCTGTGTGAAATTTTTCATAACAATTGGTATCGGAGCTAAGGTTAGGGTTTCTGGAGTTGATTTGGGGCTTTTATTTGTTTGATCACTCTTTGGATATTTTGATGCTGCAATTATGTCCAGAACGAAAGTAGAGAGTGAGAAGTTCAATGTGAGGAACAACTTTGGGTTGTACAACATTAAGATGCGTACCCTACTAACAACCTTAGGTTTGGCGAAGGCATCATATGGCAAGGATAAATGGCCAGAAACTATGAAAGAGGCCAATAAGATAGAGTTGATGGAGAAGGCGAAAAGCATAATCCTATTGATTTTATCGAATGAGGTATTTTTAAAGTGGCCGAAAAGAAGAATGCCGCACCATTGTGGGAAAAACTTCAAGTACTTTATCTAATGAAGGGTTTGAACAATCGCTTGTATTTGCTGAAAAGAATGGTTCAATCCCGGATAGTTGAAAGTACATTCATCAACCCATTTAGATGAGTTTAACAAACTCATGATGGACTTAAAGAACGTCAATGAGGCCTTGCCTAATGAAAAACAAAATATGATGTTGTTGGCGTTTCTACCGGATTCTTTTGAACACTTTACTAATACAGTGCTACAAGAGCACACTATGATTACATTGAAAAAGGTGAAGTCTGCTTTATTTTATGAGGAATGGCAAAAGAAGTTACGAAAGGATAACTTAGTGCAGGATATGGCGCAAGATTTGGTTATCTAGGGTAGAGATGCACGGTCTTGATATTAACCCAATTTTTAAACCATAGTGGAAAAGCCATATTGATTGTTATTAGCAGTAAATACTCTTTTTTTCGAAATGAAAATTATCTAACCATCGTTTTTACTTACTATTATAAATACTCAACCACCAAGAGGTTGAAAGCCCACATATTTCATAACACTAGAGAGTGTTTGTCACAAGAGAATCTAGCTTGCATAATATTTTCAGGTGATGGAATTTGAACTTTGCTTTTGGGTACAATATATAGTTAGAGAAATCAGTTCAGAGACTTTTTACTATGAATTTCTTCCACTTTTATGTCGCCTCACTTTCCTATGAAAAAATCGTAACTCTAGTTTCTTCTATCATATGGTCATATTTGTTAAAATAATAATATGGTGGCCACACTCTGCAAATGTCATTTTAGCTTCGTTTGTTCATTTCATACTGAATTAGAGTTCACATTACGAATAACCATGCGTATATGACACTGAATTGCTCCTGAATTTGAATTATTTTCCTTTTGGGATTATTAGGAATAATGCTGTATGTACAATGGTGATCAATTTCCTTACCATTTAAGCTTTTAAGGGAAAAAAATTCTTTTGTCCAACATAATGGTCTAAATTATGACACTCTGCGTCATATTTATTATTCGTGTTATTCTTGTTGTTCCGTAGGAATTCCCTATCAGATCGTCTAATTAACGTGCGAAGCCTGACTTAAAACTATGCGAGTAATTGCTCTTTAGGTACAATAACCTGCCAACAAAGGAAACAATGACGCTATCAAGGCATGCTCAACAGAGATTTAAGGCGTACTCTCACTCTCTAATGCAAAGCAGCAATCAAGTTAATATGATTAGATAGAAGGAGAAGTGAAAAAAGAGCAGCCTGTTTGAGAATCAAACTCTCTCTTGTACTCACTTTGGCAGTCTCCTGGGGCACAGGAGAGATCATCCTCGTGACTAATTTATCAGACATACACATTATCTTTTTAGTCCTTGAAGTTCCTGAAATTTTTTACCTACACGTTGCAGGATGCCTCTCTTCCGTGTATCCACTCAAACCCTTCTGAACTCAAAAGCTCAAAAGACACGCGAAGCTTTGAGTGCTCCCATGATTGATAATATATGTGACCACCCTTATGCACCGATTAGTCGATGAAAATGGCCAACTAAAGACTTGACGACGGCTGCTTCTTATTCTGCTTTCTGCTTTGAGATTTTACCTAGCAACGACAACTGGTATTTGGCAGATGCTCAGAGGCATCATCCGGTGCTATATAACATCGATCCGACATGTGTTGACGCCTTAATGATGGAATGGGGTCATACTTCTGAATCGTGAGACTCAGAACTCAATATGAAACTGGGAAATGCCAACGTTATATCCCTGCAAAAGGTGCAAAAGAAAGAGTTGTAGCATATCACTTTTGCAGAGTAATCCCATTGACAATGCGCAGCCCGACATGACCAGAGACATGTTTAGTAGACAGTTTCCGGGTTATCTTTTTTTTTTTTACAGGGGGTTTAAATTTTGAAGTAGAGAGGCTGTTCCTCGCATTGATGTGACCTATTAAGTTAATCTCGATCGGGTTTACGTACTTTAGGTATGGAAGAGTCATGTTTCTTATCAGAGAAGGATTCTTCAACACAAAGTCCGTCCACTCTTCCTGATCAATCCTTCCGTCATCTTTTGTGTCTGCTTCACTAAATGCCTGTCAATTGAACGACCAGTTTCAGAATGATTGAAGTACCGAGCCGATGATAGTGACACGTGAAAGTTGAGTACTGCACCTTATCCACGATCGTTTCCACAACATCCTCCGAGAGTGCCAAATCCGATTCATGAAGAAGTGCCAATACCATTTCCTTCAACTGTAAATTAAAACCACGACAAAAGAAATTAAGAACAATTTGAGCATATACATCGAGATGTCCATGCAACAGCAGAAAAAAGGAGATACCGTCCTCACCTCCTCTCGCTCAATATATCCAGTGTGCCTCAAGTCATACAACCTGTAAGCAACTGTGGAAAAGTCTCACGACTCAGATATCATTTAGCTACTCATGTGAACATTATGTTCCAGCATGAAAAAGTAAGTCAAATCGAATTTTAGTGAAAATTAAAAGAGGAAAAATTGCATAATGGGAACAAAAGAAAAAAGAAAAGGAGATACATCTGAATTTTTCTTACATGCAATCTTGTCTTCTATTGGTGCATTCGGGTGAAAGATGCCAAGTGATCTCACGAATTCACCAAACTCAATGACCCCATTTCCCTTCATATCGAACAAATCAAATATCTGCAATATATGATACGCATGGTTCATGTATCGGCAGGACAAAGAAAAGGCGTCACTCTAGTGAACGAGCAAAATGACAAAAAGTTGAGTGGCACTTTGTAAGATCAAAAATATTTGGCATCCCATGTCTTTTTATCTAAGTGGGACGATTAACTGTATTAGATTAAACAACATGAGTGAAAAGATCTCCATCGAATCGAAGTGAGCCTATGTTACATACCCTGTCGGCAAAAAGATTTCTCTGATTTCTGTTCCGGAAAAGTGCGAGCTGAAACTCTTCCTGCTCAAAATACAGCATAAACAGCAAGTTTAAGTAGCAGAAACAAGTGCCCAATTAACCTTATCAGTGTCTTGTCATCATGCAAGACCAGACTAGAAGAAGACAACCCAGCGAATGACAACTGATAGGCAAAAGTGAATAGATTTCATTCAAGTATCAAATGTGGGTTTGAAGCATACCTTGTGAATAAGCCCGTCGGCAATAATTGAACTGCTTAATTTCTTGAAGAGCACGTATAAGGCCTCGACTTCGCTTGCAGTAACTGCATTTAAGAAACATAAATGGTCAAAGTGATGAAGGCAGGTAGCATCACAGTTAATTTACCAGGACTTTATTGAAGAGCTTATAAATAATACTATCTCCATCAGTCCCTGATGAAGTAATTCTGAATGTACACAAAAGGAGCGTATGACAATGCTCTATTGGATGAACGAGCGCTCGAGAATAGACAGGTTAGAAATGAATTTGGGAAAAAAGTCCGGGTTACACTAAAGCTTCATGAGAACAATCTAAAGGGAAGTATATGCAGAAACTTAACATCTAAAGGATTGGCGCTTACAAGGTGTTGCAGCAGCAAGAACGCTAGGCTCTTCATATCCTGGTGTTTGCTCAGAATTCTTCGAAATAATGCAACCCATGACAATTACTTACCTTGTGCTTTTCCCAGATATATCTGCCAGGTAGAAACAAGGAAACTGTACAGCAACACCTGCCAATGCCAGTTCACAGGAGAATAAGACGCTGCAAAATGCTGATTCAGCTCAATTTGGAGATCGAAAGATTTTCTTTTACTGCTTAGACTTTCAGTGCACACAATCGCTCTTCTTAGACCAAAAAGAGATCGCGCCTACTGGCGCCATGGCTTTCATTGTCAACACTGTGAAACTAGAGTCAAGAACCTGCATGCCACACCAAATTCGAGAACGGAGGTTTTCCACTCTGGGTAGGCATAAATTGTACTACTCGGACTCCAACCCGGTGTCTGGTATGCTTAGTCATCTATGTTTTGTGATATCTGACACGTAGACTTGTTATGTGGATGTGCAAAATTTGAGTGCTAGAACTGGGTCATAGGAGAACATAGAATCAATATGCATTGTTGCTCTTGGTAAGCAGAATATAAGTAAAGGTTCAAAATTTTGTATGACATTGAATCATCATACCTCGAATTTCAGATAATCTTTCTTCGACCTCGTTATGGTGATTCTGACTGTAGCGGGTCTGCCATGAGACACAAACTTAGCAAATTTTGAGCTCAATATGAAGTTTCCCCATACCCGCACCCATACCCATTTCTTATCCTGTGTATATGGGTCGCTTTAATAGACGAGTCGGAGAAAGACTCTAGGGACACATAAAGATAAAAAAAAAAAAGAGAGAAAAGAAATTGTCAAAAGAGCATTGTTGCTTTGATTCGTTTGCTGATAAGTACTTGAGTGTTCGCTATCATGTATTCACCGTTGGTAGCAAACACCCGCATCAGTAAATCACCAAATTAAAGGTCAAGAGCACCTATCTGCCTAAAACATCTGGGTTAGAGAAACTATGAGTCTTTGAAGATGAGACATGAGTATCAGGTTTTTTTTTTTAAAGCAGAACCATGACCACAGAAACTGTGGAAGCTGGCAAAATAAGCTGTTTTCCTCAACACTATGGCCAAATAGAGTTAACCAAAAGCAAAGGAACCTTGATTTCAAAAGCGAGATATCCTTGATGCAGACAGTTTCAGGTCAATTTACTTGAGAAATGTACAAAAAGTACAACGCAAGTGGCTCAAGAATAATGTACAAAAACTGAAACATCAACATGGAACTGACCGTCTTAAAATATCAAGATTCCGACATATATATCCAGTAAAGAAAACTATTTGGGCCCCGAGGCTGAGAGAAGCAGCTATGCACAAAATGAGCACATAAGTGATTTCACAATCACAATTTTTACAAATAGTGTACTACAGACAAGAATATTCAAGAAATAGAAACTTCAAAACTCAGCCGAGGAATCAATATGAACCGTAAACTAAAAACTGTCTCGTGAGGTAGAAATTCATTCAAAGAAATCCCATCTTTTAGTTATCCATTAAACAGTCGACGAGGGATAAAAATATCCTTCAAACTGTTTTCTCAGTGGACCACAAACCCAATACGCAAAGGCAGATTTCTTGAGCTACTTCAGCAGATTTTTCGTTTCTTGAAAGGGCAGGTCAATTTAAAGGTATGACTTTTGGAGGCTTCCTGGTAACGATGAGAAAGACTGCTTACTCGAATCAAATTCCCAAGAAAAAGAATAAACTCTTATAAAACCTTTTTCTTAAACGAAAATGAAGGGTAACTTCACACCGTTATACTATCAAATTTATTTAATCATCCTTTCCATTTACGACCAGTTAAGCAAATAAAGATCAAGAAATTTACCCAAAGAGGGACCACAAGAGAATGAACAAGAGAAGGAACTTTGCCCTGCATTTGCATCGAGGAGACCCGATGAAAACATAAACAAGGTGCATGCAAGCTTTTGATTTGCATGCGAGCTTTTAAATCTTCCTGTTGTTTTTCTAAGGCAAAATCCAGAATCGATGGGAAATTGCAAGATTTTGCCGATGGTCTCTGCATTTTCTCAGAAAACCAAACAGAGCATTGGCAAAAGGAAGCAAGAAGAATCAGAGTAAGAAAACAGGGCAAGTCCTTCAAGCGGGTGGAAAACATCACAACCCCATCAAAGACTCAAAGCAGAGAGGCAGATAGAGAGAAAGAGAGAGAGAGAGAGAGTCGTGGACTAACCAGAAATCAGTGACGGAGGGAAGGAAGATACTTGGATTCTTGACAGATTCTTTCTCGCGCTCTGTTTTATCTACTGAATCAGGCGCTCTGCATTTGGCTTTGGAACTTCTCTGAGAACATAGAGCAGCTTTTCTTGTTTCTTGGGTCTCTCTCCCCCTCTGTCTTCCGTCACGAGAATCTGTTGAGCTTGCGACTCCGCTTTCCGACTGCCAAATTGGGGTGCGTTATTTGTGAATTCCCGGGGCGTGACGTCGATGAAGAGCTCAAAGTTCAAACCTCTCCTCTTCCTCCGCTTTGCCTTTGTCATGTGTGGACGACTTTATTGCGTGGTTTTCTGTGTTAAATCTGTTTGGACTTACTTGGGATCCCCTCTGTCAATAGTAATTTCACAAATCTCCTATAAAGGAATCTTAATTTATTGTTATATAAACCAAAATCTCTCTCTTTGAATTTATACGATCAATCTTCGTATTAGTCATTATTACTAACACCGTCAAATTGCTAATGTTGGGAGCATGTAGCAGAAACCTAATATCTTAACTTGGAAAATCGCCAAGAATGAGCTCAAGTCCAAGCACACTGGTTGATTCGTGGAACCCCTTGCCGAGGAAGAGACCTTCCCCGGTTTTTTGAAAACTTTCTGCATGTCCCTCCTCCCTTTCTTGATCGGCCAAGAGGGTAATTATAACCTCCATTAGGATGAGTTTGAATTAAAAGCAAGGATTATCTTATAGGAGTTTGATCGATTTCGGAAACGTCTAAAAAATTTGAAAGAGCTTCAATCATTATCGTTTACGCAAATTGAGCTGATCAAAACCCGTTTGAAATAGCGCATATAGGATAAAATATCATTCAAACGACCAGTCCCCTCCTTGTAGATAAAATATGGTTTGAAACGATTCAAAAGCAAATAGGAATAAAATTGAATGGATAACTATTGAATCGAGTAATCACTGGAGATCAAATCTCATCGATAAGGAATTGAGTGTGGAGTTTAAACCCCCCCTAAGGATATGACCGGCCATGGCTCTCGATTGCCCGCGCGATGATACTTGATAACATCGTGTTAAGATCATGTGACTTGCATGTCATGCATGACTTCAATAAAATGCGAACGTGAACTATGCTAATGGAATTTTTGTTTAGAGGTCGGGGTCGATCCCTAATTTTCTTATGTAATAAATGACTAAGGAAAATAGCCAAAATTTAAGTGTCAACAGTAAGTGATATAAGCGATCATTTTTATGAAAAATGTTTTTTAAATTATTCATTTTTCGCGAAACAAATGCACTCTTTAAGGAAAAAATTGAAGAAAACCTAGAGGGAAGAGAGGGAGAGAGAGAGACGAGGCAGCTGAATTTATTTAGTGCCATATCAACGCAAGATGTTCGTCATGTATCACGTCAATCATTTTGACAGTGTCGGTAACGGCTTACAAAAAAAATCAGATGACCAAATCTCACAATTAGTAAATTTAGAAGATTAAAGTTGTCCTTGACCCAAGACTCCGTCCATTTCACAGAAAATAACTTTCAGGAAAACGTTTTCCGGATTTTCCGCCGTTCTGTTCATGAAAAATAAACTAGTCAAAGAAAACATTTTTCGTCAATGGAAAAAACACCTTCAAAAGTGGGGAAAATATTTTCACTTTTCAAAAAGCGGAAAACATTTTCCATCCTCTTTCTTTTGCCTCTACACCAAGCACTTTCTTTCACCAAACACCTTTTCCTTTTTTTTAAATCGAGTTTTTAATTATTTTAATTATTTTCTTTTATTTTCTTTTGTTTCTTTTTCTTTTTACTTCTTCCTTGGCCGGTCGCGGGCGACCGACCAGAGGTGAGCTCAAGCCCCAAGCTTGCCCGACCAACCTTGGGCAAGCTTAGGCCTCGCCAGATTTGGCGAGCTGGGCGGGGCTCGAGGTCGCCAGAGCCTCGCTGACCTCTAGTGATCTCAAGCGGGGCGACCTCAAGCGGGGCTCGAGCTCACTTGTGGCCGGCTGAGGAAGAAGCAAAACGAAAAGGAAAGAAAGGAAAAAAATAGATGAGAAAAGAAAAGAAAAAGAAAAATAATTAAAAATTCAAATTTATTGATATTTTCTTCGAAAAATCAAATCAAATACCAAACGGCAAAAAATATTTTCTAGTTTATTTTTAGATTTCAGCCGAACATCGGAAAATACCGTTATTTTCTTAAGAAATGGCTTCTTGGAAAATATTTTCTAGAAACATCACATTTTCCGCGAAACGAACGGAGCCCAAATTTATAATTAGCGGTTGCGAAAAATTTTTGAAGGGTCAAGCTTAGAAATGTTCTTGCAAACTGGGTGTTGGGTGGGTTTGGCTTATTGTCCTTAACATGTAGTAGTAGATATAAGTGCAAGACAATTTTGATCCAATGTTTCTTAGATTCCGTTTGTTTCGATTATGAATGATTTGTAAAATATTTTTCTAAAATCGATTGCTTGTATCACTTAAAAAAAATGAATGAACGAAAAATATTATCATCGTCAACGAAAATATTTAGAGATGAGTTGTTGTCGATAACGAAAATATTTTTCACTATCTAATTAATTAAAGCGATACAAGCGATCATTTTTAAGAAAATATTTTTCAAATTATTCATTTTTCGCGAAACAAACGGAACCTAACGTGCAAAAACTTACGTTTGGTCGTCCTGACTTTGCTTCTCAATTAACCTAGTCCATGAGGCTAGTTCATAATTTAATCAATTTGGAGGTTAGCAATCGAAGAATAGTTGTTTTTCTCCTCCCGAGGTTTGAGAAAAGTTTCCACGATTGTGCCTTTGAGCGGTGCATTACAAAGTCGACATCGCTCGCTTTCAATTTTAATTACTTTGCATGTGAGTGATGTCAACAACTTATAAAATATGGGTTAAAGACATAGGCGGAGGAAATTTCCTCCAATCAGAGATAGAAGAAAATGTTTTATTAAAAAAATTAAGGGCTAATACCACGAAAAATCCTAAACGGGTACATTCGTGACAAATACACCACATGAAGAAGTTGATTTTTTGAGAATGAGGTTACTCAGTCAACATTAACTCTATTTATTTTCATAAAAGTTAGTGTATCTAATTGTAAATCAAGAAATGTAGGGAGTTTTCTTCTTCTTCTCTTCTTTTTTAGAAATAACTCGTTTTGAAAAGGCAAAGTTTGATCCCCTGATAATCCTAATAATATTTTGCATGGACATCAAATTTGTCTTTCTTGTTTATTCATGCGTGTTAACACAAGGGTCATGTTAAGCAGTGTCTTGAAGGACTCTCTAAAGATACTTATTATGAAAGGGTTTAGTTTTCAAATCATGAATCAAACATATTTCGAAAAATCCACTAAATTCAAAATTGCTACTTTTCATATGCAATTACTTGACGAATGTCTCGAAAGAAATCTCCATCACAACATTCTATGCAAAATGCCATTTGTCAGCATACACCAATTGGTCTTATAGAACACTATTTCAATCCAGATCACGTTCGATCCTTTCGATCTCGAGCTAATCATTTTGTCACGATTTTACACTTTCGTGGCGATTTTTGCATGGAGCATCGTTCACTTGTTGTGACCATTCGAGCTTCTTTCTTTTCCTTTTTTTATAATGGAGCTTGATGTGACATTTCATCGAACTGTCACTACATCGTTTTTGTTTCTCCAGTGATGTTATGTGTTGCTAAGGAGGGAGCGGTTGCAAGTGAATGAAAGGGAATCGTCAGTGGATCGAAATGTGTTTTAACGCATGGAGTGCACGCCACTGTCGCAAAGTCAACCTCCTTGGCTTGTCCTTTTATCCTGGCTTCAAATCAAAAGAAAAAAGAAATGATCACTTTTGCTTTTCCTTAATTTTGAAAAGTGGAAAAATTGATTTGCATATCATAGAATGATAAAGAAAAATATCTGAGTGTCCATGTATAAATGTCTGTTTATTTCGAAATGTTTTCGAGTCTTTGATATATTTCAAGTTTCGAGGAGAAGAAAAAAATATAGAGAAAAGAAAAGGCGAAAATAGAAAAAAAGAAAAAGAGGAAGCACACGGAAAACTCAAGAGGGGAAAAGCAATATTCGAAAAATGATTGGTTATATGCTTTGAAAAATCAGTCAGTGGAAGATATTTTCATTGTCCACATAATTTATGTTTAACTCTTTTCGTGGGTGATGAAAATATTTTTCATTCGTTCATTTTTGTAATATATACTAGCGAGAATTTTTCGGGAAAATGCTTTTCAAATCTAGAATTTTCCGTTAAATAAATACACCCCCAAATGTGAATTTAAAAAAGATAGATCGGATTTGTGTGTGTGTGGGTTTTATTTTCCACTTTTGACTTTTTCTTCAACTTTATACCTCGAAACTTTTCAAATTTGACTCGGACTTAATTTTAAGTACCTCAAATTTTTGGGTATTCAGTATCGAAGTACCTCAAAATGTTATAAATACACAGACAATAATATTAAAATTCATTATAATTTTTTCCATGATATTTTAAAAACAAAATTTCACTGCAAACAAAAATTCACAAGGAGCTTTTTGGTTCGGGCAAACAGGCCTTGATTATCCCCCGTAAAAAGGTTCGAGAAAAAGATGTTTCAACTTTTGGAAAGTATGAAAAAGGCACTAGTGATTTTTTAGACGTTATTTATTTTATATGTTAAATAAAGAGGCAGTAGTGAATTTTTAGATGTTATTTATTTTATTATCTTAAATATCTCGAAGGGGGTGAACATTATCAAAATATAATAATATCGAACCTTTGATCGTTTACGAAAAAGCCAAAAGAGAAAAAAAAAAATAAAGGGGACATGGTCACGCCAATCAGTTTTCCTTTCCTTTATAAGATTCTGATTACGATCAATGTACCCGCGTATCAAACCGTCGGTGGATTTGCATGTGAATAAAGCTGAAAATTACGTTTTAAAGGAAAGGAAAAATCCTGTCAAACAAGCATATTCTCTTATATATCTGATATGACAATGCTTAGGAGAATTAGTGTTGGGTTTGGGAATTCCGAATCGATTTCCCGCTCTAGCAAAAGAAGATCGAGAAGACGGGTGCGTGCTCATGCATGGAATAATAGAGGTGAGCATGATTTCGAGGTAATTAAAATCGGGAACCTGGAACTGGACCGGTGAAGATCGAGAAGACGAGTGGGCACCGTGCATATGATAATAGAGGTGAGTATGGTTCTAGGATAGAACTGGAAATGGGAGGACCCGACCGGTGGGAATCGTTCCGATTCTAGGTTTTGGTGAGATTTCGGTTCGGTTCCCGATCCCATATTTTTTGGAACCTCTACTATGCGGGAACCAACTTGAACCGGATGTTAGGATTCGGCACACAATCACTTTGCTATTTCACTATAACTAACACATTGCACTTCTGTATTACATCTCTCAATTACAAGAAAATGATAATATATAAAAGCAACTGTAGATATTCATGGGCGCAGCCCAAACTACCAATAAAATGCATGCTCAAAATATAAAAACCCTTTGACTTTGCGGGGACGTTGTCCCCTACGACCCCTGCCAAGGAAGCCCCCAAACACCCACCCGGTGAGACCCCCATGCCTTCCTATCAGAGGGGAATATAAACCACACGCCAACACCAAATCGAGAATCGGACCGGGAATTGGACCACCTACAAAACCCTAAAATAGAAATTGACATATATTGTACGATATTGGGGGAAAAGTACAAAAAAAGTCATAAACTTATTGCATTTATACCAATTCAATCATAAACCTTTTCATATTGGTACCAATTCAGTTCATCCGGTCAATTAAGGCTAGAAATCGCTGACATGAACACTAGCCGATCTACGTGGCACGGCCGGCACTAACGTGAACAATCTTTAATAATTTTTTTGAATTGTCTAATATTTTTTTTCCCTTTTTCCTTTATTTTTTTTCTTCCTTCTCTTTTTGGCGACCGACCACAGGGGAGAGTCGCTCTCGCCGATGAGGGCGAGGGCTGGACCCTCGTGGCCTGGGCGAGGGTGGCCCTCCCCCATGCCGCGAGCCGTGAGGTCGACCCTCCGTTGTGGTCGGCGAGGGCGTCGGCCCAAGCTAGGAGAAGGAAGGAAAAAAAGAAAAAAAAAACATTAACAATTCAAAAAATATATTTAAAATTTTTTTAAAGATTCCACGCCAGCGCCGGCCGTCCTACGATGCCGACCGTGCCACGTAGGACGGTCGGTATCCACATCAACGGTTTTCGATCTAAATTGGCCGGATAATCTGAATTGATACTAATATGAAAATATTTAGAACTGAATTGGTATTAATGCAGTAGGTTTATGACTTTTTTTGTACTTTTTCCACGATATTGGTGAGGGCTGCGAGGCATAGTGCTGTTCACTCCATGTGATTCATGATCCTTTCCTGCTCAGTATAACCCCAGAAAAGCTGTGTATCGCGTGCATTAACAAGAAGGGTGAGACCCGGGTTTTGAGTCCCACTTGCTTTTGTCTGCTTAGCTTTTGCACATTTCTTTCTCAACTGGCAAAGTTAGCGACACCCGTTCAAGCAAGAAGAAGCTTCTCGATAAAGTATGATATTCTCGTAAACAAAAGGATGTTAAAAGGTAACATTCTAACAGCAATAGTGATAGCATTCTCTTGCGTTCCAAGATCTATCAAGTCCCGATACTGAAATCTGTGATCGAGTAGATTCCCACGGGACATGTTCCAAGTTCCTCTGAATTGGACTGACTATGGAACCACCCATTCCTGTAGAATAACACACTGACATGAACTCGATAAGGTTTAGTCCGATTATTAAAACGCAGATATTATACTTGAAGTAAACCCAATTGAGTGTACGTTGGCAGAGATCGATTCACACGATTACTTTATACGTACTCTGCGGCATCATATAAGCACGTTGTCTTGTACAGAGCATACATTTGGTGCTCATATCCAGATCACGACTTGCCTCAAAGAGATTAGCCGTCGGCTCGGCTTCCTAATCTCTAATTAATTAACTTGATTATGAAACTCGTATTAAATAATCTATTGATTTAACACACGATCAATACTCTATATACTTCACATTAATGGTTGATGGGTTGACTTTTGATTTGAAGATGGGAACTGCGTACTAAGAATTTGGGAAAATTTGATTGGTCCGGAAGCGATGATTCCCTCGATTTTGTCATCCAGAAAAAAAAACATGTCCATTATTATGTTTGGTTGCACGTGTTTCTCAACCAAAATTGCTGCTCTATTTTAACACTCCGCATAAAACTTACTGTTAAAATTTGGTAAAACTTCTTTAATTTCGGCGCCTAACTATAAGACCTTGTGTGGCCCAGATGACGTTCAACAGAGCCTCGAATGGGCATGGAATTGCTAATTGTCATGATTATCGTGGAATCATCTTTGGACCGGTTTGAAATCATTTCCATGCTTTTAGCTAGTCTTTGAGCTTTTGACGTCGATCCACGCCAAACTCGCTCTCCATCCAATCTATAGTTAAAATCGGATCCGATGGTCAAATGCCGACCAACATAAGAGACAGCTAGCATCGGCGGCGGCCGTCGTCTCTTCAACGTTCGGCGTGTGGTCTAATTTTCAGTATGTAGTACACGAAAGCCCATTTAAGTGTACCCGAAAAGTTTGGACATTGCGTTGTTTAGAAGATTTTGCTCCGCCATTAGTTAGCGCAGCAATCAATTTTCTTCTTTGGTCCGATTCGAGAAGGTTTTCAGTAAGTATGGTTCGCAAAGCAAATGACACTGCGTTTTGCAATTTGATTTTGTTTCGATTTTTTTCTTAGACTCGTGGGATCGTGAACTGGGTACTCCATATTAATCGATTCTTTTTTTATTATTTCTCTCGTTAAAGTTGATATCAGGGCTGAAATCGGCATTTCTATACATATTTTCTTTCGTCGTATATTTTACATCATATACTAGGTTAATCGATCACGTTGATTTTTTTCCGTTCTTGCCCTTGGGTTTCGTATTTTGGTATTCCGAGTTAATGTCATAACGAGGGTAAACACGGTTTCAGGTAGAACCCGAAACCTAATAATTGACTCAGTAGGAACCTATCCGATTTCGTGTTTCGCTTCCAAAAATTAGAGAACTCCGCTTTTGATAATAAGTTTCAAGTTTTAGGTAAATGGAACCGCGAACGGAAGAAAGAAGAAAAAAAAAATTGGACAAAATTGCCGCTATTCCGGTGCGGAAATGTCGGGATCAGCCACGGAGAACATTTGTCCGACGGCAAATGGGCTCAGTCCTTATTTGATACTAGTTTGACACTTTGGGTCCTTAATTGATACCTTGTCCACTTGAAGTCCTCTTTTGAAAAAAAACACCCACTTTGGGTCCTTATTTTATAATTTCCCTGGGTACTCCATATTAATCGATTCTTTTTTTATTATTTCTCTCATTAAAGTTGATATCAGGGCTGAAATCGGCATTTCTATACATATTTTCTTTCCTCATATATTTTACATCATATACTAGGTTAATCGATCATGTTATCCGATTTCAGGGTTCGGGTTCCAAGGTAGGTTCTAGGTTCCAAAATTAGGGAACTGTTTTGATAATAAGTTTCGGGTTTCGGAGTAAATTGAACTGAAATCTGGAACTTGTGTTTTTCTTGATCTATATCTTCGCGCGATCCTACGGCATTCCATGACATCCGATGATGAGTGTATAATCCGGAACCACTAGTTCGAGCTTCTATTTTATGACCGAGACTTTTACTTTGTTATTGTTTCATATTTTTCGTGTATCTAAATATATATTGTGGTTGGATTGTAGTAACAAGTGATGGTCATAAAAAGGTGATGATTCACTGTAATCGTTCAATTAATAATAAAGTCGGACCCGAGTAGACCTTGGAACCGACCTTGCAGCTTGTGACACGGTAGGTTCTAGGTTCCAAGGTATGTAGGGTAGGTTCGGTTCTCGAACCTCAGTAGCAACCAGGAATCGCTAACCCCTAATCACGACGCGCGAGTTTTCCTGGCGAACCAGGAATCGCTAACCCTTAGTCACGACGCGCGAGTTTTCCTTCATCGCATAGGAAAAACCCGCAACAAAAAGCCCATAAGCAATCTTTTACTGGGCCTTAAAGCCCAAACCAAATCGCTCATCCACAGGCCCAACAATTTACTGGCCCTCCAGCCCAAACCAACGCTCTCATCCCAGGCCCAAACCGACCCGACCCGACCCGCCTCTCTCTCTCTCTCCCTCTCTTTCCTCCCTTAAACCCTCTCAGAACCCTATCCTCCATCTTCACCTCCTTCCTCATCGCTGCTCTCTCTCTCTCTCTCTCTCTCTCTCTAGAAAATGTCGCTCTCGAAACCAGCCTTCCTCGCCCACCTCAGAATCCTCGCGAGCCCCGCCCTCCGCCGCCCTCCTCCGCCGCCGCGCCGCTTCGTCTCCCTCCGCTCCCTCTCCTTCGCCACCCCGGAGGAGGCCGCCGCCGAGCGCCGCCGCCGCAAGCGCCGCCTCCGCATCGAACCCCCGCTCTCCTCCCTCGGCCGGCCGTCCGCCTCCCCTCCTCCGCCTCCCACGAGGCCCCCGTCCTCCATCCCGCAGAACCCCAACTCCCCGAAGCTCCCCGAGCCAATCTCCGCCCTCTCCGGCAACCGCCTCAACCTGCACAACCGCATCCTCGCCCTCGTCCGCGAGGACGACCTCGAGGAGGCCGCCCTGCTCACGCGCCACTCCATCTACTCCAACTGCCGCCCCACGATCTTCACCGCCAACGCCGTCCTCCACGCGCTCGTCCGCCAGTCGAAGTACTCCGATTTCCTGTCCCTCCACAGGTTCATCACCCAAGCTGGGCTTGCCCCCAATGTGATCACTTACAATCTGCTGTTCCAGACCTACCTCGATTGCAGAAGACCCGATACCGCGATGGAGCACTACAAGCAGTTCATAAACGATGCGCCGATCAACCCTTCGCCGACCACTTACAGGACACTGATCAAGGGGTTGGTGGATAACAACAAGGTGGAGAGGGCTCTGGAGTTGAAGGAGGAAATGGCTGTCAAGGAATTTGCTCCGGACCCGCTTGTGTATCATTATCTGATGGTTGGGTGCGCGAAGAATTCGGACGCTGATGGAATTTTCAAGCTTTATGAGGAGTTGAAGGAGAAGTTGGGGGGTGTGATTGAGGATGGGGTGGTGTATGGAGGGTTGATGAGAGGGTACTTCTTGAGGGGAATGGAGGATGCTGCGATGGAGTGTTACGAGGAAGCCGTGGGTGAGTATTCGAAGGTGAAGATGAGCGCTGTCGCGTATAATTCGGTGTTGGATGCGTTGACAAAGAATGGGAAGTTTGAGGAGGCGCTGAAGTTGTTCGACAGGATGCTTGAGGAGCATAGTCCGCCTAAGCGGTTGGCAGTTAATCTGGGGAGCTTTAACGTGATTGTCGATGGGTATTGCAAGCAAGGGAAGTTTAAGGACTCTATTGACGTTTTCAGGAAGATGAACGACTATAGATGTGGCCCAGACGTGTTATCATACAATGTTTTGATTGAACAATTATGTGAGGATGGCTTGCTGGCAGAAGCCGAGGAGCTTTTTGGGGAAATGATTGAGAAGAAAGTCAATCCTGATGAATTCACACACGTTCTGTTGATGGATGCCTGTTTCAAGAACGCCAGGGCTGATGATGCGGCGGGATACTTTAAGAAAATGGTGGATTCTGGTCTGAGACCTAATTTGGCAGTGTACAACAAGTTGGTTGATGGGTTGGTCAAGGTTGGGAGGGTCGACGAGGCTAAGGCGTTCTATGATCTCATGGTGAAGAAGCTGAAGATGGATGTGGAGAGCTACCAGTTCATGATGAAGGCGCTGAGCGAGGACGGTAAATTGGATGAAGTTCTTAAAATGGTGGATCAACTGTTGGATGAAGATCCAATTATCTTCGATGAGGAGTTTCAGGAGTTTGTGAAGGGGGAGCTGAGGAAAGAAGGGAGAGAGGAAGAGCTGGGGAAGCTGATGGAGGAGAAGGAGAGGCAGAAAGCTGAGGCTAAAGCTAGAGAGGCTGAGGCAGCCGAAGCGGCCAAGAGAAGCGCAAGAGCTGCGGTTGCTTCTTTACTTCCTTCAAAGTTGCTGGGTAAGAAGGAAGAAGAGAAGGAATTGGCTAATAATGCCAGTGGCGAAGCCAATGCAGCCCTATCGGCGAATGAGGACACTAATGGTGGGAAAGAAGAGACTACTGAGGAAGTTGTTGCTGAGAATGCAGCTAGCGGAGAGGTTGATCCAGCCAGAGAAGCTCCTTTGTGCTAATTAAGTGCTAGTGAGTATTTCGACCAAGAAAAAGTGCTAGTGAGTATGTGCATTCTTTGCTTCGCTTCAGCGGAATAGAAAATGGATGAAATGTGACCTGCTTTGTCTTGCTGAACTGATCATTGTGGCCTGTGGGTATTCAACTTGGTGATGCCATCGGGTGCATACTAGTCGCGATATAGAAGTTGTCGACGGGGATAAAATATCGGACTTTCTGTGAACTACTGTTGGTATGCATCACTCACTTCTGGATGTATAATAAAGCAGCTACTAATCAATGCCCCTTTCTTTAAGTTTAGAACACAAGGCCAAATGTCGTTTTACCTAACAAATTTTGCCTGGCAACTTCAATGGAAAATGGGAAATTTGCTGAAAGTAATCGAAGGAATAGGATGGGAACTGACTAGATTTGAAGAAGGTGTAGTATCGCTCTTGGACACCAAGGGCAAGACTCCACTTAAGATGATTTGGTTATGGAACAATGATACCGATATGCTTGATTCGTGTCAAATTCAATAACCGAGCGTCAATTCATTTAAGACAAGAAAAACGCCGTATTATGGTCTCCCATAACCATAATGATAATCTACCCGAGAAGGGTTCCTTCTGAAGTGAAGCGTAGAGACCCCATTTTCAGTTGGTATCTTTACCCGACAGCCGATCTATGCTTTCAAATAGGCTGGAACGGTCTATGTACTTACTCCCTTTCGATCGGTTAGTTCGCCCTTCAGAATAATGCAACGTCGTAGGGTCGAAGCCTATTCCTTAGGATGGTGCTCCTCACACAACCCCATGATCAAAAGAAATACTTCCCGCCATAAACAGACAGCAATGCCCAAATTTGAACTCTCACCCTTCACAATACCAGACATGAGAATGAGAATGGGACAATAACGCCCGTCATTAAAGTAGATAATGCACGCCTGAAACATGCCCAATCACGAGGAACAATCTATTTGCATATTTTGAAAGGAGAGAGAGAAGTTGTAATGCATCATAGATCTCAATCAGAAAAGGCAAAGGCAATATACAAGGCGCACGAACCGGTCAGAAAATGCAATTTCCAAGGAGGATTATAATGTTTCCCGACCAAAGAAAAAAAGGAGGATTATAATGTTTATGCGTACACTAACTAGTTCAATAAATATAAGCTTTATTATGTACACCGGTGGAATTACAATAAGAACGAGCCAAAAGGATTACATGCTGGCAACAATTTTAGGAATCTCAGCTTCCACCTCGGGTTCCCCATCAGAACTCTCAATGCTCGTCTGCAACAGGAAAATAAGAGCATAATTAAGAGATGTTTCGTCAGTGATAGACGTTTGTAGCTAGAGAACACAGCAATATGCACCTCTTGATCCTTTACTTTCTTTTGGGAAAGATATCGATCAAAAGCACCTTTGCCATAGAGGATTTTCGCCCCATGTCCACGTCCCTCGATCCCAACCGCCTCTTCGTCAACTACGACTGCATCAATTATGTCTTCCCCCGTTCTTACATCTGGAATCTGCAAACAAGAATTAGGGAGTCTATTAGGTATGTAATGAGATGACTAGAAACGTTGCAAATACGAACCTATCAATCAAGAATGGCTAATAGATCACCAAACCAACGTTTAAAAGTAGTTGAAGAAACATTCAAACCCGAGAACTGTCGTTCTTGATCTAGCTACAAATTTTTTTTAAACTGTCCTTATTAAGCCAACAAGCAAAGGGATTGATGGACATTACTGCTCTCAGAAAACCACTCAAGTGATTTTCAGAGAAGATCCAAGGGATGTCAGAATTACCTCATACATGGCTTCCATCAGAATATTCTCCAGTATGGATCTTAGTCCTCGAGCTCCAGTATTTTTGGCTATCGCTTTTCTAGCAATTAATCTCAAAGCCTTATCAGTATAGTGCAGCTTCACCTGCAATACGCAATGTCTATGTAAAATCAAACAATCTAAATGACATTAGTGACACTGAACACAGTAAAAAATTCTAACAAGAGTTTCTCCACATAAATTAGGAAGAAGCCCCTGCAAAAAAACTTACGCCATTCATTTGGAACATCTTCCGGTACTGCTTTCCCAAAGCATTTTTTGGCTCCGTTAAAACCTACATGAGTTACAACAGAATCACGAGATCATAGAAAACAAGCTTAAAATTGGAGCTGACTATCCAAATCATGTTGGCAAACATCACAAGTTTTATTTTGCTGCAGTCATTTAACACTTCCGTGTTTTCTCCAACGAATAAAAAGTCAATGCACTTAGTCAGCTACGTTTCAGCACTGTAGCTGGAACTTGAACGGTTAAAACAAAAGATGTCTATATCTTTTGGTAAAAGTAAAAGACAGCATGAGGCAAACAAAAATGCGGGATATCCAGCAAAATAAAAAATCAATCAGTCAGCTCACTTCACATAATTAGCCTCACAAATTTAAAGTGCCAATTATAAAATAGAGTACAGAATTACCTCAACAAGTTGGTTTTCACTTAAAGCTGACAAACTGACAAGGATTGGAAACCGCCCAACAAACTCAGGTATCAGACCATATGAAATAAGATCACTACTCTCAACCTGCCATACAGCAACAGACAATGTGAATTTAACAAGCTGAGAAGACTACTAGCTGTTGGATGCAAAATGAGGACTAGAATGCACTTACAATCTCTAATAAAGAAGATGCCACCGCCGCATTTGTAACATTGGAAGCTCGCATGTTCGCACGTACTGGAGCACCAAATCCAATCGACGAATCTTGACGCCTGCAGACCAACTTTTCAGGTAGTCGAGTACAAGCACATTTATAGTCAGTTTTAAGGATATTAGAATCAAGACTTTAGCATTAATATGACCTCTCTGAGATTGTCTTCTCTAGGTCAACAAAGGCACCACCACAGATGAAGAGGATGTCCTTGGTGTCAATCTGCCAAAAAGAGGAAGAACAAAATATAGGTTGTAAACCAGAAAGTAATGAAGTACAAGCTCATGACTTGTAATTCATCAAACAAATGCAGGGTGAACATACTTGAATATTGTCACCTCTAGGATGCTTACGAGCTCCCTTCTCTGGAACATTTACAACCTTTACAAGATCCAGAACAAAATGAATGTCAAGAAAAATTCAAGATCAGATATGGTTGAGAGTAATCACTGTAACAGTTATCTCATTTGACAGACTCTGGAGGTGATGTGATCAACAGGCAGGATTTTTTTTTCCTTGTGTGTATATATGTATGTGTCTGTTTGTGCGTTTATGATAGCACAAAGAGCTGCTTCAGTGACACTTTGTCACATTGCCTGTCCCCAACATGGAAGCAAAAGCGACGGCTAATTTACTCATTTTAGAGCTGGGGCATAAAACACACTTACAGTCCCCTCAAGCATTTTTAGCAATGCCTGCTGGACACCTTCCCCAGATACATCTCTACTTATGTTAACACTCTCAGCCTGCAAGGCAAAATAGGTGATCAGATCACATGCTTCTAAGGTTGAAAATTTTTTGTAAATTCTCGAGCAAAAATGACCAGAGAGAGGAAGTAAAAACCTTTTTGGTGATCTTGTCGACCTCATCAATGTAAACAATGCCCTGCTGTGCAGCTGCCACATTATAATCAGCAGCCTACCAAGTTGAAGAAACAAGATGGTAAGATCACCAGTTTTCACCGCAATGAGAACCGTGATCGAAGATAATCGTATAAATACGCAGTTGCTGGAGTAAGTTTTCTTGAATAACCACATAAGCTAATACAGCATCGAAAACAGTGAAAAAACTTAGCCTTTATCTTTTGTTGTTTTTACACAAGGAAAACCATTATTCTTGAGAAGAGGGAGAGGGCATCTAAAGGACAACCCATATACAGAACATCAGCAGATCTACCACCCTCTGAGACTGAAAAAATTAAGATCAGTATACATGTTTAAAGTAGAGCTCGGGACTTATGTCAGGACAAAAGAAACTTGAAAGGCCACACGAAGAAGGCCCAAAATCTTACAACGAAGCAGCACTGAATCTGAGTAATAGCAAGCATAACTTTGGCTTACTCAGGTGAAGCTTGAGCAGTTGGACCAGAAAAATGAAAGTGACTCAGAAGTCAGAAGTACAGTGATAGATCACTACTGCTGTGAGAAATAACCCTAATGAGCCAGAACAGACAAATCCAAAGTAACTCTATATTATATTTGTGGTAGAATTGTCCTCGTTCAAAAGAAGAAACAACCAAAACGAACCGAAAGTGAATATTACTAAGGACCTGTTTGTTTTTGATTAATCATAAGCAAAATGCTCTTTTTTGCTTTCGCAACGAAATTTAAAATATTGTTCAAATTTCATAAGATTATGAAAAATATATATGTAAATTTATGGGGTAACATTTGGATGTTGTGAAATTTTCAGATATTTTTAGATTAAAAAAAGTCAAAGTAGTTGCAGATTTAGATTAATCAAAAACGTATAAAGTAAAATCCTTCGGCTACAGACCCTAAATTTGCAAGACACCATCTTAGACAAAGAAAAGATGCAATGAGAGAAAAAAAATCAAGTCAAGGGACAAAGGTTCTCAAAAAATGTAACTTCTTTTTGGGAGAAAAACTTACTGTAAGAAGCTTATGCAATATGGACTCCACATCTTCCCCTACATATCCAGCCTGCAAATTAGAGTTCATGTCATTGCACGTCCAGAGCTAAAATCACTGATAAACTTTCTCACATTCGCAATTATATAGGACGTTGCATTAGAGGTAAAGAAATATGAATTCCAAAGGAAAATGACACAAATTTCAATTCTAAATTGAGCAAAAAAAACAAACAATGATCCTAGCTATCCTTGCATTCCACTCTCCTAAAGGAACTTTAAAACAAACAGAATAAAATCATCTAGTCTCTCCCCGGAAGTCTGAGAATAGGTAAAGAAGTTTTGTGAACCATAAAAGAAGCAATTTAGCTTTTACTTTGCCACTGTCGATACCAAATTTGTTAAAACTCAATGAACACGAGTCTTCCCTGGACAAGTCACTTACTCCAGATCGTCAAATATTCAAGAACTCAGCAAGAATGACACAGAAAAAGTTACTGATATCCATCTAAAGGGTAGGGTTCCAAATCAGCAATGCCAACTGAAAAGGACTAGGTACATACTTGCATGCTCATAATTCCCAACGCTTGTGAATATATAAGCAACTAGGGAAAATTCCTCGTAACCCATGAAGCTTCCATGAATTCACATTTTTGCTCCATAATACACAAAGCGGAAAACGCTGATAATAAAAATAAAATTAAGGGGCTACCAACTTGCCTGAGTCAAAGTAGTTGCATCAGCTATAACAAAGGGAACATTCACAAATCGTGCTAAAGTTTTGGCTAGTAATGTCTTCCCTGTCCTTGAGACAACATCGACAGAGAGTAAGCACGAGAAGTAGTCGATTCATGGGATAAGTAAACGACTGGGAAAAAAATTCTGTATAGTTCTCATATCAACTGTTCATACTCCAATTTATTACTGCGATATAATAGTAAGCAAATAGAGATCAACATCAGTTACAGAAAAAAAGAATAAGGCAAGGAGAAGTTTTTCCATACTAATTCAGTTTATACAAACTGTACTCTGGATTTAATGAACATTTTGCATTCATGTAGGGACCCTAAGTTTGTTCAAATGAAGACATACAACTAGACAATGCATTTCACACTTGATCAGATTAATAATATTTATTTTATAGCTGAAATGTTTACTTATTCATGTTTGTCAAGTAGGGATAGAGACTGATAGTGAATTACCTGAGCCTGTCGGCCCCATAAGAAGGATATTACTCTTTTCGAGTTCAACTGAGTCATCATCAGTTGACTCTGATCTTCCATCCTCTATAACTCCAGCAGGCCTAACTTCCAGAATGACGACAGAAGTGTCGAAGGATTAATCAATTAAACAGAAAGAGTTACGAGCACTAGAATTGACACTAATTAGGAGCATAGAGAAACTCAGGGAAGCTATGCTCCAATATTTCAATGTTATGGTGCTAGAAAACATTTGATAGACATAAAGAAAGAATCATTGAAAACGATTAACCCATAATAAGTTCCAAGCCTTTATGGTGGCAAACTAAAATGTACAAGTTTCACCGAAGCTATTCCATTTCACGTGCATGATTTGCACGAATCATTTTGGTATCTTCAATGTATTGACTTGAAGTTATTGTGAAAAAACAGGTCAATGCTAATCCATCTTTGAATTATGAATGGCTTTCCATTCAACTTTAAGATGGAGATTTGCATATTGCATGGCAATAATCACGGTTAAATTCTCAGAGTGACTCCAGAAGCAGATTAAAATAACATGGATAATAATAGAGTGAATATCTTCCAAAAGCTTGAAATTCTAGCTTTACATCACAATAGTTTATCCTTATTGTATTTGCTTAGGCATATACAACACACGCGGAAACATCCAGGCATCTTGCCACATAAAAAACTAAATTACCAACAAATTTTAATTTGTGGGTTTGAAACAATAACAATTAAAGCTGCTCATTATCAGTTAATGGAAAAATGGCAACTCCCAGAAGTGAAATTCACCAAGTGAAAAGAGAAATTGCCTGAAATATACATGAAAGCATGGCACAGTTCAATTGGCCATTTAAATGGTTTAACATCAGAAGTGCATGGACAACTCAATCAGGGAATATTTAGGTTCATATGAGTATGTCATGAGGTATTAAGCTAATTACCTCTTCGCAGACTCATGATATATCCTTTTGTAGTGATTGTAGACTGCAACGGAGAGCACCTGCAAAAGCACATGTTAAGGAGGACTGTAAAATAAAATCTCTTTCAATGTTTTAAACAGACCGAGAAACTATCTATAGCTCCATAGCTTTATAGTAAACTCCATCGTATTTCCATATTATGCACACCCAACATCTTCTCACAGCCACACAAGTGTTTCAAGGCTAGCATATCTGGAAAGGGATCCCAAAGAGTTCAGGTAATGCAAGAACCTTTCATATGATTTGATTCCGAAACCAGAATGAGCACTGAATATCACCATGCTAAATCATCAATTATGACATTCTCATTCTGATAGTATGACAGAAAACCATTGGATTTCCAGTGTTCACAAAAGGTAAAAGCATATTGCTTTGAAGCATATGCAACTACAGGTGGCAATGATATCTAAACAGCTTCTTTATTCCCAACTAAGGGAGAATTACTCTACACCATTTGATTGTATTCCAGCAAATATTGCAATAACCTGTAACCACTGCTAACTTGTAGCCACAAAGAAATATCAATTCAAAATAAGAAAAGAAGACACTGCTTTAGCAAATTAAGCTTCTTGACATCCACAACACTATCCTTTTACATTTCATAAAGCATAAAAAGTGAACCCGCAAAAACGCATTTTAAGTTCACCAACAAGCAACCAAGCATTACCTTCTTTGCTCTCTCTTGTCCAATCACGAACTTGTCAAGCCCCTTGCAAATCTCCTTTGGAGTGGGAAAATTGCTCCCCCGATTTGAGCCACCCCAAGACTCATCCTTGGGTGAATCGCTTTCCGAACCCGACCCACCTCCTCTCGTCACGACGTACCCTGAATTCCCGAGCCTCACCGTAACTCCACCCCCGGGAGGCTGCCACACCTCCGGCGGGTCCCCATTGGAGCTCGCCATGTTAAATCTCTCACTCCAACTTCTACCCCCATCACAATCCCCGCGAGAATTACCCAACATCTCCCTCTCATCACACGCTACGGCACCCTTCTTGCCGCTAACAATCGAGTTAACCCTCCGATCACCCAAGAACTGCGTGCCCTGCTCGACGAACTCCCCGCGGAGCGTCACGGGCTTGAAAGAAGTGAAGTGGTACGGGGTGTTGGCAAAGAACCTATCCCAATTGGAATGGCTAGCGCGGTGGGAATTGGGCACGCGACCCGCATGCATCTGGTTGTTGAACACAAAGCAGCGGAATTGGGAAGCCGCGAAAGTCGCCGTTTCCTTGGAGGGCTTGCATTTGAGCACGGCGGCCATGACGGCCGTGAATAACTTCCCCCGGAAAGAAGCAAAAGGCAGGGGAATTCCGTCAAGCAAAGCTGAGCTCAGTCAGAGCGAGCGAGCTCCGAGTTCATACAAAGAGATGGAAAAATCGGGAATTGATCGAGGTGTTCGACGAAATATGAGGTGAATCGAAAAGGGTCAGCGCAAGATTAAGTCATGAGCACGCAAACAGATTCAAGATTGAATTTTTTTTGCTTCCTCTGTTCTACAGGAACACGAACGCCCACATACGCAGAGTCAGAAGCAGACAAGGAAGGGGAGATAATGATGAAAGAAGCCAAAGAAAAATATAAAGATACGAGCTCTCGAGAATATCTAAAGCGGTCGGAGTCGAGCTCAAACGACGCCGTTCGTTTTCGCGGCGAAAGGAGGTTGATGTCGTTCCCGGTTTTGTACGATATCTACGAGGGCCGCAGGCAGAACCAATTCCCGGTTGCACGTGCGACTGTTGTCTTTAGGAATGAGACAGGGACACCTCTCTACTATGTATTTTTTCTGTACTTTTCATTTCATCTGTTTTCTTTCCGAAAAATAATGCCTTTTGAAGTCAGTTTGCAGAGAGTTGTTCATTAGTTTGAAGAGACAAACGAGCAAAAGCAGTGATTGGAAATGCATGTAACACCTATGCCGTGTTACTAGTTTCCTTTTAGCTTCGACAATGAGGTGCATATTGTTACTAGTTTCATGCAAAACCGATGTTGGTATTGTCTTCTGATAATTGATCTAAAGGAGGGTTAATTCCGGGAAATTGCTGATTGTACATGACTGTACATAATGTGCATCGTGGTTGTTTGTTTGAGAGGTGACACAGAATGATGTGATGGACAAATCAAGTATAGAAAAAGTGTTGCAACGTAGTTTCTCTGTATGTGGTACATGATCAGCTTGATTTGAGAGAACGAGTCTTGGCAATAATTTCTCGGTTATTTGCAAATTCGATGCTCCGCGGTCATCGCATATGGAATGGGAGCAGCTTTAGCCTAGCACAAGCGAAAGTAGGTGGTGTACACTACACATCCTGCATATGCCACTTTCACCTTCTACTAGTTACAGATTACAAGCTAACTTCGAACAAAGAATGTCAACAGGTTACATGAATATAATCTCTCGATCGTCAATGGGGCATCGGCCAGTTACCAGACCTTCGATGTCTCGACATCCAGATATTTACAACAAATCCCTTTCTCTAACACTGCTTAGGATGGAGCCCCGTCCGACAGATAGTTGCTTCGTTGTCTCTCGTCTCAGTCAGCTGAACTACAAGACTATGAGGGGGCTGAGGAAAAATTCAGGGAGCAATACTGGAAGTATCGGCTTCGAAGAGTACAGCAAACGACTTTGAATATGACAATCCTACACACGTGAGTTAACTGTTATTTGTTCAATTTCGAGGGCAAAATGAAAGTGTCAACATACATGTTACAAGAATGTGCTGAGGTCAAGAGCTACACTGATTCTGGTTAAGTTCAGCTGTCAGAACTTGGGCCTCACGTACAGCATAACTTGCTGAATAGATCGCCATCTTTTTAACCTACAAAAAAAGGAAAAGTAATGAGACTTGACTTAATATTTGCAGCGTTACAATCAGATTACCTGGTGCAGATATTGCTGTACCAACTAAAAATGTTATCTTTCCACAATATGCCGACTGGTATTTCTAGTCGCGGCAAGCATGCCAGAAGCTATATCAATGTGTACAACCTTATATTTGCTTTATCTTTACTGTCGACCTCACAAACTTAGTCATTTGACTTTGCGAATTATTGGCTATACCAATAACATAGTTAACACAAATCTAGTGGAAAACCTGATGAATGATGATGTGAAATCACAGCTTATGTTATTATATGAAGCAGCACCATCACAACGTACCTCCAGTTTGTCTTCCTTAGCTCTGTGGTCTCTCGGAAGCTTGCGGAATTCTTCAGTTAATCTTACGCATTCTTGAACATTTTCAGGGGATACGAAGTCGAGGGCCACTTTGATACACGACTGTACAGTACGACAGCATAGCTATGTGAAAGAAGCGAACTTACATACAAAGAAAATCAGTTTGCTCTGGATAAATCTTAAAGGAGTTTCATTTCTTTGAACTTCAATCTTATTTAGCTCAATAGAGACTAACAAAGCAAGATCAAATTAAATCTGATAAAAAGTCTTTCTTTCTCTTCTCTTGCAGTACAGAAGAGTTGGCTCTTAGAGAGGATCATTGGCAACACATTCACATGCTTAGGACAGTTGATCGATCTCGTTTTGAGATTAGCAGTCTCACCTGTCTGTTTCTCACTTGATGTGGACATCCTGCAGGAATGAGAACAGCCTCACCAAGTTGTTGCTCAAACGTCCAAGGTTCAACATCTGAAGAGAGTTCACCGGTAAGAACTGTCCCTGTCTACACTTCTATACTAAGAAGGAAGTACAAATGAATAACTTTACATACTGTATTCCTCTTTCAGTTGCTTCTTGTGCCTCTCGGTTAAGTAAAGTGTTTGGTCATGTATCGGATGAATAACCTGCCACAGTCACATCTACCGAGTTTAGAGAATATAACTTAACTTTAATCTTGGCAAATTAATTTTGGAGCCAATTACCCACAGATTCGACGGGTAGATTGTTGATGTGGCGAAATTCTTTCCAATGTCTTTGCAAGTACTCGACTAGCTTGGGGACGTCCTGCCGACGGAAAATATCCCAAACAGCACCTCCAAACGATACATCCAAATCATCGTCTTGAATAATTTCTTCAGTAATGCTCAAGTTTGGCTTCAAACATGCATCTCTCATCTCATCCTCCAGAAAAACCAATTCTGATGCGCTTTTACTGACCTTATCATGTGGCTCCTCACCCTCATTTAGCTCAGACGAGGAGAGTGAGTCATGGACACCAGGATCACTAGTATGAGCACTTAATGTGTCTCTTTTAGATGTAGCCAAGTTATTTTGCATCCAGTTAACAAGGTCATCAGGGCCTTCTGCTTCATGTCTCTTCTGGAGAATGTTTATGGCTCTATGCTGCCATTGAGCTATATTTACTTTGGTAGTATGCGTCAATACATTGATCTGAAAACACAATGTTATGACTTAAACTTTCAAATTGTGATATATAACCTTCAAGAAACAGGTGAGAAGTTTGAGAGTTTTACCGAGAATAAAGTACTTGGAAAAAGCACATAGCAGAAACTAGTAAGAGCAAAGTGCCTTCCAGTAATGTGATTATTCTATGCAAATGTAAGTATGTAATAAGAAAAGAAAGTCCCCATGCCTCTAAACATGTGAGCATTTCATGATCAAATCCAATTCACTTCAACTTGCAAGTTGCATATAATAAGCAATTGTAAAGATTACTCAAAGCATTGAGCATACCGCATCAGAAACGTCACAGTGAAGCTTTGTAACTGAATCACCTCTTCCAAGCTCTTTCGAAAATCCATAGGCAATAAATGTTTTAGGTCCCAAGTCAGGCTTCACAAATGCGGGAAGCTTCGTGGCAAGGTTCAAAAGACCAGATCTTGGATGAGTATAATCCATGTAAGGAAGCATTGCAATGAATTCGGTCCCATGCCTCGGCAAACACTCGTCAAATGAATTCGACGGTGGCCAATCCTTCAATTTCAACATCTCTGGCCACCCATTTTTATACCTGCGGCCCTCTAGGTAGCCCTTGAAGAACTGAAAAATGTTGATTCCAACCTGCAGCATCAGAAACAGACAGCAGTGTTTTTATCCTGAAGTATAAGTGCATGCTATGCATTTTTCCGTACATAAAATGCAGCCTCAATATCTGTTAAAATCGCCGTACATGTTCCAAAGGAATAAAGAAGGAAGAATACCTTACCCTTTTGAAGGATCTGATTAATGGATGCACAGAAGTCCCGAATTTTTCTATTTAAACTTATACATGCATCTTATAGAATCTCAAGCAATTATCTAGAGACGCATGAGTTATTGAATCTGAGCTCAAGTTTTCCTTTTTCTGATACCTGTCTGGGCTTAAGTTTAATTTTACTCATTGACTGAGTTGAAGAAATATCAAGGAAGTATAGCTGTGGAGAGATTCATTGACCTGGCCAAAGTGATCCTAGGAAAACTGACACTTCCATTCTTTCTACTGCTATGTGTCATCACTACTGAAGTTTGCATAAAAAATAAGGCATCATAATGTAACGGAATTCTCCATTCAACCACAGCTTATATTAGACCAAATAGCAGATAACATTCAGCGAGAAACAAGATAATACAAACTCACAGATTCAGCTAGCTTAAAGTTGAGACCTACCTCACACCAATCCAGGCAATCAATGGCCTTAACAACATGAGCATCCTCCTTCAATACCTTCTGCGCACCCCTAAACGCCCTCCACATTACCATCGGCTCCCAACTTAGTCCAGACGCTTTTTGTAGTAGATTTCTAACAATGACAGGCTCACCTTTGATCCAATGAGTTTGAAAATGCTTATATCCATCATCTTTCAAGTGAAGAGCATCAGGACAGTACAAACAGTTATCATGACTGTTCTCCCGGTGAGCTGCTTGTCTTCTTTCGAGTTTCCCACTTAATGTAGAATCAGTGGAATAGCACAAAATACATCCTTGGGAAAGTTTGGTCTCTGGGGACTCGTAATGTAGCATCAGCTTATGCGCATTGTCTATTATTTTGTCTATAAAATTTGCATCAAAGATCCGTCTCAATTCAAGAATTCCACTACCGCAACCTCCCTGTGCTTTGGAAGGACAATGGATCGAACCATCAGTTTCTGCTCTCCAATTATGAAAGTCAAATTTTGTATTGCCAGCATAATTGTTCAGTGAGGAGGTCAATTTGCTCTCTTGACCATGTTCCCCTTTCACAGATGGTATCTGGACATCCAACTCCGTACCTTCACTCTGCAATCTTTCTAATTCAGTTGATTCTGCCTCATCAAGTCTTCTCAGCTCCGAACAGCAAGTTAGACACAGATCATATGAGCAAACAGGGTTGGGGCAGCTTCTGTAGAAATTGATGATGGACGTATTGCAGTTGTCACTGTTGAAGGAAATTTATGCAGAATTACAAATTTATATACATCCAAACTACTTGGAAAACATATTGTTGGTCAGTATGAGAAATTCAAAAGAAACAAAGAGACAACAACCGTCCTTGGTTTATCATGGAGCTATTTTATACAACGTTTTCCAATATGTGAATCAGAAGCCTGGCTATGATGGCGAATGAGGGTCATACTATATGAATGTACCACAAGTTGTAAGGTTGAAGCGCACCAAGGTAAAATATAAAACATCATATATATTAATTTCAGCAATCAGGAAGACCTGAACAGTATCTACCAGTACACTCGATCGTCGTCATCCAGTAGAGACTTTGGTATATCTTCCTCCACCACTTGATTTCCTATTAACAAGAGGAGCAGACAAAATGCCTTATTCAGCTCACTCGATGACGAACTTTTGAGCAGATAAAGAGAAGAACCAAACGAGCAGTCTAATACCACAGATTCTAGCCTCTGCACCCAATTCAGAGACTTGCTCCTGTTGCATATGCCTGAGGAGAGGCAAAGTTTTGTCGAGCATGTAAAGCAACTTCTGCAGCTTCATCAAACTATCCTCTTTGTCCTCCTCTGCCTAAGAGAAATCAATATCCAGTTTGGTATGGAAAAAACACCGAAAACAGGCTTCTGGCGCAGGAATTGAAAGGAAGAAAGCAGATAAAATGCAAAAGAATGTGGAAACTAACCCTAAGAACTGAATCTTTCCTGAGGCATCTTCTACAGTTGCAATGGCCGCGGCAAAATGGGCATTCCATCTCCATGTCTTGTTTACTTTTCCCCGGGTACCTATTCAAGCATAAAATGAATAGTCCCTTGACTATGGTCACGTGACATTGACAGAAGACGATGCAAAAAAACCTACAAAAGTTCAAATGAAGCCTGCTAATTTTGATTTAATTATTACGTACAGCTACTCTTTGTTTGAATGGAATAACTTGATTTACTGTACCACTTGTCAAGGCAGTCATAGCAATAGCGCTTTCTCTTGCATCTGGAACAAATTACAACCCCACTTCTGTGACTCCTCAAGCACTGATGACACATTGAACTCCTCTGCTCCATTTTCCGACTCCAATGATACTGAAACAGAAACCAGATAATTCCTAATTCCCACGGTTCTCTCAATTTTGTCACCAACAATGTTACACAGAATGTCATAAAAAATCTCCATCAAAATTACTATTACATTGCGAGAATCCTGTGTCACCAACACAACATTAAAATGAATGGAGAATGCTTCTTAAGACACAAGCTTTGGGACAACTTACTGATGATCTTGAATTTCCAACTCTCCTGCCACTAATAATCTTGATCATTCTTTCTCTATTCATCCGTTTGACTACCCTCTCTGTGCTGTGAGAAGACGAAGCTTTCTCAAGTAACAGAGTCTTCTTCTTTGTTGAACCCTTTGGTCTGCCTCTGCCCCTTTTAGGCTTCAATGTCTCAAACCCAGGATGACCATTTCCCAGGAAATCTCCATTCTTGCCTTCCAATTCTCCATCAGCAGTAGCTAATTGCCGATTCTTCGGCCCCTTGGGTCGGCCTTGTAAAATCCCATTCTTCCCCTCTCCATGCTCAATGCCCACTGCATAACCCACATTAGCACCATCCTCAGAAACCACTTGGTTTTTAGCAGTAGCACAATTCCGACACTTCGAACCCTTCGGCCGACCGCGCTTTCGTCGTACCACCTCAACTTTTTCCTCTTCGTTTTCTCCAAGCACTCTTTCATCTTTCTCATGACCCGCATTATTAACCCAAAACAACTCATCATCCCTAGGAGCAGTTTCCTGGTTTTTTCTACTTTTATGAGTGGCCGGTTTCCATTTCTTCGAGCCCTTCGGCCTACCACGCTTCCGCGTTAAAATCATGTTTTTGCACTGCCCGTTCTCAGTTATCTCTCCATTCGCTCCACTAACTCCCTCATGACCCACATTGTTAACACACAGAGTCTCAAGCCCAGAAACTGCTTGATCCTCTGCAATTCCAACACTTGCCCCCTTCTTCTTGTCCTTTGAACCTTTTGGCCTTCCTCTCTTTGCTTTTGGACACAAGCTCTCATTCCCATCGCTGACTGACGCCACCTCCTTCCCAGTCCCATCACCAACTCTCTTCTTGTTCGTTGATCCTTTTGGCCTCCCTCTCTTCCGCGGACCACCGTCTCTCTTGCTCTCACCGTCACCACCATCACCACAAGACCCTTCACCACTTCCCACCTCCGGCACCCTTCTCCAGCAGCCCACCTCGGAGACGTCACCGGAAGATTTCTCCCTCCTCCCTTTGGCTCCAGCACTTGCACAAGTACCGGTCGCGCGAGCGCTCCTCTGCATCTTGGCGTAATACAGCAAATGCTTCTCACACAACTTCTGCCCACTCACGGCTCTCTCCTTGCACCGCCAGTTCGGCGTGCCGGTTCTTGCGCATCTCCCGTACTGCTCCGGCAGGTCGGAGTCCATTTCCCCGGATCCGGGTCAGTCAGAATCAAGAAAATCACAGCAAGTCTCAAGAGTGTGGGGTGAGTGGGAGGTGGGCTTTGAAGGCTGGTTACGGAATCATCAGCTTTTTTCTCTCCACCATGAAAACACTGACAGTGGGACTGTACTGACCGGGCTGAACGAGGTGGAGGTCCCGCCAGAAAGCATCTCATCGTACCTGCATCGCTCAGTCATACGAACAAGTCAAGTCTGAGTCAATCTCCCAGCTCCATTTCGGTGACATAAACCCACGTGCATCACATCAACATAACGTATGAAATACCTCCGTCTCCCATTGTGTTTCACCCTCTTCTTTTTACGGCCGTCGAGGCGTTCAACGTTGGAGTGATAAATGCCTGCCGTACGTTTCTGAAAGTGAAAAGAAAAAAGGGGTGATTATGATGAAGAACTATGTCTTCTTGAGAGTCGACAGGCTTTCGTATTTGGCCGACGAAGAGGTACAGCACTCCCACCACTAGGGACAGTGCTGGGAACTGGACAGAATCCACGTAATTCTTGACCAAAACCTCGACCAAAAAATAAGCGAACGAATGATTCAAGTAGATTGGTGGAGAATCTCACGTGGGGCGTAGGCTCATCAAGTGTATTCCACATAAAAACAAACAAAAGAAAAGGGAAAAGAAAAAGGGCTCATCGGATAAACTACCTACGCATCTCCGAAATTGTCACGTGTATTATTACCAGACTGGACTATAAAAAAGCAGCTCTTTTTAATGTAAATATAGCATAAAGTAGTCACTTTTTTTTTTTGCCTTTTTTCATATCCCACCAAGAGCAAGACATCTATGTATGTATATCGTGAACTCACGATGCCATTCTTCATAAATTTCTTAGCTTCAGTATTGCGAAAGAATATACATTTGAAACGGATATGCAAACAATGAATTTGAATTTGAATTTGAATTTGAATGTTTAACAGGTCGGGAAAGGATTTCGAAATATTCCACAATAAGCTTATGAGCTTGACATTAAGAGACGTTGAGATTTATAAATTGTTAGAACGAAATCATCAAGCAAATAGATAGAAACTCGCTCGGCAACGTGGACGGAGCTTTATTGTACTCTACTCTAGATAATGTCATATCAATTTTGCATCATCATCTTTTCTCGACGAAGTTTTTTTGAATAAAACGTTCTTATTGTACAACTTGAAGTTATAGGAAAAAGAAGGGAGTGTAGAAACGTATATAAAAGTGCAATTTGTGTGAAGTGAACTGTATTGCTCTGCAATTTGCAAACGTAAAGAAATAGAGTGTGAGAAAGAAACAAGAAGAGGACAAGAATGTGGCAGGACCACTGCTGGACAGATCCCCATCAAGTGACGGCCCGACAGAGCATAAGACAGAGAAATTAGTGGAAAGAAGAGAGCGCTTTACGTTAATTCGAGATTAATTAGTCAACAAGTGCTCTGTTTTAAAAACAATTGGTTCATCTTTAATAGGAAAATGCTTCTGTGGAGGGATGTTGGACGCTTCTACCCAGGAGACAAATAGAGAAAAGTTTAACGTTGTACGCCGCCAAAGCGACAAATGATGAGTACGGCGAAAGACGCTTGTGTTGCCGGTGTGTTTGTCGATCGCTTTGTTTTAACTCCCCTAAAAGCTGCTTGCTTGTCTGCAATAATCTGAACCTCTCGCTTTTCTCTTTTTATCTCCCCCTTATCCTTAAAAGAAGAACCCATTCTAATTGAGAATTTTAAATATAAACCGCCCAAAACAGGCATATAAAACTTTGGGCATTCAGCAGGACTTGATGAAGGACAAGTACATCAGACCATGGTTTCTGTACTGGCTTCTATCAAGTGTGTTCCACAAGTGCAGAGAGTACTGCAGTCAATATAATCGACATTCTATCCGAGATCATGGAAAACATCTGCAAATAACACGCATTCTCATTAGCATTGATTCGGAAACTCATAATTTGGGGCGATAGATGAAGCGATGCCAAATGACTTATGATTCCGGATTGTCAATCCATCAAAGAGGACAAAGATGTTTGACTTGCGGTGCGAGCTGTGATGGCGAGGCTGCTCGAAAAACAGTACTAGCAGATATCCTTAGCCATGGTTAGGGGTTATAGGACGTGCATTTTCCAAGAAGCACATTTCTCTGCGTTTCTCCACAGTTTCAATTCCATAAAATTGGTAGCTGCACAGAAGTACTCTGGTTATCTTTCATTTACTTGGCATAGACAATAATCCCATCTTTCCAAGCCCAAAAATATAAAACTAAAAATAATTCACAAGGGCATGGTAGGGGAGACAAATTCTTTCGGGCAGGATTCCAACTTCGGACAGTGATTTTTCATGAAAGCCTGTGCCGTGTCCATTAACTTATGAAATTCCTTAGTCTTCCCATAAAATTGCCGCTTATCTTCCTCACAAGCTCTTGTAATCTTACGTATCTTGTGGACGGTCACTCTTAACTCTGACATAGCCTCTTCAATCTGCATCTTGAGTTGAGAACTCTCTGGCGAAGCATTGATCTGAATTTCTGACATGACAACAGGAAAGAATATGTCTGGCTTCCTGAAGAGGTAAAATGGTAAACCAGGTCACTCGTAGCAGAAAATGGAGATATCCTCCCGTAAAACGTGAACTAGCAAACAGGTCAACCAAGAACTCAGGAGCTGTAATAATCAACAAAGCATGTAGTACAGTGTTGTGAAACTTGTTTAAAATAATGAAACGATTAGAAGAAAAAACCCACAGGATGTCCTTGCTCCTGCTACAGCTTTTACAGCAAAGAAAAAACTTCCTTGATCAATTTGAAGAATGATTGACTATGCATCCAAAATGTCTCACACCCTTTTCTCAATCTAAAAAAAAAATGCAAAGAAGTATATATTTAGCTTGATCACTAAATAGCAACCAACTTCCTTTTCTATTTTGATTTCAGTTAGGTCAGATCCTGGTCACAGAAATTTTCTAGTTACTTGCAACATCTGGAAATTGGAGGGAGAAACAGAGATACCAGAAGCCAAGAGAAATCAATCCATCCTCTCGTATTATCCCACCGTCCAGCGATACAGCACCGTGATCTATGCAGACACGAGCCTGCTTCATGTGTTCTCTGGTGTCATAAACCTGTAACTTGCCAAAAAACCGATAAAACAGTGTTTCTCGAAGACCAAGGCCTTTGGTTGTTCTTGTAATCAAATGATCGACGGCTATGTCGACCATGTTAACTGCGTATCCCATGAAGCCCGGAGGAATTTCTCCATTGGGCAAGGTAGGATGAGGCAAAGCCAGTTTCCTCTGAGGATCACAGCCTTCAAACTCTCCTCTATATGGGCTGCCAAAGATTTATTGCAAATGACTGAGGAAATGCTTTCGACAACTCAATTAAGTTGGTTGAGGAATATGATCTTCCATAACACTAAATGTTATAAAATAAAAAATATTACGACTTTTGTACCTTATTTCCTCAAGACATATGACACGGAATTCACGACTAATAGACTTGCCAAGTTCAGCTGCTTTTGCATAAACAGCATTTTGGAGATCAACTTCTCCGTTTTCGTCATACTTCTCGAGACTAAATGCGGTCTCAAAGTTTGTGCACACAATCCCAAGCATTTGATCTTCACCCAGATACTTGGCTAAGATCCTTCGAAATGGAAAAATGCAACTTTAGGTATCGATTTCTCTAAAAGGTGAAAAAGGGAATTTGCAACATTGAACAAGTGGGTCAGATGGAAGGGTCAGTGATAGTTTACCTGCTAAGCTCAATATTGCAAATTGTTCCAAGAAGTGCAACCACACCAATGATGCCATCTCTAGATCTTCTATGCGGTCCTTCTGAAGGAAAATTTCTGATAAGTTCACAGAGAACAGAAGCCGCCGAGCCATCTCTGTTTTCTATCATGTCCATCATTTCCTCTTTGGTGAAAAAGCAGTTCAAGGGGGAAGGCTCTGCATAAACTGTAAAAGTTGGTCATCCACACAAACCTAACTTGGTAATGTAGGTCCTACTTGTCACAACTGAATTTGCTAGGTAAAATGAATAATTGCGCCCCAGGTGATTTTGGTGAAAAGCAACCATTAACAGAGCAATCATTTTCATCCTAACTTGATTTAGATCTATATATTTTGTACATTGGAATGAACGGCAAATCGTTCTTTAAAAAGCATCACATTCTCTCATCTAGAGACAAAGATGATAATACTATGAGAGTCATAATATGACAATCAAAATATGGATTTATATTCTTTAAACTTTCCAAACTAAGTAGCCGTAGGTCACTGATATTGACAAGACCACAAGGGCAAAGAAATGCACATCATCGCAAAAGAGTGTTGCATGCATTTATGAAAACCAATTATCCTTCAGAAATGACATTAACCAAGACGAATCACCTCCCAACTCCATCAAGGATTGCTCTATTTCAACCTTCCGGTCATGCAGCAACTTCAGTACCTTTTCCCGATGTCCAATTCGCGAACCAGTTTCAAGAATGTCATCCTCAAGAACCTGCGAGGAGCAGTAATTGTAAGTCATAAAGCACAACTGATCACATAAGTATGTGAGAATGATGGGCAATAGCTGCAACTAACTGAACTCATTGGAACATGAGAAAAGCTTAAATTTAGAATCTTAAAGCCAGGTACTTAAAAGAATAATTATGACTACAAGATTACAGTGGGAATTTATAAACCACAAGTAACCAGATTTATGATAGCAATCAATAAAGATCTAATACAATACCTTCTCATTCTTGATGATGGAAAGTACATTCTGTACATCAATAGGGGTTGATGTGTCCTGAAGCATCATTGCATCCCTATTTCGACATACAGTTTGAATCTCAGGCTGCAAATCTGAAGAAGGCTGAACGCCAATCTGCATACACAAATCAAGTACGATAAATGTACCAATGCAAATTACCAACAAATTACCAGAAATAAACATTGCGACCTTGATGCTTAAAGATAACTCTTGGTGACGAGAATGAACAGCAGAAAAGCTAAAGCACCCAGCATCTTGAGGGACAGTAAGAGAAGGAATAGTGCATCTCCCCTTTCGAAAAGCATATAAAGTGGTCGATTTTGTAACGGACGAGTCCAGTTTGATGGAAAGTGTATGAAAATGGCCATTTCCTTCATCGTTGTGGATATTCTCATCGAGATTACCCTCTGAATCCACAATTTCGAAGACAAAATTTTCTAGTTGGGAACCAGCTGCACAAAGCTGAGGCACCTGCAAATCAAGCCAACATTAAAACAAGTTTCTGAAATTGAAATCATTGTGCAACTAAAAGCAGAAGACTATACTAACTGGTTCTGCAACTCTGAGCTCCCTTTTTTCTGTTTGGAACTCTTCCTTGAATATTTCTTCACCACCGGCTATAACAGACAGTGATGCTGTATGCAGGTAATGAATGTAGATATCCCCAGACAGTCAGTGAAACTCAAAACACTTAATAGTACAACTATTGAAGCTTCACTTTCAGCGCAGCTGCTAAGTGATGACAGTCTGGAACCAACTGGAGTTTCTTTCAATAAAATGAAATGTGAATTCATACCCTCCAGTGAACTTAACAACATAAATAGTTGTTGGTAAAGAAATTGCACTTTTTTCAGATGCCTAACACTCCTAATCCTTATTGTAATAGTATAAAATTATCAGAACATGATCATACACATACAGAAAAATAGACTTTGACCAAAGCTTTAAAATCACAATTACGAAGGGAACATTACATTCTCAGTTCCTTACTCATCCCCCTACCCACAAATCTCGTTAGTGACTCCATATAAAATTTAAACAGAAGTATTAAGATAAATGCTGAGTGAAAATGAAATACAGACACGTAATTTTACTAAAATAAATTATCATCGACTGAAATGTCCAAGAAGCAAAATTAAAATAAAACACCTTCTTGATGAAACTATGGGATTTCATGTCCATATCACAGAAAGCCTGCACTCTGAGAAAAGGGATTATTATTTACCGCATGTATTGGGAGTACCCAAATCCTTGTTTACAGAATTCATGTTAAGCTTTGATTGATCAACGCTACAATGAATAACTGAAGTAGATAGACCTAGAGCGTAACTATACTAAATCGAATAAACTGTATGTCAATGCATAAGTTTGAAGATATGAAAGGTGACCCAATGTAATACTCTTAAAATATTGATTCATCGAGTCTACTGGATGATTAATGCAATCCTTTCTTTGAGTCAATTAAAACAATTAGTATGGTAAATTGAAACTCAAACTTTGTTCTCATTACAGTAAACCCCAAGCTATGCGTCAATAATGCTACCTCTCATGTTTCTTATGTTTTACATAATGGCTAAGTTCTTCTCATTTTCAATTCAATTAAGGTTAAAGTTATTTCACCAAGAGAGACAAGAAAAACTCCAAAAAAGAACATATGATCGAGTTGTCGCTTTACTAGCAAGAGTTTTCGAACCCTCATCAAGAAAGAGATATTAGTTCGAAAAGAATGAAAACAAGTATAGATTATTTTAGAATAAGGATGAAACTTTTCAGTGAGAAAAGGTAATTATGATAGGCTGAGTATGCTTTTCTTTTACTATTGAGTTTCCAAGTTATTTGCTTCTTGTAACTTCCTTTATTATATCAAGATTTATGAGTCCACCCTCGGTAGAGACTTCAATTCAAAACAAACTGCATTGATTTCATGGCACGTGTAGGAACTAAGAAGTTAGTCACGATAATCAAAATTAACAGGCATTGCATTGTAAAGAAAATGCCCCATCGATGATGGACCCAATAATAGTTTACAACGTGATACTAACTGTAGAAGGTTGGGATTATAAATTGGACCATAAATGGGCATTATTTCGAATGGCCATAGGCCTAGTAGTAGCATTCTTGGTTGCAGACTCAATCAGTAAATTAATATGTAATCACGAGCTGAGCTACAAAACTGCAAAAAGAGAAGGAAATATGCCTGAGAGTAAGTCCTAACAGACCACTTGCCCCCTAAAATGGTGAGTACATGGTTTCATAAAAATTCAGATATAGCTTGTGAAAGTTATTGCAAGAATTTGAGCTATACTCCACTCTACTTCACTTGATGTTCTTTTGCAAGCATAGATTCCTTCAACAAAAGATTTCCCAGAAAACATTACAAGAGATCAAAGTAAAAGTTTAAGCTACAAACTCAAGGCTCATACCATCTTGACCGTAACCTGCAGTAACTTTCAACATGCCACCAAGATGAACAAATCCATCATGATCCACCTGAACAAGAAATTCATTCCTTGTCTTAAATAATTTTTGACAGAGGTTAAATCATTATCAATGGATTTGGTGCTTCAAATATTGTATGAATACACAATACACATCTACAACTACGCCAATTCTTTTTTGGGCCACCAACATGCTACTTCAACGTTTCGACAGTTTATGCCCAATATCTAAAATGTCAGCAGGGTCATTCCCAATAATAACAACATAAATGTAGGTAAAAATGAGAGCAAAATCACCACAAAGTTCATGTTGCTTCAGTTAAACAGTCCCATGCACCTCATACACAACTACGGAAATATAAGTGCCCTGACTAAGATGCTTAATTGAATGCCGATGTGTCAACAAAGGCCATCTTTAAAGCTTTGTTTGGGAGAGTGGGGGGAAGAAAATTTAGGTGTAAGTACACAAAACTGACTTTTCCTTCCATACTCACGAAAATTCCGAATTCTCACCTACCCACTTTCCACCCAAATTTTCATTTTCCCATTTTCCTTCATCTTCCAAACATAGAATAAGAGAACAAATCACCATTTACAGAATTTACTCATTAGCACCGCAGGGAATTTGGGAAAGCACATCACCTTGTGCTTTTTACCCATCTGATCTTCAATGGAAAATCCCTCAACCTTCAAAAGAACTTCAGATCCCTTCAATGCATGATTTCCATATGCATCAAACATCTGAAGGAAATGAATCAAACGAAAGGCATAAGCAAGGGTGCCAAATAATTGCTTCTGCAAATATACAGCGGAATATATGCTAAACACAATGATAATTCCAGTTTGGAACAGGTCATCTTGTACTTCTTTTTCTGTTGTACGGTGAAGTTCTACAAGGTACATGATAAAAAAGTTCAAAGAAGTTCTGCCTCAGATACTTGTTACTTTTCTTTTGAAAGGAGAAAGACCAGGCCTCAATTTCCATCCAATAAGATACCTTATGAAAGACTAAGAACTATACATGGCAAGTAAAATAATTGCCATGGCGATCAGGAAAACGCGCTGAGGACTATGACTATGCAATATGTGCACACAAGTAACAGTCTGAACGTGATTGAGTATTGTCTCATACAAATAATGCTAGAAACTTCATTCACAATTAGGCTTAAGGGCTTGAGAGGATCTGCTTTTACCTCCAATTTGAGTTCTTGTACTATGCACCCAGGAAGCATTTGAATACTTTGCATAGATGGATGTGCCAAAACTCGCCGCATGTGTCCAGGAATAACTATGAGAAAGTTGAGAAAATAATTGCCAGGCATATCAATAGCTGAACAATCACCAAATCTTGTGCTCATGCCTGTAAAGGAATTTAATCTGGAATGTGATACCTTGACATGGTACAGAAATTGACAAAGATTCATCTGGTGGACATAGAAGCATTGTGCCCTCATAGCTTGGCCGGATAATGTCTAAATCCCCACTTTCTATTAGTAAATCCTACACAATCGGTAAATCTGAGTTACCACAACAATGCGTTGTAAAGTGTACAAATCTGAGATGGGCCTGACATACATAGATGTGCATGGTACCTTAATTCTTAGAGTCTTTTTATCGGCCAAACGGCATGCCTTCATTTTCTTTACACAAATCAACGTGCCTTTGCGCATCTTGAATTGCAAATTGACTTTTGGAGTTGATGGAAATGGGATGAGGTTCTCATATCTGTCATAACATGCAACATCTAAAGGTGTAAAGCATGATCCAACCCTGTCAAAATAGCCCATAAATTACATTATAAACCTGGAGCGCCACATATAAACAAAAGAACAAAATTGGTACTTTCAAAAACTTCTTACCATCCTTACCTGACTTTAAGATGCTTATTCTGATCATATCCCAAAAGTTGCCACCTTCCAACCTCAGCAGATGCATGAACTGTTACCTCTTTTTCACAGTTCTTACAGCTTGTCTCATCCTGATCTCAAGTATATATCAACAAAATGATTGAGAGGTATTACACTGTAAAAAGAGTATTTGGTAATAAAGTTTGTCCCTGCTTTTTTTGCTGGCAGAAAAGGGAAGGAAGAGGCTTGCTTACCGTATGGAACAAAAATCTATATACACCGGATTTCTGAAATAGGTCATGTGACTTGTGCTGCAAGGAAAAGATGTATAGACCATGAAATCCTCTATGACTAGACGGTGTCACGCGAGATGAATAGAGATGACTTTCTTGACCATTGTCAGAATCGCCACTGAATTTGACTTCCATAGACATTTCCATTTTATTTTTGACAATGTACTTCTGATCCAAGTTCTTTGGGGCAGTGGAGTAACTGAAATTTGCTGGCCGTACAACTGCTACAATTTCCTTTGGAGGGTCTTGTCCAGCAGGAATGGGTGCATGAACTGGTACTGCCTGAAAACAAAAAGATTAAAAAACAAAAAATGAATAGGCTAGTAATATAGACAGAGGACAGATAATAGTATTTTCAGGTCAGCGGTTATTCTGAGGAGAAGGAACAATATGTATCACCAAGCAGAAATTCTCTTTAGCTCTTAAATCTTTCAGACCCACAGATTTCACGTAAATGCTATAAAATACTCGAACAAGGTTATATAGGATGCTTTAATAAATACTGCCTGCAGTCACATGTGATTTGAAGATTGATTTTTTTTGGGGTCAAAATTTGAAGATCGATTTACAAAACCCTAACGAGACACTTACCCCATGAACTCCTAACTCTTCACATTGGTTGGCATCTAGCAAGTCAATCGAAGATGGTGCTTTCAAGCGGTGCTTCTCCAACTGGCACTCCCACTCGGATTTCCCAACAGCTACTAACTGTGTTTAAAAGCTCAAGATTGAGTAGAGATCACAAAGAATTGCTATTCTGGACATAATATGACATAAACAAGTAAAATGACATTCAAAAAATTAAATAGATACCTTTCCAGAGTCAATGACTCCAATAGGTATAGATACAGAACTCTGAACCTCCAAGCAAACATTTCCATCATGCTTATTGAGGATGCAGCCTTTCTCATCAGGCACCCCTAGCGGCCTTTTACCCACAATAACGCAGGGACAGCTTGTTAGCAGAATCTTGAGGTATCCAATCGGTTGATGAAAACTGAAAATACTTCAACCACAGAAGATCAACAAGTGATTTACCTGCACATGATTCGTGCTTCCCCTGCAGAGACAAGACCATCAGATTAATTGACCAATACACTTAATTGAACAGAATAGAGAAACATCGTCACAATAAATAAACTGTTTTCTCAATCAAGTTGAGGGATCTTCTCATTTAAAAATCCCCTATGAGCAGATAGACGGTTAAAACTTGATCCAAAGGTTTTTCTCCAACTTAATACATGATCTAATTCTTTCATTTCAATCCTCATGCACATAAGTATTGACTTATGGTTCAAATGGAAAATGCTGCCACTGATTGATGTGCGGCACTTCTAAGGAACCTCCCTTTCAGTCCAAAATTCCTTGGAAAACTTAACATAAATAATTCATTGATGGCGAAATAATAAAATTGTCGGAAAACTTTTCACTAATATGGGACGGGCACACATTTGAAACTTAGAGTTACCAAAGAAACTATAACGTCTGTACATATTAACGCAGTGTATCTCTTTCTGTTTCATATCGCATGCTCAACAGAAGATTCTATTCTGTTAAGTATAAACATGATCTGTTAGACGTACTGAGATAATCTACCATGGCCACAATAAAAGTATCGTTTTGGCAGAAAGCTCAAAATAAAAGCAACTAAATGCATGCATGTATAACATTTCTTACCACCACCGTCTCCTTGAAGTCCTTCAAGCAAAAAATATTCCAGAGTAGCATAAACATTGTTGTTGTGCACTCCGGCACATGCTCCTTTCAGAATTTTGATTTTCTGGCCACGTCTCCAAGATACTCCCTTCCTTTTCATCCGACGGTGCACTCTCACAACTAAGATATAGATATTTAAATTAACCAATTGCACCATGAGAAGCAAAACAAACAAATAATAGGTAAAACCAGAAGCAGTACAGTTGAAGAAGTTCAAAAAATATCAAGCATTTTGCCCAAAACACGAAAAGACTGAATGGCAAGCCACTAGCATGCGACATAGCTGAGCTTAACTGGTGATCCACTAAATTATGATATAAATACTTCTACATACCGTCAGATGATACACCAAGTGCCTTCTTGTTTCCAGGGTTGATTATGAAAACAGCTTGGTCTTCGCCGCTGTCAACCTCTTCATCATAACGTTCATGCATTTGGATAATCCAATCACAATATTCCTTTTCCAATTGTAAAGGAGTCAACAACTTCTCTTCTCTACAGATTTTAAATTTTATTTCTACATAATGGAAAAAAGATTCATTAAGGACTTTAAAGTGAAAACCATGTAAGTTCAAGAAAAAGATAGTGGGTGTAAATACAAGCATGACCTTTAACTCCATCAAGAGGCCTGCCAATTTTTTTAAGAGCACTGGTAAATGGGCTGTGCTGGGCCAAATCTGTCTGTAAAAAGTAAGGAGCACTGAGCATCTCTATATGAAAGTTCCACAAGAAGATGAGCAATTTACATTTCTCAAGCAATTTAGATGAGGACTATATGTCAATCTACCTATTTTGGTCCTTTAATTTAGCAATTTAGATTAGGACTCTATGCCAATCTACCTATTTTTGGCCTTCAATTACTCTTTCTGTAAAGCAAAGTATTTCAAGTACTGAACCATTTACATAAGAAAGACATGTTTTAGCTTCAATGTTTTCCGAAAGTACATTATTTGCTTATCAAGCAAAGAGTCAGCTCAACAGATATTAGACAAATGAAGAACCAAAAGAAAAGGAAGTGAAGAAGACCTGTCTTTGAAATTTTGATCATCAAACTTATTGCCGTTTCCAATTAATTGAATTTAAAAAATTTATTAAATTGTGTTAAGATATCATAAACTCATCCTAAAATCTACGTGTGTCAACTCAAAAAACCTTTAAATTTCAATAAAAGCATTATTCTACTGCAAAGGCATACAGGTACTGTGTTTGCATAGTTCTAACCTTCTCCCTGGCTAGGTAACAGCAATGAGAAAGATTTGAAACATTACTGTCAACTGATATATAATAGACGAATGACAACATGTTTTGCCCACAGATATAACACTTAAAAGGAACTACTAAGACATTGAATTCAAATGTACTAATATGTCAACATAAAGAGGACTCAACTCTGATCAAACTTATGACAGCCACATTAAAAATGCTACCATTTTATCCATAAAAGGGCACATTCCCACCAACATACATCATGAAATTTCAGAAGAATCACTTTGGAAACATATGAATAATCTGGAGACATTTTTCATTTTTTGTGTTCCTGCTCCAGTTTGCACCTCAGAAACTGCACGCTCTGTTTGGCCTTACTACGAGAAATCTCTATTCCATATGTTTTCAGTAGATCAAAATGGAAATTCTTGAGTTACATAAAAATATTACAACTGGGAACATGAAGTATTCTAATACTGAAAGCTTGATGGCCCATGTATAGGCAGTAGAGCTCCCCTCACCTTAGAAGTTGTTGGAGAGAATCCAGCATCAGTCTCTGCATCATCAAATTTTATGTCAGACATATTCATGATGTATAGAATTGAAGAAAATGCAGTCTCATCAGATAGGAAAGGTCCGAATAATCAGTGATAACAGTACCAATAAAGCATTTAACTCTAAAGAAAGATCTCCTGAATAAGTGAGCTTTATCTCCTTTCTTATGTCTCTCTTCCATGAATGGAAGCAAACCCTGTGGTAGAAAGCAACCATTAGGATATTGGTTACAACGCTTTTTTTTTCTTTTTTCTTTTTTTGTTAATAATCAAGTTAGCAAATAAGCAGAGACAGTGGAAGCATCGAACATTTGACATTGACGCGATTTAATCCCAAAATTTTCAATTAGATCAAGTTTCTCAAATAGGACCTTCTCAACGTGCACATAAAATTTCTATAAGATAAACCACTATGTATATATATGTTGAGTATTTGTGTTTTCTTGAAAATCTTGTCAGAAATTCCTTCATTTTGGAATAAATCTTACCTTTGATGATATTCCACAAGATACGAGGTGAATATTACATAAAACCTTCACTGTTAATTGAGTAAAATCGAGAAAAATACATGTATAAGCATATTAGAGACCCATTTACTGCAAAATGAGTCTTATTAGCTGACTCAATAGCTTGAAGAAGATGATGTCAACATTTGCATATATGCACTACAAGGGAGGAACAGAAATGAGCAAATGCAATTGAAGTGGGCAAATATATGAAAAAAAAAAGAAAGAAAAAGTAGATTTTAGCAGTTGTCATAGACTAAATGAGTTGCCACAGGCATTTGCTGGACATGAAAGCACATTGATATTGACTATAAGTTTTGGGCAAGATTGCCCACCAAGGAAAGAGGTAGAGCATGTTTTGATGGGGTTAACCATTTGGAAAATTTACTAGAGTTGATAAAAATGAGTTGCACTGCAGCACAACAGCAAAGAAGTCTTGAAATGGCGTCCTGATGTTTCACCGTTGTTCTAGCATGCAATACACGCAACCCGTCACATGATATCTGCTATTCCCAGCACAGCAGCCGCAACATAAAGGTAAGAAAGTGGTCTCATCAAACCTATAAACCAGCCTGGCCAAAATATAAAAAACTTAACCAGCCTAGGAAGTTATACTTGATACCAGCTTTAAACACATCGCGTTTGCTTAATTTCATGCAGGGAATGAGCTACGACTGTTTGATCTTTCATACTAGGGCAATGGCTGTCACAGTCGTCCAACTTCCATTTGCTGAAGATTTAATCAAATTTTTTTCAGGTTTGCAGAATGCTTCCTTTCTTGATGCACTAATATCCATCAGATGAGCAATGGCTGTGACAGTTGTCCAACTTCCAAAAGGATAACCATGGGTCGAGGCGTCTAAACCTCGCTTCATGGACGGTTCGGGGAAAATGGATTATGAAGGACTATTGGGCCACTAGATTTAGAGAGCGGAGAAAAAGAAAAGTTTAAATAACCATCTGTTAACAGGGGGCCATATCCAAAAGGATAAAGGCTTGAAGATGTGTGATCAATAACAATGTAAGCTGTACTACTTTAAAGCAGCATAACATTTAAGGATCGTGAAATTTTCTGTTGGTTTTTAGGCATTTAAGCCTGCATCTCACCATCCTAATCTTATGTAATGCAAGGGAGTTGCCTGGGCGTTTTGTTTCATCAGCTTTTCTTAGTTTGATTATAATATCCGAAAAGATCCACAACTCACCCAGCGAGCATCTGGAAGCAGTCGGCCAAGACGTCGGATTGACACGCGACTGAAAGATTCATAGGTTTCATCAACTTTGCATCCATCAGCTTCTAACTTCTCTAAGATTCTCTCGATGTTTTCCTTCCCCTGGAGTACTTAAATAAAGAACTTCCTCCACAGTAAACTGAAAAGAAAAGAAACTATAAGAATATACTGCCATACCTGAACAACAGGATAGTAGACACACCTCAGGCGAGCATTAGCCTCATGAATTGATGTGGAACCTGAAAAGTGTTGCGACTTATTATATTAGAGACAAGCCGCAATCTGAGTCACATTCTTAGGTAAAACTAGTGCTAAAATCATTGATGCCAACAGACCAAAAGAAGGGCCTAAAAACAATAAAAGGTGGACAACCTAGAATAAAAGACGATAAAACTGTCTCCTCTTTTAAAAAGAAGGGACAGAGAACTACAGATACTTACCAAGTATTCTATTAGCATCAGTGTCCGGTGTGATCGAAAAATGAACTTGAATTATAAAATCAGGACCATTGCATGAATGCAAGTTGGTGATTGCAACCTCCCCGCCTTCAATTTCAGCTAAATCAATACCATTAACCTGACAAAGCACAAACTCATTTCATGGTGCAAAAAGCTTACTATGAGATCCCATTATTGCATAATGGGAACAATTTTTTCCACAAATCATACACTATAACAAGCTCATATCACAAGCGTCTTAATAGCAAACCTTCTCGAATTAGTTTATATATTTGTAGGCATAGCGAGAACAAGAAATCCGAAATTGTTTGTAAAACTGAACAACATAGTTACATAGCTGGATTGTGCCTTTTCTATCCCAACATTAAGAATGTAGACGACTGCCTGATCACAGTGAACTAAAAAGATAAATGCAATAATGGGTACAATTTTTTCTACAAACCATACACTATAACATGCTCATATCATAACCGTCAAAAATAGCAAGCCTCAAATTACTTAATATAGTTGTAGGCATAGCAAAAACAAGAAAATCCAAAATTGCTTGTAAATCTGAAAAACATAGTATTGTGCCTTTTCTATCCCAATATTAAGAATGTAGAAGACTACCCGTTCAAAGTGGACAAAAAAGATAAAAGCATCAAGTGGCTGAAGGAGATAATATTAGAGGCTACCGTATCAACAGTGCATTTCATACCTCGAAATGGACCGGTCTGGTTGTCCTCCTCAAATTAGACAAACCATCACACTGCAAACAATCAAACTAATGAGATAAAATCAAATCTAAGCATCCTATATGATCCTCATAGAAAAAAAGCAAACCTTCATAACCCTGAAAAGTCATTTCACCTACTACTTGCTCTCTTAAACATTGCTCTACCTTGATATCCCCAGTAATACAGCAAGTTAGTCATAGTTATGAATTCACCAGAAGGGAGAACTCATTAGCATAGTTTCAAATCATAGCCAAGAGTAATAATCTCAAAGACATTGACCAAAGCCGTATCCCACATTGACCACAATTGCTAACTGAACCCAACTTGATCTGGTAGCAGCATTTATGAACATTTTGCAGTGATGGCATTATAGCATTATTACATGTGCTATAGCAGTAATTTTTCATAGCAGCATTAAAGAAATTATGATACTACATCGATATTCTATTTGGCAAAATCAACAGAAGTGTTTGAGTTACTCCAATTTCTGCAGAACTTAAACTTTCCACCACCACAACTCCAGGCAATCAAAGATGACATCAAGGCACCATCTAAAATTTGCAAAAATGCAGATCTGTTTGAAAAATCTAGCAAAACCTTTTAAATTGTTAGAAAAATAGATCATTCTAAATTTTACGAAAGTGATACGACTCTTTCCCAAGTTTAGCTGATGAACCTCATAAAGCCAAGAGAAAAAGACCAGCATGACTTTTTCCACTTGTGGTGGAATAGTTTCTTGCTATAACATCTCTATAAAAGTCTTGTTAAAGAGTGCTCGGGACACTTGTTAAGCATACTTATATGAAATGTATCGATTTCTAAAGCATCAACTACACATAACACAAGTAAACAGTGCATCTAAAACTGTAAACTTTCCTCAATTTGTGATTTAACAAGTGCCCTAGGGGCACTCTTTAACAAAATCCTAAAGAAAAACAGATATGATGGCAGCAAACCTGAACATATGGGAAATAGATGTCCTTCAGCTTGCACTGGAGTTGATATAGATTCACCTTTTTCATTCTAGGCTTGAAAATCTCAACCTGTACGGATTTTACACGACAAGACTGCTTTAAAACATCACAACATATTGTCTAGGTATCGAGAATTCACAATATTTACCAGCTCGTGACAAAGCAACAAATACCTGAAAATTTACCGGCAGAATGTATTTAGAACAATACATTCAAGTCATTAACCACATATATATGCCCAAGGCAGTACACGAAAGAAATAAGATTTTTTGCTTAGAACTTCATATTGGAGGCTTTACCCCGTCAACAGATGCCGGCATGCGTGAAGATGTCTTCTATCAATCATTATTGACTTCAAATGTTCCAAGAGTTATGTCTTAACTCAAAGTAGCAGCCATCTTATTTGTTTCATAATCCTTGTGAGGGGGTTTCATCTCTCACTCATGTATAGTTCTCAACTCGCCTCACATCTCCTAGATTTTGAATTCTCCCTATCTCTTCCCACTGTGTTACCTCTCCTATAAATATTTCAATCTTATATCTCAAAAAGAACATATATTTTACTGCCGCTTTAGTGGAGTGACATAATTAGAAAATCTAAAGCCTAAGATTTGCTCAGGAAGACTAACTTTGCCTTGAGGACAAAGTAAAGACATGACCTGAGAAGTCTTTGACTGGCATAATCAGAGAATCTAGACCCTAATAGTCACTCAAGACGACTGACCGATGACCACTTCCAAGTCCTGTGCCATGGCCAAGCCAAAAAACAAATTTCTAGAGCAATGGAGGTTACGAAAAAGGCATGCTTTCAAGAAGTGTCCCGGAGAATTTGGGATGATGCTCAGGTCAGAGCATGACAAATAACCTCCTAGACAATGGTTTTTACCAGATTTTGGAGAGATTAGCTGAGTAAAACCTTCCCAGAAAAAACACATGCAAAAATTCTCCGGGACATAAAAAAAGAAAAGATGTGGCATGTAGTGGCAGAATGTCCTACTGACACTAAAATACAACAACAGAAAGAATGAATTAGAAAAAGTCTACCTTCATGAAGCTTCCTTGAGGTGCTCTGGCACTTTCATTTTCTAAAGGAACCCTTACGCCACCATCAGTCTGAATAAATGATAAAGAAAATGATGACTGGTCGGATAAATCTATGTATGGAACATAACGGAGTCCAGTCAAGAGAAAAATATGACAACAATAAGTTATCAGTGATCTTGCATACTTTCCAAGAGTGTTGAGAACCAGATCTGCTCAATAGAGCTTCTCTCTTCAGATGTAACATGTATACTCTCTTGGATTTCATAGTCTTGGAAGAAACTACGGCATGCCTGTAACTCATTAAAACGTAAAGAGGTGTAAATTACCTCTACAAAATATCATGGGCTACCAGTTTCTACAACTATAATGCTCTGGAACGTACCTTCCCAAATGCATAGAGGCAATTGGTCCTCCATATCCAAACAAGCCAAAGAAAGGCTGCACCACACTCAACAAATTATCGAGAAACCAGAAGCAATTTGAACTTCTAGAGATTTAAAACAGTTAAATTTTCCCGATTCAAAGCAATGTCCAAGCAGTGGAACGGTGAATTGTCAGCTAGTTAGGAACATACTGTCAACTTCTCTCGCATAATTCCGACTCATAGAAAACAGAAGTTTGTGTTTGCTTTCTCTTGGGGGAGGATAGGGAAAAGATACACATCAACAAGATTTTGTTTTTCAATGATCCTAATGCTGCATGGCGCAACAAAGCTTTGAAAATCAATTCCACCGATGAGAAGTGGAAGGTATCAGCAACATTTGCGGGAAAAGGAAGTTAATTCTTTAAAGACATTGAATATTTCATGTCATACTTGACAGTGTATGAATATGGCTGCGGAAAAATCGATTCACTCCAAATATATTGAAGTCAACCAATCATTCACATGCGATACTAGCTTGCATTAATTTCCATCTCTAGGAAATATCAATGGATTCCTGCTACTTGCGAAAGGACATTTTGTATGTCTTTTTTATGCAGAGACTAGGAGATTCAATAAATGTTAAACGTTTAAAGAGAAATTACCATTAGATATGGAGGTTTCCCACCTACTGCCTCAGCTTTAAACTTTCTGTGAAGTGAGGCACCCATCTTTCCCCTAGACAAAAAGAATAAAAACAATACACGAAAAGATACAAAAAGAGAATGAAATCAGAAACCAAGGCTTGCTAGCAAAGGAATTTAATTTTGTAATTATGCATCTCTGTTTTCTTGAAAAAAAAATGTCTGCCCTATAAAGTATATTTCTAAAAGAAATAACTGGAAAGGATACAGTCAGTTTTCTCCATAAAAAAGCTATCATTTTGCATTTAAGTAGCACCAGCCTCTTTTGAAAAATAGATAATTGACTCAAATAATCATCTGAAGAAGATGTAACTCCACATTATCATAGTATGTATGAAATATCATTTCACAAATGTTGTTTCTTCATTTTCAACTAGATAACCAAAATTTACCAAATGCACAGATTTCACCCCTAAGATTGTCTCCTCTAGCCAAAATACTGTTATTGGTATAAGTTGCCATAACCACGTGAGTGTGTGGGTGTATGTGTGGGTTTGAATTAAATGAGGGAAGAAAAAACATTGCTTTAGAGTACTGCATACCACTTTGTTATAGAGTTCTCATCACTGTCATCCATTCCAGGGCCAGTGTCAAAGATTGAGATCTTTTCATCAGATATATCCAAGCTGCAATTTCAAAACAACAGTGATCCAGGCACCAAAGTTCAAACCCAACAAAATGTCAATAATAAGAATGCAGCTATCACAAGCACCAAGATGACAGATGAAATATAGCTAACACGAGATCATATGGCATCAAACACCTATCCTGGTTAATTTCACATATCGTGTTAAAGTAACTGCGACAGTCTCCACTTGAAACTTATGATTTCATAATATATTGCACAAAGATGTTTGCATTGATGAAGTCCTATGTGGTTCAGACTTAAAGAAGAGTTTTGTTGGCAATTAGCAAAGGGCAGTGATACTTCCAAACAAAGGAAAAGCTTCAATGTTGTTTTCCATTACTCTAGTGATTTATTGTTCACTAATTTAGTTGAACAACAAAAATGCGTGTCTACAGTAGTTCATATCTATCCAGTAAACAAGCCATTATTCACCTTTTATACATTTGCTTAGTATAAAAGTTTCCTTTTGAAAAGAAAAGGTTCCATTTATAGGAGAAGTTCTAAGATGCACCCGGTTCAACAACTAGATCGACACAGAGAAGAATCAACCTTTGTACAGCTTCCACCATAAGCCACGATATTAATTCTAATGTTCCACAAATTCTCAGCTTTAAGCCACAAAAAGGTTGATGTTCCAATCCTAATAAACACGTAGCAAGATCAAGACATCACCTAATCAATCTTTTAGTTTTCGGAGGATTAGCCCACACAGCTTGCAAGGAATTATCCTGGTGAAAGGAGCAGGAGTCAGTTTGGCATCAAACATGGATCTCACCTTCCAAAATCATCAGGACAACTTACTATTAAATCTGCAAGAGCAGTTTCAAAAGTATATTCTTCAGGTAGCTCCTTCAACAAGTCTGTATCGGGCGTCAAATCCCACATATTCTGCAAGAAGTTTCATGCACATATCAATGCAATCACTTGAAGAAGCACAGAGAACCAGAGGAACTCTATCATAGCATGTGTGATGTGTTAAAAGGCCATAATACGCTCCCCATATGGTACTAGCAAAATTCACAACAAGAGAACTCCTAGAGGGCAAGTGATACCCATCCTGCAGAATATATCAACAGCTGGGTACGATGCGATAAGAAATACAATACTAACCTCAAAAGTATCAGTTGTGTTGGCAGACCCATCCTAGTTGGGAAAAGAAAATACAAACAGACAGTAAAATAAGAACAGCCATAAAAGTGAATATGCACGATATAAGAACACCGGTACAGTCTACTCTCAGTAAATTAAAAGACAAAGCAAGCGAAAGAAGTATGACTTGCCCCAATACTTACGTGAAGATGCAAGATGTGGCGTTTGTGTGGCTTAAAGTGGGCGAAAATGATTCTGCTTTTGATTTTATGTCCATTGGCATCTTCTATATACGACCCATCGCTCTCCCATGCGATGGGACGTCTCAACTTGAGCAACGGATCCTGTGCTTTGGCTCGAACGTACCTTTCTTTGATCATGAGTATGAAGTCTTCAAGGGGCATGAAGGAGCTGGGGTCCCTTATTGTGATGCCCACAGTAGTCCCATTCGGCAACAGTATTGTAAATCTATATACGCTGTCGATATGACCACCATCATTCGTCGTCTGATCGACGCGCCTCTTCCTGTCGCTCCCACTAGACGGGCTCGGCTCCATCCTTAGCCAGCCCAGAATCTGTTACCCGAAAGGGAAATGGCCTAAGCTGAGCTCGACACAGATCACACGGGTCGAAAAGCACAAACGAGAAAGCAGAGGAAAACATCACTCCCTCAAAGCACATTCGACTGCAGAGCTTCAAAAAGATGATTCCTTTCCGGTCTTTTCTCGTAATACAGAACCAAACACATAGAAAAGGCACGGCGTGTTGTGAACATCAGAACATTTAGACGAATTGGCCGATAAAGCGATCGTTCGAGCAGGCTCGAAACACGGGCCCGGCAGAAGCAAACGAAAAAACCAGACTCTTTCCGACGTCACGCACCGCGCGAACGTGACTCGACGCGACAACAGGCAAAAAGAATTCCTAGAGCTGATCTTTTAACACGACGTCCTCGCGCACCAACTCCAGGTCCGGCGAGAGAAAGATCAACGAGCAAGCACGGGCCACCCGATCGAAACTCGAACAACACGGGCGCCACGTGAACGTCGGAAAAGCGCGAATCAAGGAAGAGGAAGAGGGAAAAGGAAAAGGCGAGAGCGTGCCTGAGCGAGAGCGAGAGCGAGAGCGAGAGCGAAGGGCGATGCAGCAGATACAGCGGAAAGAAAGCCACGGGAGAAAACTTCAGCCCCTGCTGTTCGTGCCTAATGCTGCGAGCGACAAGACGACGAGGAGGAGGAGGAAGGGGGAGGGAAGACGATGACGGAGCGCGACGCCTGTGCACTCTTGCAAAACCCCGAACGACGTAAAGTGGCCGATGCGACGCGCGGACGGGAGGGCTGGCCCCCTTTGAGATCGCGCCACGTGGACGCGGCAGCGGCGACGTCTCGATGGTGCAAATATTTACGGGAAAATTTCAAATAAAGCTCGAAATGCTTTCATTTTTCTTAATAAGGACGTGAAATAAATTTTATCTTAAGAATAAAAGTAAATCTTGTCTCGAATAAGACTTAAAATTGCCATTTCAGTCTCAAATAAAAACATGATATCACCAGCCAAAAGATACTTTTAGTTTTTACTTTTTTGAATCTTCTTTTTTTTTACTTTTGTTTTTCTTTTCCTTTTTCCTTTTCTTTTATTTTCTTTTTTTTCATCTCTTCCCGCCCACCTCAGTCGGAGGGCGACCCTCGCCCGCCATTTTTTTCGTCTTTTACTTTTTTGAATCTTCTTTCCTTTTTTCCTTTTTCCTTTTTTTCCATTTCCTTTTCTTTTTTTTCCTCTCTTCTCACCCAACTTAGGCGGAGGCCGCCCTCGCCTTGGCAGGCGAGGGTCGCCATTGCCCGCCCAGCCCAGGTGAGGCGACCACCCTCGCCCGAAGCCGACAAGGGCGACCCTTGCCTAAGGGCGGCGGCACCAACCAAGCGCGATGACAGCTGGGGAGGGAAGAAGAAAAAAGGAAAAAAAAAAACAAAAAGAAAAGAAAGTAAAAAAATCAAAAAAATATACTTATAATTTTTTTTACTAAAATTCACCTTTTTTGATGACAAAATAGTCACCGGCCAGCCAATGGTCCTTATTTGAGACGATTTGGCGACTTCAGTCCCTTATTTAAGATAACGTTCACTCCAGGCTCTTATTTGTGAAAATGATGGTACTTCAAGTCTTTATTTGAAATTTTTTAATATTTACGGCTGCAAATTCGCAGCTAACATAACTAGATCAAATGCTTTTTAGTTGCGATATTCGATTTTATCATTTTTATTGCAATATAAATTGAAAGATATAATCATATATTCAATAGATATTCGCTTTTGAACGTGTTATTATATTAATTCGCTTTTATGCTTTCCGTTTAATTTTACACGTTGGTGATGGCTTTTTCGTTAGTCTTTTTAGGCAATGACTTGAGTGGGGACCACATAGTGCATTTATAAAGAGTCAAAGTCATGACTATTTTGATCAAAAAGAAAGTCATGACTAATTTCGTGAAAAAATAAGGTTAAATGTTTTTAGGATTTCTTTTGCTGAAATTTTTTATGTAGAAAATAAAGAATTATCTCGTTAATAGTCATTGCATTAAATGCACTTATTCTATAGGATAAAAGGTACCAAAAATCCAAATTATGCCCACCGGACACATTTACTTGTATGATTATTAACCATAAATTTTTACCTACGTTACATAAACTTTAGTGTGATACAAAAAATCATAAACTTATATGTGATATATTTATGTAATGCCATAAAAAACCTCAAACTTAGACCCATGTTACACATTTACTTTCGTCAAAATTTTTTTCCTTTTTTCTTTTTTCACTTCCTCCTTTGTCTCACCGCCGCCGTTACCCTTGCCGTCATTATCGCCACCTTCCTCACTTAGCCAAATCAAGGAAGAAAACGAAGGAGAGAGCTATTAAAAAAAGGAAAAAGAAAATTAGAAAAAAACATACAATAAATAGACATATTTTTGCTCCAAAGCATCTAGTCAGCACCGTTTGTTTTCCACCATCCATATAGGCAGCCATATAAGATTTATCCTAGCATTCGAGTAAATGCGTCGCACAAGTATAAATTTGAGGGTTTATGATGTCACAAAATAATTCAGAGTAAATATATTACAGTTAGTATAATTTGATTTTTTTTTTTTTTTTTTGGCTTTTCCCCTTTCCAAATGCGATGCATTAATCATGATCCATGCAAATATTGTCTCTAGGGGGAGTCCTACACGTCGGATGCAAGATCTCAGGACCACTCATTTGAAAATGGTCATCAAACTTTCGTGACATATTAAAGTACAAAGCATGTTGATAATTAATTTCTGGGCGTCAAATCAAATTCATTTAACCACATACGGATGTCAAAGTCAAATCACTGACATTGGCGGTTCTTTTTGTATAGGAAGACCGACCGCTTCACGTGGACCGAGCTATTGAACGAGTGAAGCATTAAGCTACTGGCTTTTGTTGTGTCCCAGGTTACTTTGCAAAATCATTATAGTAAATCTATTGATCACTTATTAAATTCACTAAGTAACTCTACACACGGAATTATTTTTTTCTATATCGGGACTTATTATTAATAACATGGATAAGATACGTGTAGACCTTTACTTTCCTTTAGAAAAAAAAGGTATTAGCTATATAAATAGATTACTGACTAGATTACAGTTAAAGCTGCTTTTCTTTCCAAGTGAAAATTTGGAAATTGCGTCGAGAAGCAGATGCAATCACGGGGAGTGGCCAAAGGTTGGGCTCAATGTGCTATCAAGGCCTACCCGTACATAATGCCTAAAGAAAAATTAATATCAACTCTTTTTATTAGACTCGAATTACTTACATTTTCAATTTGAAAAATTTTCCGGTTCGCCATTGGAAATGACACCTACGATAATGATGTAAATAAATTTATTATGTAAACGAAGTTATTATTTATACAAAGAAGCTACCATTTTTTTGTTAAGTCTATATTTCCTTTTTACGATGAAACTTAACAGTCAATAGTAGTTTTCATTGATAACGGCTAGGTACATAATACCTCTTCATACAAAAAGCATGATAATTTCTCAACAATAGACGTGAGATGCAATCAGGTGTGATAATCTATTCATTAAAAAAAGGTCGCATCGTCTTTCTGGTGATCGTGCTAATTAGGGCATATTTGGTAACTGGCCAAACAATACCCGATTCTATTATTTTGTTCCTGCGAATAAAAAAAGAACAGAAATCCGTTTGACAAATATTTTTTTCTAGTTTTGGAACAAAATCAAGAATTAAGAAAAGTTCATCCTTAATTCCGGGATCAAGAATAAAAAATGGAAGAGAAACATTTTTTTCTTTTTTTTCTTTCTTGGCCTATGGCCGGCGACCGGCCATAGGCTACGGTTGGACCCTCGCGGCTTGGACGAGGGTCACCCTTGCCAGACCCTCCCTAGACCTAGCGAGGGCTGGAAGAGGCCGGCGAGGGCCGCCCTCGCTGCTCGTGGCTTGGGCGAAGGCAACGACGAGGGTCCGGCCCTTGCCTAGGCCACAAGGGCCACAACACCCTCGCCGACCGACTACTCGACCATGTGCCAAGGAAGGAGAAGAAGAAAAAAAAAGAAAAAAGAAAGAAATATTAAAAATTTTAAAATATTATTAATAAAAAGAAAATTTGTGCAATTACCAAATGTATTTTTGGTTTTTTTCTATTCCAAAAATAGAAATTTTGGACAGTTATCAAATGTTTTTAAATGCTCAGAAATTATTTCCGAGAATAGAATAAAAAAAATCATTTCAGTGTAGAAATTATTTTCGGAAACAGAATGGTTATCAAACGCACTTTTAGCGACTAATTTGTATTATAGGCATTTATTATCTCTCATGGAGAAAATTGCTGCTTTGGATATGCTAAATTGCTAAGGTAGTTGGGTATGATAACATGTTTGTTAATCTCGAATTTTCCTAATTTAATTAATTAATCTTAGTTGGGAAAATGGCACGAACAGTTTCTGAACTTTGGCATAATGCGCAATTTGGTCCCTGAACTTTTAATTTGTTCAACATAATTCATGAACTTTAATCCAATGTGCAATGTGGTCCCCGAACTTTTAATTTATTCAATATTATTATGAACTTTTTGATACGTGTTCGATTCGATATCTGAACTTTAATTAGGATATTCCTAATGCTAGGCACCTATTTTTTTATTATTTCATTTGTTCACAATAAAAGAAAGATTTTCCTTTTTTTGGGTCTGAACAATAAAGGACGATTTGAGGTGGCGAGATCTCAGCGGGAGTGACGCAATCACGAAACCTTCCCGGAGTTTCTCTCCTTTGTTGCAGAGCAGTTTCGCCCGAAAGATTTGGGCTGCTCGACACGTGGCCGGAGATCACGCGCCACGTCGGCTGCGGCGGTGTCCGAAAGCGTGGCGGGCGGTCACGCACTTCGCGCGCTCTTCATGTGGGGAGGATTGGGATCCAACGCTGGGCTAATCTCACTCCGCAATCAATGAATCTGTGCCTCTTATATCTCTTTTCTGTTACGCATTCCCCAAGCAATCTCTCTCTCTGGAGCTGCCTCCTGCTGCTGCTCTGCTTCTAGCTCTTCGCTCTCCGGCTGAAGACCTTCTCCCCATGGAGACCCTGCGCTTCGCTCGGGGAATCCCGTGTCGAACGACGCCCGTGCGGGCCGGCGCTGGCGGCGCCGGTGCGGCCGGTCAGGCGCGGTTCGTTCCGCTCCGGAGGAAGGGCGCCGGAGCCGGCTCGACCGTGCTGAGGAGATCGGCGAGCGGCGGGCGCGGCGGCGGCGGTTTCGGTGGCTCGCCGTCGAAGGACGAGTTCGCGGTGGAAGATGAGGAGCGGGAATCCGAGGGTGGGCTGGTGTTGGGTACGGAGAGGGACGCCTCTGGCTCTGTCGTTGGGTTCAACCTCGTTCCCCAGTCACGGCCTGGTAAAGCGCGCGGGGGCATTTGGGTGTCTCGATTTAGGAGGATCTTTTTGCTTGCTCTCTCGGTGGATGTTTTTTTTTCCCGGTGGGATAACTAGGAGGATTCCGATACGTGGTCTGTTAATGGTGAATCGTGTTGACTGGTTTACTTGCTAAAATGATGTGGTGGGTGGGTATCATTGCATCACCCCTCGTCCTTCTTCTCTTCTCCGAAGGTGCTTACTCGGTTCACCGAGGTTGTTCTACTCAGTGAAGCTATTCATCTACATACATAATGTTCCACTTGGCGGTGGTAGCATTGATTGTCACCTCCCCACAATGTTAGTTATAAAGAGAAAACAGACTGGCCTGAGATCGGAGACATGTTCTTTTTTTTCATTGACGCTGGGCATTGGGATAGACAAGTCGGAACTTGCTTCCCCAATTTACGTTGCGATGCCCTTTGGCTTATTTGCTGGGACCTATTGAATTTGGGACGGTGATGATTTTGCGGATGCTTGGCATTCTGATCTTTCTTGCCCCTCTTAGTTGCTTATTCTTTCACAGTTTTGTCGATGAGTGATAGTACTCCAGTACTAGCTTTTGTAGGCTGAAAAAAACTTTAAAAAAAAAGAACAGAGTTTCAAGGGTGAGCACAAACCATTGTATATGCTCTGTTTGTCACTGCCTACAGCTTGTCCTGTACCCTTCTATCAACTAGATATGTAGAAAATGAATTCATAAATCCACTACTTGAGTAGCAGCTATGGTTTTCACATTGTTACACGGCAGCACACCTGGCTCCACCTATGGACTTAACAATGTAATGTTACATGTTTCAGAGTATCTTGATCTGTTGAATGAGTTCTGCGATCAATTATGAGAAAAGGAGTTGTATAGGCATGACGCCAACCTTCTCTGTGATATCCCAATATGGTTGCTTCCAGATGAGAACTTCGCCAAATTTTTGCATTGCATATTCTTGAGTTGTTTGTATTTTCTTGAATGTGGTGAAATGGTGGTTATCATTCTCATATTCGATGTGTTATGTAGATTATGTGGAAGTTGCTAGTGCTGAGGAAGAAAAAAGCACTGGTGAAATAGAAGAGACTGAGGAAACAGAAGGCGAAGAGGAAGCCAAAACCAAAGTATCTTACAACATCGTTTTTGTGACTGCTGAAGCGTCTCCCTATTCTAAGACAGGGGGCTTGGGAGATGTATGTGGTTCATTACCAATAGCCCTAGCTGCTCGGGGACACCGTGTTATGGTTGTCACTCCCAGGTACCTAAATGGAACTGCTGCAGATGAAACATATGCCAGTGCTCTCGATTTGGATAGCAGCATTAAAATCTATTGTTTCGGTGGAGTTCAAGAGGTTTCCTTCTTCCACGAGTACAGAAAAGGTGTTGACTGGGTACGAATTGTCTTAATGCTATTCATGATGTAATTCCAGGATCCACGACTTGTAGATAACTTGAAACTATTCTTTTCAGAAGCCAAGTTAGCACGTTCTGTAAAGTTTTAATACAGTTAGTATTCAGTTGGAACCTTTGTTTCGGTGTTGAGTTGTCATGCAACTTCTCAGGTATTCGTGGATCACCCATCGTACCACCGTCCTGGAAATCCATATGGAGATAGTTATGGTGCTTTTGGCGATAATCAGGTTATAGCATTTGAAATTCCTCTTGCTTATTGCTGCTTTTTGAGAGTTTATATTAAGATCAGCGTTTAACTTGCTTCCTTAAAATATGGCAATGACAAATTCTTCTCCCGCTGGTTTTACAGTTTCGGTTCACTTTACTTTGCCATGCAGCATGTGAAGCCCCATTAGTTCTTCCCCTGGGAGGTTTCACATATGGGGAAAACTGTCTGTTTCTAGTCAACGACTGGCATGCCAGCCTTGTGCCAGTGTAAGTCATCCCCTTTTCTTTTCAGGAACCGGACAGATGATCACCTTAGATTATGATGCCTTGATGTTGCTTCTTTTTCTACTTTATCAGTCCTGTCTTTGCTTGTGATCTTATTATCAGATGCAGTTTCTTTTATTGCAGTTCCTAAAAGCAGGATCATAATTCTTATAAGATGATGAGATGGCAATAGTGTATGATTTGGCTTAGACCAAAAATGAATTGAGAAGTTGCATGATAATGGATAATGACTTTGGACTATATATGTTTCTTCAGTCTATGGTTGATATGCATAATTTGCATGCGGAAAGTAAAGGATACCATTGCTCACTTGCTTGAGGAGCTTTGTTTGACTGTGTGCCGACACAATAAAATATTTATTTGTGTTGTTACGCATGATAGACTGTCTTTTGGTACAGACTCTTGGCAGCCAAATACCGTCCATTTGGAGTTTATAATGATGCTCGTAGTGTTCTCGTAATCCATAACCTTGCACATCAGGTAAATGCTTTGTGATGTTTTTTTCAAATGGTATATCTTATTTGAGAAAACCATGAAGAAATGTAGCTCATCTCTAGGTGAAGAAACTAAGGGTTGTTTATAAACTCTCACCACTGACCAACTTTACACGAACAGTCAAAGTTTTTCTGATTATATTTCAAAAATAAGGTACACTTATGAAACATGGTCCCTTATGCATGATCTCGCAGGATGACATGACCTTTATGGAGAAATAACAATAAAACGATAACCTTTTAAGGGATATAGGGCAATGTTTTTGGGGATCTTTTTCTTCTAAAATTTTTCTGGGTGTAGCCCAAGAAGTTGATGGTGGGATTTCGTTGTTCCAGCTCTGTGAAGGTTTATAAACCACTCTCTGATAAATTTATTTGCATCGGATGATTAAATTCAACACCAAACATGCTATTAAAGTTTTGAAGCTATGTTTGTCTTATTCGAGCAATCTTGGAAGTTTGCAAGTGTCCCAAGAGAGAACTAAGAATGTGGAAGAGGTTTTTTTCTTATTTATATTTTCATTGTTTTTATAGCACCCCTGCTAGCTCTGGAGTGCTTGACTACCAGGCAGGAGAGTACATAATGGTATTTGCGCACACTTGACCAAGGCTATCTATGGTATTGTGTCTGTTTTATGGAGGAGAGATAGATCAAACTTGACCACTAGGAATAGAGCATATCATTCTGGATGCACACACTTTGAGGGCAACACAAAGGGTTATGTACATAATACAGTGGTAATTAAGACATTCGTCGTTAACAAATACTATGGGATCTTTTAATTCCGACGCATTTGTTTGTTTCTCATATGCATGATGCAATTTATAAGCGATAAAGTTAATACTAGCTGAACTAACGAACTAAACTATCTTCAATATATAGGGTGTGGAAGCTGCAGCGACGTATAACAATCTGGGACTCCCTCCTCAATGGTACAAAGCACTTGAATGGGTGTTTCCTACATGGGCAAGAACACATGCTCTTGATACTGGGGAAGCTGTCAATGTCTTAAAGGGTGCGATTGTGACAGCCGATCGTATACTTACAGTTAGCAAGGTTATAATTGTCATATCCGTATCTGTACCCGAGACTGTCTCCTTTGACATGCCTCTATCTAGCTCAGAGTTTTTTTTTGTTATATTTTGAGTTTTTGAAGCCGGTCATAGAGCAGCAAAAATTATCTTATGACGCTCTGGTGAAACAGTGTCACTTGAAAAGAGATAATGATATATCATGTTCACATTTCCAAGTCCTGACCACCATGGCATCTTTATTCCCGCTAACACATCTCTGTTCTATTTTATAGCATCTTAAGCGCAATTCATTTGCCTTTTATGTCTTTCATCATCACGCAGTTCATTTTTCTTCCTTGCAATTGCAGGGTTATTCCTGGGAGATAACAACCACTGAAGGCGGATATGGTCTCAATGAATTGTTAAGCAGTCGAAAATTTGTTCTAAGTGGTGCGTAAGCTTGTATTCAAAGTTATATATTATTCTTAATGAGTAAACTGTCTTTTAGTTACTAGATGTAGGAACTGCACTGTGGTGTGATTCACTTAATTTTAAGATGTTCACTTCCAGTTTAGTAGTTACTTAGAAATTGATCCTGAACCATCAATGATTTTAGCTAGCATTTTAAATGTTATTCTGTGCATATTTGATAAATTAGCCTGTTACTAAAATATTTTAGTTCCCTTCTCTGTTGCTTTTCTTAGCATCCTTGCATTGAAATATTTCTTGAGATTTTGATACTAATTTTGACAGGTATTACCAATGGCATTGATATTACTGAGTGGGACCCTTCTACGGATGAGCATATTGCTTCCCATTACTCTGTCAGTGATCTTTCTGGAAAGGTGATATAGCCTCTCAATTTGTGACTTGGGTATTCTGTTACACTGTTATGTTAACCAGCTATTTCATGAACTCCAGGTGCAATGCAAGATAGCTTTGCAGAAAGAACTTGGTCTTCCTATTTTGCCAGACTGCCCAATGGTAATATGAAGTTGCTTACTATGTGGTTCTGGTGGCAATATATCAGTTCTAATTGCACATTAAACTTTGTAGATTGGGTTTATTGGTAGACTGGACTACCAGAAAGGGATTGACCTAATTTTTTCGGCAATTCCAGAGCTTATGGAAGATGATATCCAATTCGTAAGTGAGTTCGCTTCTTCCTGGAATTCCCCTTGAAAGTTTCTGCTTTTGTCTGGCTTTCTATGATACACGGATCATCCCCTTAATTCTCCTTTTTTTGTTCTTTACTTGTAGTAGCAATCTTTTCTTTCAGTTGTTCTTATCTTTCTTGACAGTGCTTCAGGTACATGGTTGTGTGCATAACTCTATTTCCTCGGCTCCCCAAGGATCTAAACTGAATCCCTAGTTATCGCTTCAAATTGTTTAAATCTTCTTATGCAGCACCTATACTATACCGGTTGTTTCATTGCATTTTTTATCCAACCCAATTTAGCAGTTGTCTAATCTATGAAGGTTATGCTTGGGTCTGGAGATCCACGTTTTGAAGAATCGATGAGAGCAGCAGAGTCAACCTACAAAGAGAAGTTCCGGGGCTGGGTGGGATTCAATGTTCCAATTTCTCATGAGATAACGGCAGGGTAATTTAATTTGAGTTTTGCAGTTCAGTATCCTCTCTATCAGGAGCGGCAACTCATTTTAGTCAATGAATGAACAGCTGTGACATTTTACTGATGCCATCAAGATTTGAACCATGTGGGCTAAATCAGCTGTATGCCATGAGATATGGAACTGTACCAGTGGTACATGCCACCGGAGGACTTAGAGTGAGTTCAGGCTTATGCGGAACTCCAAAGCAACTCTTCATTATGTGATTCCGTATTACTCAGCCGTTCCTGTTTTCTTATCCTCAGGACACAGTACAGAGCTTTAGCCCATATGCTAATGAAGGTAGCTGCGAGGGTACTGGGTATGTGGTTATTGCAACTCTCTTCCTAATGACAGTTACTTCACAAGAGATGCTTTGCATATAATCAGATTACCATCTCAAAAATAACGGGATAAGGATACTAGGAGTCCCTTAACTTTTTACGGCGCTCACTTGAGCGCCATAATTTTTTTGGCTCACTTGAGTGTCAAAAATTTGAAAAAATGATCACTTGAGTGTCAAATGCCATTTGGCAGTCGGAAAATCTGATGTGGTTTTGCCGGAGTTTGACGTAGACAATATTTTAATATTTTTTTTGAATTTTTGAATTTTTTTATTATTAATTTTTTTATTTTTGCAAATTTTTTTTTCAATGCCGGCGACCCTCGCTGGCTGTGAAGGCCTCCCCCAGATTGGGCGAGGGCCACCATGCCCTTGGCCATGAAGGCCCTGGGTGAGGCTGTCACGGCCTCGCTGGCGGCGGGCGAGGCCGCGAAGGCCGTCTAGCCGGCCGCAGGCGAGGCAGCCTTGCCAGATCTGGCGAAAGCCGTCATCGCCGCGGGCGAGGCCTTCGCCACCTCGCCTACGCCGGCGAGGCCACGATGGCCTCGCCAAGGGCTTTTGCGGCCGCGGGCGTGGCCGCCTCGCCGGATCTGGCGAGAGCCTTCGCCGCAGCGCTCGCGGCCGGTGAGGCCGCGATGGCCTCGCCAAGGGCGTTCGCGGCCGCGGGCAAGGCGACCTCGCCGGATTTGGCGAGAGCCTTCGCGGCCGCAGGCGAGGCGGCCGCTGGCGAGGGTCACCGGCGACCCTCGCCAACCTTGAAAAAAAAAAGAAAAATAAGAAAGAAAAAGAAAAATTAAAAAAAATCAATAAAATAACATTAAAAAAATCCACGTTGGATGAAAAAAAAATTAATTAAAAAATCCACATCAGCTCATTTGTCGGAAATGGCACTCAAGTGATCTATTTTCGCCGGAAGTGGCACTCAAATGATCTATTTTACTCCGATGTGACATTCAAGTGAGCCAAAAAAAAGTTATGGCACTCGAGTGAGCGCCGTACGAAAGTTATAGCACTTTTAGTGTCTTTATCCCCGAAAATAACACAGCTCAACTTTTATGGGTTCACGCCTTTCTCTTTTTTACGAAGTGCTTGGTAGTATAGAAGTTTTGTTCTTTAATCATCATAAGAATTATTCCTTCTTTAATGACATATGATTATGATGGATTGCCAGATGGACCTTTTCTCCACTAACAAAAGAGAGCATGTTGGCGGTAAGTTTGCCAAGACTTCCTATCCATTGATAATTGTCGTTTGGCTTACTAAATAGCATGATATAGCTTGATCTAAATGCAAGAAAACTTAGTCCGCTTTAGCATCTTTATTTCGCCAGACATCACGATTTAGAAGTGTGGCAAAATGATTTTATATCAAGGATTAAATTCAACATGGCTGCTGATTGGTGCACTGGACCATTTTTTAGTGTCATCTCCAATGGAAACTGTAATAATATGTCTAGAGAGCATTTTGCTTTAATTGCGAAAATGCGAGTTTACAGGATGCTGTATCACCAAGTCATATTTCACTTGATAAATAAGCATGACCGCTTTTTTTTTTTGGTAAGGTAAGCATGACCGCTTTGATCTTTCCCTTGTTCCACACTCTTCGGTCCTTTTCCTTACGGTCCCTCGTGTTGAGGGGCGTAATGGATTGTGAGGTAACCGTGAAGCGGCTATCTGCTGCAGGCCCTGAGAGTTGCCATTAGGACATACAGAGAACACAAAACTTCTTGGGGGCGACTGATGAAGAGAGGTATGGCAAAGGACTTAACGTGGGAGAAGGCGGCAATGCAGTACGAGGATGTCTTTAAGTGGGCCTTCACAGATCCGCCTTATGTCGGGTGAGGCGGTATGATGCAGAGGACATGGAAAACCAGGAGAAAAACAGAGTTTGGGAGCTGCAAATTTTCAGCATGTCAAGGACCTGATCTTTGCGCAAGCAGCTCAAAAAAATGGGACAACTTTCCCTGCCCACTTCCCTGTTGGGCATGAGTCTTTCGCCTCACTTCCGGATGATCCATTCTTTGTTGTTTAGTCAGTACAGCTGTTCTGAATCTTACTAAAATTCACCGTAAGTTACTTGTCCCTGTCGTTATCTAAATGAAAAAAAAAATGTGGTAAAGAGCTTGCCACGTCATTTTGTAAGCTACTTTTACTGTAATTTCCTTGTAATTAAGGAGCAACGTTCTCGTTAGATGTTTTATTGCGTGTCTTGGTGATTTTGTCATCCTTTTGGGGACGCTAGAATGACGAATTGTGCCCATTTTTGACACAATCGTGATTCCTGCTGCAATATTGGGAAATGGCGATCGCACAACATAAACTCGTTGACGCTTAGCCATAAAATGGTATTCCATTTAATAAATAGGTATCGTCGGAAAGGGGGTAAGAACAACATTGGTGCCAAAACTTGTGTACGGAGGTCATTTTGGTGTCAAAAGTTTCAATTGGATCACTTAACTGCTAAAAGTTGTGAAAAACGATAACTTAAGTGCCACTTTGCCGGAAATCCGACGCGGCATTTTTTTATTAATTTCTCAAGCTGATGTGGCTCGCCGGAGGCTGATGTGGCATTGTTTTTTCCTTTCTTTTCTTTTTTTTTCTTTTCTTTCTTCTTATTTCCGATGGCCGGCGTCCGGCCACCGACCACCGGCCATGGTAGAAGAAGAAGAAGACATAAATGAAAAAAGAAAAGAAAGAAAAGAAAAAAGAAAAAAGAAAAGAAAGAAAAGAAAAAAGAAAAAAGAAAAAAGAAAAGAAAGAAAAAAAATCAGAAAAAAATATTTAAAAAATTGAATTATACACATGGAAATGCCACGTGTCATTAAAATTTAAATATAAAAGCCACGTATTAAATTTGATCGAAATTTCTCGCCGTTGGCACTTAAGTGATCGTTTTTTCTCCGATTTGGCACTTAAGTGATCGCCGGCGTAAACTTTTGGCACTTAAGTGATCCAAATGAAACTTTTGGCACCAAAGTGGCCTCCGTACACATGTTTTGGCACCAATGCCGTTCTTCCTCCCGTCGGAAAGTATAGAGAAACGGATTCTAAAGCTGTGCCTTGCCAAAGTACGGTGAAAGAGATTCCAACAAGATCCATTATTTGGTTTAGTCGGTGTAGATTGTTACAAGAACTTTGGCAGGATACAGCTTTAAAATCTTTTTCACTATACTTACCAAATAGATCTATTTAATAATGTCCATCACTAAAGCCCGATATATTAAATGAGATCAATTGATTAATGTCCATTTGGCATAGACTTCGAAGTATCGGGGGGAGGGCTAAGGCTTGTTTAAGAAAATAAAATGTTCTGGTCATAAGTTTGGTGGATCTTGTTCATGACGTCACTTAACGGGTAGTGGTCGACAACTTTAGATTACGATAAAGCGGTGAAAGCTGGTTGAAGAGATTTAATCGGGAGATTTTTTTACTTGCCGGTGAATTGAAGGAGAATATGAACAATCTCATCGTTATTCTTTAAATTATAACTCAGAAAAGAAGACAAATAATGTTTTAAATCCAGCTAGCAAGTGACGTGAATTTATTGATAGGGTGGAATACAACTTTAAGTGTTTGCTCGCGAGCGATCCTGACAAATGAAGCTATGGAGGATTGAAAAGATTCCAAAGAGCGAAACGCGAGGAAATGAGGCTTTTATGAGCTGAAAATGTTTGTGAAAGAGAGAGAGAGCGCTCTTTTCTTTTCAGTAGGAGGAGACTAAAACGAAGTAAAAACACTCTTTTGCTGTAAAGTCTTGTTGATACCTTTTTGCAATGTCTGAGTTAAAAAGGGTTCTAGTCGTGAGCTTGGCGGATCTTGTCCACGACGTCACTCGACGGCCGGTGGTCCACAGCTTCAGATTACAACAAAGCAGTGAAGGTTGGTTGGAGAGATTTAATCCGGAGATCTTTTTGACTTGCCGGTGAAGTGAGGGAGACCATGAACAATTTCACCGTTATTCTTCAAGATGCATTTCGAAAAAGAAGACAATAAATAGTGCTTTAACTCTAGTTAGCAAGTGACGTAAATTTATTGCTAAGATGAAATAGTCACGTTGAACAATCAACGTTCCAAGTCAACAGGGCCAAATTTAGGATTCAACTTAAAGCCGGCGATTCTTTACGAGACAAGAAGAAAGTTCGGCTCAGAATCGTCACTCAAGTTGAAGTCGGTGCTTTTTTTTTTTTTGTTTGGAATTAGTCCGCGAAATTTGCACGAAATATGAAGAGGGGCATTCAGTCCAAATGAATGAAAAAAAAGAAATCTAATGGTTTCTTTTTCCCTAATGAAAATTGCCAAAATTAGCATGAAGTTACAACAGAGGAGCAAATCACGATTATAGGAGAGTCTCTCCCCTTTGCTTCTTCCCTTCGTTGTCCGATCGCATCATTCTTTCTTCTTCCTTCTGCCAACCCTGCAAATACCTCGGACAGTTAGAGAGAGAGAGAGAGAAAACGGACAGATTCTCTCTCATCATCCCTTAGGACAAGGAAAAGCCGCCGGCAGCAATTCCTTCCTCCGACGTCGGAATCTTGATGAAACCTCGGTGAAACCCGCCGCCGATGATCCCTCCCGACCCCAACCTCATCTTCTACGTCTGCGTCGCCCGGGGCGCCTCCCCGATCCTCGCCGAGTTCGCCGCCGACCCCGATCTCCGGCCCCTCGCCCGCCAATGCCTCCTCCGCGCTCCGCCCCACCACTCCGCCTTCTCCCACACCGCCCGCCGCCGCTCCTACACCTTCCTCATCGCCGGCCCCCTCGCCTACTTCGCCGTGTCCGACGCCTCCCTCGAGAGGCCCGAGGTCCTCCGGTTCCTGGGTCGCCTCCGCTCCTCCTTCGAGGGCGCGGTGGGGCGCGAGGCGGCGGGACGCCCCGACGAGTTGGGCTCGTACTGCTTCCAGCCCCAGTTCGATAGGATCCTCCGGGAGCTGTTGCGGCCGGCCGGCGGCGACGCGTTCGATTCGCCGCCGCCCGGATCGATGACCACGAGCGCGGAGAGCAGTAGGAACGCCAGCCTCGACGGAGGGGGAGCCTCCATGGCTCCGCTGCTGGGCAGCCCGGGGAAGGGGCTCAAGAAGAAGAAGAGGTTGAACAGCGAATCGGCGGCCAACGGCGACGCCAAGGACCTTCATTTCGAGAACAAGGTGGACGTTTGCGACGAGGCGAACGGGCTGTGCAGGGATTTCCCCGCCTCGATACAGAAGGGCGGCGTTCATGCGGGGGAGAGGCAGAGGGCCAAGCAAGTCTGGAAGAAGCATGTGTGGGTCGTGCTGTCGATCGATCTGTTCGTGTGCGTCGTCCTGTTCGGGGTGTGGTTGTGGGTTTGCAGGGGATTTCAGTGCATCGAAGGCTGAAACTGAAGATCCAAGGTTGTCCTGTTTGTCGTCGCGCTTATTTTCGATTGCTAATTATATACTCCGGAAGGAATTTGTCTATACCAAATGAGGGGAGATGGAAGAGGGTGGCGCCCGTTGTCTCTTGGAGTGTGCGCATTTCAGCTGTCAATTGTAAATCTCTTGTCTTTTATCTATGAAACTCTTTGATGTCGGATGAGTTCTTCAGAAATTATACATATCTGGATGTTGTATAGTTGAAAGTTGATCACAAAACCTTTTGAGAAGCAGTGCATTGCCAAATGGGTTCGAATACCCGAGATAGAAATCTTGCAGTCATGATTTGTTTCTGGGTCTCTCCAAGTTGAGTTTTTTTGTCCTTTTGATGATCTAAGATCGAATTGTTCTTGCGTTGACCCAACTGCATTACCTGTTTTGCTCTCTTCCTTCCTTTTGTTTTGACTGAAGTTGATTGGTAATTATTAGAGTAACGTATAAATCTTGGATGCAATGACTAGATGCATGTTCAGATGTTCTCTACAGCTAGACTTTATTGATGTCTTGTGCATTGCTGGTGCCCGGAGGAAATTTTGTTGATAGTTTGTCACAGTTTTGCACAGAGAAGCAAAGTCTTAAAACTTTCCAGCACTATGTAAGCTGGATGGTTGCCCTTTTTGCCTTTTCTTCTATTCTGGGTTTCGGGGGCCACGCACTGGAGTGGATTCTTGATTTTGCTCCTCCTCCAAGGAAGAGTGGCCATGTTTGTGCTGTATTTGCTCGGTCCACCAGGGTTGGCCATCTTTTTTTTCCCTTGTTAGATCGGGCGAACCTTACAGAAGACTCGGCACTTAAAAGGGTGTAGGTGTTTTGAGCTCTCTCGCAGATGCCGGGTTTAAATCAAGGTCTTTCGCGTAGAGCGAGCATTGGCTTTGCAAGTGCATGTTCAATGGTTCTTTACAGCTAGACTATAATTGATGTCAAGAGTGATAAAGAAACAGAGAGCAAGTGCACAAGTCTCAGCAGGCCAACACCCAAAACTAGCCCAAGACTGGTGGGACTTACGAAATCTGATTCGACCTAGAGAGAAACTGAAGGGAATCGAAATGAAGCTATTGCTGGACGGGTACTTATACAATCCAATGCCTTTGCTGTCACGATTCAGGTTTAAAGAAGGGCATCACTTGACAGATGATTCGGAGAACCATAAAGCTTAGGAGCGACAACTTCAAGATGATGACGTGTTTGTAGGGAAGAAGAAGTAGGCCTGCTTGGTATTCAGATGAAGAAGAGGATAGGGAGAAAGTGAAGAGAAAAATCAGAGGAGATAGATGGATCCTGAGACAGCCAGTGGAGTCGTTCCACGTCAGCCTCCACGCTCACTCCCACCTTATCCCATTTTGAACCACTTATCACTCCTTGCCCGAATCTAAAAACCATCTCTCTGAATCCGAGCAATCACAAACCTTCGTCTGAACAGAGCAGCAGCCATGTCTCTCACCATCCCCACCAATCTCTCCAAGCCCATCGCTACCCCGAAGCTCAACCCCTCCAGATCAATCAGGCCGACCGCCACCCTCATAAGATGCTCCTCCTCCTCCTCCTCCCCTGACCAGGCCTCCGCCTCCGCTGCTTCCCCCCTCCAGGCCTTCTCCGCCGCGCTCGCCCTCTCGTCCATCCTCCTCTCGGCGCCGCAGCCGGCTGCCGCCGACATCGCGGGGCTGACCCCGTGCAAGGAGTCGAAGCAGTTCGCGAAGCGGGAGAAGCAGCAGCTCAGGAAGCTGGAGTCGTCGCTGAAGCTGTACGCCCCCGACAGCGCCCCGGCCCTGGCCATCAAGGCCACCATGGAGAAGACGAAGCGGCGGTTCGACAACTACGGCAAGCAGGGGCTGCTCTGCGGCACCGACGGGCTCCCCCACTTGATCGTGAGCGGGGACCGGAGGCACTGGGGCGAGTTCATCACCCCGGGCATCCTCTTCCTCTACATCGCCGGGTGGATCGGGTGGGTCGGCCGGAGCTACCTGATCGCCATCCGCGGCGAGAAGAAGCCCACCGAGAAGGAGATCATCATCGACGTCCCCCTGGCCTCCCGCCTCGTCTTCCGTGGCTTCAGCTGGCCCGTCGCCGCCTACAGAGAGTTCGTCAACGGCGAACTCGTGACCAAGGACGTCTAATCTAAACTCCCCCGATATAAGGTAAAATGTACCAAGCATCACTTTAGCCCATTCTTCCGCAACTGACTGAGGTTTGGCGCTGAGTGCTGATCGATGTCTGTCTTGTGTATGCGACTCGTTGAGCGCAGGCGACTTTGGAGGATACAAAGCTGGTGGGAGTGGAAAGCATGGATCCCCCCGGTATCTGTCTTGTATGAATGAATGCAGATCGAAACATTAGTTTAATGTTTGTCATTGGATTGCACCTTGGTCCATATATCTTCTGCCCTTCTGTTTCTTTGGTTGACCTTCTTCTGCTTCTTCCTCTTTTCCTTTTTTTTTAGGGTTCTTTTGTAAATTTTGAGGGGTGGATGGAGATATGACTTATTCTGATAGATGTATGTAGCATTTTGGTGAAGTTCATGCATTCACATAACACGGCGTGGATGGCTTCTTCCGAACAATAGATGCATAGCGAGAAATGACTGGACTTTGTCACGAAATATATTCATCAAAATGCCGGAAAGTCAAAAAATAATTTCTCGTAAATAGTTTTCCTTCTAATAAACCGACCCTAATCATACGTTTGATCGCAATTAATGACTAGTACTTGCCAATTCTATCAAAGGTTGTGATGTTTGCTTGTCGTAGTACCTATTCTGTGGACCTAATAGCTATTATGATAAGGAAAATGCTTGGCTAACTGTACCGTTAGCTCCGAAAACGGGCGGTCAACGCTCAGCTACACATTTTCCATGAGAGTGATAGAGATTTGAGTTTCGCTTGGAAATTTCCACGCTCGTGTTGGTGAAAGAAAAAAATTGTGGCTATCCTTTGACCATCACACCATCATGGTACGGAGGACGGTGATGCTAGCACAACTCTTACGACTAGTTGGAATTGCTATTCCCAGGACACCCACTTTATTTTTTTCTTACTCGCTCAATCAATGTTAGGTTGCTAATTATAATCAATATACAATTATTATACATAATTTTGTTTATGGTATCTATGTAACGATGATATCGAATATACTTATCTTGACTTTAATCACATCTTCTATGATTCATAAAAAAAATAATATTAATCGATAGGTAAACAATCGATGTAGTAGGTAATTATGTTAATTAGTTTAATCCAAATGCAAGCAAATAACAAGGAAAGATGGAGGCAAGCAAGAACCCACAAAGAATTGCTGCTCCTGAGCAGTTCCATCGATTATCACACTCTCCTCTTTGCGATCTTCAGTTCTTCATTTATACTGTAATTGTCTGAAAATAGGGATACCGTCACCCATTTCATCGATACTTTTTACCTTTGCACTTTGGATCGATTGCTGTGATTTGTGACATGCAAAACCCTTGGAATGAGCTGTGAGATTGTATTTGATCACATTGTCAGAACTGCAAAACTTAACGGTGGACTAAACACGATCTGTTAATATTGACTTTAAGAGCTAAATTATCAACCCAAAACTCCCTACTCCCAAGCACTCATCCATACCCAATTCGTAGCACAGCTCGATTTCGATGTATGTTTGCCAAACATCTGCAATCGATAGGGAACTAAATTACCTGGACTGTGCCATTAGATTGAACTGAAAATAGCTAAAAAGAGATGATACGATCGTTTGTTCTCCTTGAATAGATGTCGTCGGGATCGGTTACACGTCTATATTTTGCTTCATTGACCCAGAATTCGACCATTAAAGTGTTGAGAGATGGTACGATTAATTGTTCGTCGTACAGGTCTTCCAGCGGACACATCTCATCTGATAACCCTTCCCCATTCAATTGTATGAGCTAACCCGGAATTCTTGGGCCAGAGAATCGCTAATTTCTCGAGCTACAAGGACTGTACTACTTAATTCGGTAGCCATTTATGGATAATTTTGTGTGTCTTAAAGTGAATTCTATGGAGTATTTCGAAACCTGAAATGAAAAATCGAGCATCTCTAGGCCTTCTTCAAGGTCCGTCACGCTCATCACTTCAACTTCTTAGCTTCTGATTGTTGTACTTCTGGGAAGACTAGTCATGAAACTAAGTTTTGATTCGCTGCGACTCTTTGTACATCAGGAGTTGGACATTCGTTGCAGCTGCAGCACCTCGGAAGGCATTTGTTACTTGTCTGGATCTGATTAGTCGGTTAATTGTCGCGAATTTCGACTCCACATTAACATGTGACGTTAGAGCAGGACCATCGCCGTACGGTTTATGAGCAGGTTTCGCCCGATAATGCAGGAAAAGAGAAGCATAACCTCTCAAAGGGTCAGATCATCTGCTGTTTCTGTCTTGATTCCATGTTCTGTATACATCTCTAGGGAAAAGCATAAAAAAAGTCCATAACCTGTTTGAATCGATACAAATTTAATCCTAAATCTTTTATTAGATCAATTTAGTCCTAAACCTTTTCACATTGATACCAATTCAGTCCATCCGGCCAAATTTAGGCCGAAAATCGCTGATGTGGAGTCGGCCGGCGCTAATGTCGACATTTTTAATAATTTATTTTAAAAATTCCCTTTTTTATTTTTTTTCCTTTCTTTTTTCTTGATTCCCTTTTTTTCTTTGGCCTGTGGCTGGTATATGGCCGGGCAAGGGTCGCCCTCGCGGCCTTTGGTGAGGGCCGCCCTTGCCGGCTCTAGCGAGGGCTGGACCCTCGGGCTTGGGCGAGGGCGACCCACCGGATCTTGCAAGGGCTCAACCCTCGCGGCTTGGGCGAGGGCGGCCCTGATGCGGCGAGGGCCACCCTCGCCTGGTTGCCGGCCATGGCCAAGTACCGGCCACAGGCCAATGAAGAAAAAGAAGGAAAAATAAAAGAAAGGAAAAAAATGGATATTTTTTAAATTGTTAAAAATGTCAACGTCAGCGATTTTCGGCCTAAATTGGCTGGATGGGCTGAACTAATACAAATACGAAAAGGTTTTGAACTAAATTAGTCAAATTGAAAAGTTTATGACTGAATTGGTATCAATATAATAGATTTACGACTTTTGCGTTACTTTTCCCCATCTCCATGTGCAATTTGATAATGCTTTCTCGGTACCATGTTGCTTAGTTGCCACTCCTATGGAATATACTACGACATCTTTCCGAAATGACCGAGTAAAGCAATGCCCACAGGCACCGGTAACCCTAACACTAACAAACGCCCCGACAGCAACGTCTGCAGCATACTTTAATGGGTTAAGTTAGCAAATCGATGTTAGCACACCTAACGCTGTTCTTAGCAAACCTTGTCCGGTCGCGATGCTTTGGGCGGACCCGGACCGACACGTCGAAAACGCAATGCAGTTGGTCCAAAATAGGATCGGATCGCGTTGCTTCTGTGCCGTGCGGAGATGCAGCGTAATGGTGAACCACTGCTTTCAGCTTTTGGTGAGTATACGCATCACATCTTCCTCACGTCCTTATGCGGTGTTGTTTCCATCAAACACTTCACTGGATAAACGACTTTCTTGGCATGATTGGAGGCTTCCGGCATGCAAAAAGGGATGTTTAAAACGACTTCTCACCTCAAAATCGGTGTTTAATGGCGAAAGGGCAAAACTGATGTGATCTCATTTACGGGTGGTAATACAAAACTCATACAACGCTTAATTAGCACACCATGTCACTAGACTAAGTTAGATGTGGCTGTGTGTACCAAATGCGATTGGGATGGGTACGGGATATATCGTGTGATGTTCGGAGAAGTGTTGAGCTAACCATGAATGCGAGTTTTTGGAATTCTAATTCGAAGCTAGCCTTGATCAGATCCGTCGCCAGCAAGAAATTGTTCGCTTTGATCGTCGGCAAGAAATTGTTAGCTTTGATCGTCGTCGAGCTAACCATAAATGCGAGTCATTGCAAAAACATGGTAGGCTCCGGAACTGATTTCAGGCAAACAAGATTTGTTATAGGGTCCAAAAACTAAGAACCGGTTATAATAAGATAGGTTCTAGGTTCCAAGTGTAAAACCTAGCCACCCCGAAACCGATCCCTCCTATTGCCGCCCACCTGTGCCCACACATCTTTAAAACGCTTCGTCCCATATCATTTTGAGATTGTACGAAACTTATTTGCCGGCCGCAACGTCCTGGACATTGGCGATATGAGATCAGAGACATATCTATCGTTCAACACCCATGACCTCGCTCCGATGCCATCGTAGGCAATCCCAACCCCACCCGAGTTCGCCCAACATGATATTGTCTATCTCGGTCGCGACTCACTTGCACCCCTATGAGCACGACTTTAAAACGCATGTCCTAGTTTGAGATTTCACAAGATTCATCTATCAACACAAGGATTTGGCTATGGACAATGTGAAATTAAAAACATATCTGATTTCCAATAAGCGGCACGACTAATACATACAATTCTTTGATCTTTGCGCGCAGCCCTGTTCCAGTTCTCCCCATATGTAGTCTCTTATACATCCTAATCATCCTCTTTATTGATTATGAACTGTTTTTATCGTGATGGGATAATTGTCCAAAAAGTTTTAAACATATTGTACGACTATTAATTCAGTCATAAGCTTTTTAATTGTGCTAATTTAGTTCTAAACATTTTGGCAATTTACAAATATAATCATTTCTATCAATTTTGACTGGAAATTGCTTATGTGAATAATTTTTAAAAATTTTTTCCTTTTCCTTTTATTTTTTCGCTTTATTTTCCTTATTCCTTGTGGCCGGCTATAGGCGTGAGCCTAAATGCTCTCGCTAGATTTGGGTGAGGGCGGTCACCCCTCACCTAGGCTCGCGAACACATGGAAAAAGGAAAAGAAAGGGAAAAAAAATTCAAAATATTGTAAAATATTTTCACGTCAGCGGCGGCCGCGCCACGAGAATAGCCAGCGTCTACGTTAGTGATTTCCAGTCAACATTGGTCAGAATGACTAAATTGGCAAATTGTCAAAATGATTTAGAGCTAAATTGACAAAAATGAAAGATTTATTAATTGATTGTCTTTTAATAGATTTAGAAATTTTTGGATAATTTTCCCCATCCTGATCAGGATGAAAACTTAGAAAACAAAGCACGAATGCATCCTCATTTGGTCCAACCACGATTTTTAACTTTACTACCTGTCCAATAAATAAAAATAATGGACCACCACTACATGACCGTTGGTGACTAGCCGTCACCAAACCAATCAGCCAACAGCATCTGAACATTTGTCCACATGAAATCGACCCTTGCGATCATCCCTATGGTCGCCCGGCCACCATTCGGGCGCGCATCTAAGAAAGAATTTCGATGTTATTCCACGTATTTTTGTTGATGAACTATGTGGTTTTATGTATAGTGAGCCCAAATCGTTTTCTTTCGGCGACAAGAAAAGAGCAAATTGAAATCTTTATCAAAGAAGGAGATCTCACAACTTCCGTCCATCTTTTAAGGGTGTGCTAAAATTCGACGGTTTTTTTTATAAGTGGCGTCATGTTTGGAGGCACTATATACGGATCTAAAAAGTATACACATGCACCCGATGCATGTGAACTCACGTTATTTCTATTTCGCATGCATCTTGTGCAGGTGAGCCCGTATGATTTCTCGGTTGCTAAGACCCGGGTAATCGTTCGATTCTCGACCTACATGTCTGCCCTAATTTTCGTATAGGTTTTGTCCCCGTACGACACGGTTAGAATGCATACGGTATGTAGACACACCGTCCATCTCCTTGTGAAGAAGAAGCGCCTGGTGGAGCGTTATAAGCCCCTATTTCAATTCACATTCACGTGTATTATCAGCTATCTCTGTCTCTGTCTCTGTCTATCTCTCTCTAGAAAAGTCATGCACTACCAGTCTCCATCTCTCTCTTTCTCCATCTATAAAACCTACCCAAGAAGGTAAAAGCTATTCCCTCACGAATCTTCACACCATACTTGAATTATTGCATGGGACCTCAAGACACGAGATAGATTAGAGAGAGAGAGAGAGTTGAAGAACTACAAATGGCGAATTCACTAGAAGGGCTGACTGATAAGCAAGACCAGGACCCAAGTGATGGTGGTGGTGGTGATGGTGCTGTTGACGCTGTAAACAACCCTACCCCGCCCCAGCTCTCCCTATTCTCGCTCCCGCGGAAGCCGCTGGAGCCGCCGGGGATGCTGACGCCGCCGCTCCACTCGAAGGCGGCCTCCGTGCCGTTCAAGTGGGAGGAGGCGCCGGGCAAGCCCAGGCACTGTCGCCACGCCGCCGAGCCCAAGCCCGCCGCAGCCGCCGGGTGCCTAGACCTCCCCCCGAGGCTCCTCAGCGGCGCCGCCGTGCACGACGGGCCTTACTACCCTGGCCGGGCGCCGTCGTTCAGGACGCTGGGCGGGTCGTTCCGGAGCCCCGAGAGCCGCAGCAGGAGGGACATCAGAGAGAGGGTAACGTTCGGGTCGATGCGGTGGGGGTTCCCCGGCAAGGAGAGGGTTAGCGGGGTCGTGGAGGGCAGTCCCGGGATTTCGCTCTCGGTGCTCTACGATGATGGCGGTGTTGGTGAAGAGAGCGTCACAAAGGTGAAGATCACGAGAGTGAGCAGGAGGAAGAGCTTCTTCAGTCTCTCTCATGCCAAGTCGCATTTGTGGGTACGACCATCCACTATTCTCCGTCTTCGTTTCGTTTTTCTTGCAATTTTTCTTCTGGATTTTCAGCATCATGTCATCTACACTCCTTATGTTCAAACGATATGGCGAGTGATCTCTGTTTTGTCAAATTTTTAGATCGCAATATCATGCTCAAAACTCCTCAGCAGATACTGTTGACTATTCCTTTTCCCTTCTTGATTGTAGGGCACGTTTGCATTTTAATATTCTGAGAGGCTGATGTTAAAAAGCAGTAGAAATGTTCTATGGGAGGTCGATTTGTATTGACATATCACATCAACGTAACTGCAGGAAAGCATTTATGGAGGATTTAAGCAGGTGGTCCCATGGCGACGCAGGCAAGATAAGCCACACACAAAGGGTCATTAGCTCTTACTTACTGATTGAGGATGTATTTTAATCTCGCTCGACCGTACTTAATTCTGGTATGGTTTGATTAGTCCTATAGATTAATTTCCTTGAAAATTCTTATAAATCTTGTACGCGAAGAATATCATATAAATCGGATGATCAATGGTAATAAACTAGGGCCTTATATCAGCAAGAACATTGGGGCGAGTCTAGGTGCGACTTTCTGCAATACCGCGGCTTCTAGGTTTCTACTTTCATCTTCGGATACATCTAGGGATCTAGGTGTGATTAAGTAATCTTTGACCGAACCATTCATTTTGTGGAGCTGCGATCACAAGCTCGTTGCGATCTGATGATAAGTGGACGAGAAATCATTTGACCGCAAGATGGAGTTTATCGTTCGACCGGAGATGATCCTGTGTGTTTGCAAGAAAACGAGTAGTCTGAAAGACCCCGTGTCGATACGTCGAAGCAGAAAGTGACAAACCCAAACGAAGAAGAAAGAAACGAAGCTTCCCACTATGGAAGAGGTTTGATCAGACAAAGTCAAGGCACCAAAAGTCAATCATGACCTGCCGAGACCTTCCTTTTGGTTGAGGGTTGTTGGCTTTCAATCAAGACATTGTTTCTGCATCAATCTATCCATATATGGGGCAGAATCTGTGAGGCCGTCGTTTGCTCGTCCGCAGTCGATGCCAACCTCCCTTGCCACATTGAATCTTTATCGTTATTACTTGTGACCCGAAACAGAATGATAAGATCTGCAAATATTGTGTATTTTTGTTGAAATAATCGTTATATATAGGCACATGATGTATTCAACGAGGTGCGTGTTGTTACTAGCAAGCTTTGGTCTTGTGCTTTCGGTGAGAATCTGAGAGTTGCTACTTTGCTTATCGCCAATGGCTTGTGAAATTAGTTGTGATTGACTATAATTTTAGAGAAAAAAAGATTGCGGATGATCTACTAATTAAATTGAATGATGACTAATTCGGAGAGCGTTTATCGAGATTTCCGAATCGACAATTGCCATGTGTACTCATCGCTAATCGGTTAATACGTTAAACCTAGTAAAGTTACTGATGGAGATGATCGGACATGGCCTTCTACAAGGTCGGAGCAACTAGTCAAATTAAACACAAGCTGCTCATTGCGGTGTCATCTATCCTCATAGTGGCACTGCTGATAGAGTTGTGAATCAGGGCTCGAAGCACGTGGTTTTAATCAGAAGAAGCTTGGAAATTTGCTTAGCTCGCAGGGACCTAAGGTCCAACGGCGCAGATTGATTTGGTTTAAGCCAAATGTTCCTAAACGCGGCTTTACTCTGTGGCTCACCATCCTGAAGAGACTGCAGACAAGAGAGGATCAAGAAGTGGAACTCTATTTACATAGTACATGCTTGTTATGGCAGCAGCAAGCATAGTCAAGAAGCCACTTGTATTTTCAAAGTTCCTTCTCCAAACAAGCGCAGGAAAATCTTCTGGACATTCATAGACAAGTTGCAGACTGGAATTATGAATTCTCGCTGGCTGTGAATGAAATGGAAGGTAAAAGTCTGAACATCGCTGTTTACAAAAAAAATAATTGAGTCGTTGACATAAATAAGCACGTGCTTGACACGTAAACATGGACAGTCACATGAGAAACACGTAAATATCACCACTCACGTAACATCTTGTTGACAATTGCAGAGATTGATATTAGCTTGTCGACATCGATACACATCGGTGGCACATGTTCAGTTGTCGATGCACAACAGTTGTAGCTTTCCGGGAGAAACAGCTGTTATTTCTGAAGCTTGCACGGAATGCCACCGTTTATAGCATTTGGAGGGGAAACAAGGTGCTTCACGACCATTGTGTGCACTGCCAAGACATCCTCTGCCAGGATTGCCTTTTTGAGGCCTTGCTTCCTGGAGGGAAAGAGCATCTTCCAGATGATGTCAGAGCTTCTTGTTGCAGAGGTTGCTGTCCTTAACCACCATGTGTTTTTCAGCTATGTGTGTTTGCGTTTCCAACTTCGTCACTTGCGCTGTACCAATGCGTGCCCTGTTCTTGTGCTGATGCTGTGCATTGGGCTAACTCTTTCTGGGCTTTCAGAGGGCTTTCCAGCAATCCATCTTGGGCCTTCATCTGTATTAAGCCCAGATTGGGAATCAATGACACAGTCACACAGATAAAAAATAAAAAGTCTTAAACTTATTGAGTTTTTGCCGATCCGATCCTAAATTTTTTAATTTTATCAATCGAGTTATAATTTTTTTCACATTTTATTAATTGAGTCAATCCGATCAATTTTGATTTGAAATTACTGACGTGGACGCACCTATTACACGCGCGCGCGTGATGAGAGGACCAAACAATCATTATTAATCACCAGGCAAAGAATTAAAAAATTAAAAAAAAAAGCACTTTAAAATTGAAGGGAGATAATTATTAATTTTCTTCTGACAGGGCGGGACCCAACCACCATGCACCAATCACGGCACTGATTACGTCCATTTGACCTTTTAATTTCATCTTTCACACTTTGAACGAATGTCCTCTTGTCCCACAAAGTGAACGCTGACTGTTCCAAGTGCTAAAAGCAGCATTCTCCTATTTTATCCTCTCTTTTCTCCTTTTGTCGAAAATCAAATGAGAATGATTTAATCACTTATATCAATCTCCCGTATCTCCGGGCATTCTCCTACGCACCCTTTCGGAATTGTTCCAACTCGCGATCACTCGCTTCCGTTTCGATAATTCAACCGAATTCGTGTATTAATAACGAGAAATCAAATGAAATCTTTCAAACGAGGGAGGACATTGAAACTCGAACGATGATGACCGATTCGATGGCCCAAAAAACGGTTGAAAACCGATCGATTTTCACCGACAAAGCTATCGAAATAGGACGACCGTTCTTGTTCTGCAACAATCTTTCCACGAAAGCAAGATGGATCGACCGGTCTCTATTAGCAAAGACATTGAAATAAGAATTCTTAGGGACTTTTGTTCTCTTTTTTTTTCCTCCTTTTCTGTCCATCCAAGTTGCATGGAAGCAAGGTCCATTCTTTGCTGCTGAGGAGGAGCTGCTGGAGCGTAGGAAAGCTGTCTGCGGATGGGGGGATGGAAATGCAGAACTATGGAATACTTGGGCAGAGAACATGAGGCGAGCGAGGTATGATTGCGATACCAGAAAGTTGGTCGGAAACTCCGTGATGACATTCTCGCGCTCCTCCTTCCCAAACTGCACACAGCAAAAGAACAACCCATGATTGTCGCTGCTGTCACGTCCCCTACGTTGACAATCTCGCCTAGGAAGCACCCTAACTTCATGGGATACCACAACGCCATTATTCTTTTGACTATGGTTTTGGACTTTTAGTCTTGTTTAACCCATTTTTGGACATTAGAGTAAGGAAGTATCCCGGGCTAACTTAATGTATGTCAAATTGGATTCATGTTATTGGCCGGATCAAAGATGGGGCTATCCATTTCGCAGTCGATGGACCCGCAAGGGTTACCTCGTTACGACCGATTATCGGATAATGCATGCCCCGAAAGTTTTTCAAGCACGCCGCTAGACCTTTTTCTGGGGATGCATCCGGACCGCCGCCTCGTCCATGGACGACTATTTGTCTGGACAATATACGTAGGTAATTTCCTGGGGGACTTACGTGGATTATGTCTCGTGCATATTGGGAATTCTCTAACCGTCGGTTTGTCTATGTGATTGACGGGTGAGTTGATCTTACCTCTAAAAGGGCTAAAAATCTTAAATAGACCCGAAAATGGAGGGACCTTATCGGATAGGGAAAATGACACAAATGGTCCATACACTTTGGCTCAATGTACAATGTCGTCCCTATACTTTTAGTTTGTTCAATGTGGTCCAAAAACTTTTGATACATGTTCAATCTAGCCCCTGGATTATATGAAAGTGCTCAATGTCAGGACAACATTACACATTGGGCTAAAATTTAGGGACTAGATTGAACAAGCTAAAAGTTTAGGGACGATATTGTAAATTGAGCCGAAGTCCGGGGACCATTTATGTAATTTTTCCTATTGGCTATAATGGTTTTTTTTTTTTGGTCGGACCATTGGCTATAATAGTTTACTGGTAGGTTTTTTGTGAGGAAGGTGGAGTTAGAACTTGAAAGGAACAGAACAACGATAGGTGCGTGCCTTACAAGGGCGTTCCCCTCTGATATGGTGCGTGTGAACGAAGGCATTGAAAAAAAAAAATTGAAAGGCATTGAAATGCCAAGGGGTTGTTGTTCCAATTGTCCTCTTTTTTGCCCCTTCTTTTGGTGCTGCAAGCAAACGATATGTTTCAGGCATATTTTCTCATCCGTCCATGAAATATGATCTGATGTCGGTCCATGTCATTAACAAACAATGTTGTCATTCGAATTTCCGTATCATTCAAAATGCGTCATATTGATCATGCATTCTAAAAAAAAAAGCCCATGACGACGTGAAATTGGAACTTGACCACTGCGAAACTCGATCGTTCTCAGCAATATTCAGGTCGAGAATGCGCGTCGGGCAAAAAGACAGATTGCCCGGAGAGGGAATGGTCGTATCAGCTCGCGACCGGTACTCCTGCTTTCGGCGGGGAGCTCGAGATTTAACGCCCAACTAACTCCGAACTAGAGCCATAAATCTCATCCATGTAACATCACTTGGTACAATGCAATTGGAGAAAGAGCAAGCGAGAGAGGCTGAAAAGAGACACATGAATGAGGAGGATGGGGGGGCGGGTCATCCCTTCTTTGCTCAAAAGATTGAGACATGTGAGACAAACGTTGCTGTTCAATCCCTCAAAAGCAGGCAGAATGAGTCGGAACTTTGGTCCCTCTTTTCTTATTCAATTGATAGTTTTGAACTACCGAAATCAGCCCTAGAGAAAGCTAGCCGGATGCCCATAGAAAATGTCACCTGGGCAGGTTTGAAGGTCATAAGAATGCTCCTCTCCACTCTCCACTAATCAAGGCAAAAAGACGACCAACACCAAGCGGGGGCCCCTCCATGGCCCCCGGGCATAATCATATGGCCATTCGGCTTTTGCCCCGGACCCGTTTCTTCTGCTCAAATGGTCTAAAGAAGCATCATAAAATAGTCCCTATAGCCTCAAACAAATTAGCTTGATCCCGCATTTTGTCTCCATTTCTTGTTCCAACTCTTTCCCAAACATGTAGTATCTAAACTTATTCGATTCGACTAAAAGAGGGTTTGAGCCGGAGAAAGAGCGACTCTATCGTTCTTGTCAAAATAAAAAAAAAATTACATTTAATTTTGGAAAAATTATAAGGAAAAAAATGAGACGACGGGTGATTTGTTTTTTTTTAGATGTGACCGAGACGGTCGCGATATGAAGGAAATTTATATTGCAATTGTTTCGTCTATGAATACAAACTAAGCTTTGCACATGCCCGTTTGTTCTGCTCTAAAGGTCTAAAAAACATCACAAAACAGCCCTTTAGCCTCAACAAATTAGCTCGGTTCACATTATTTGCATTTCTCATTCGAATTCTGTCCCAAACACATAGTATCTGAACTTATTCGATACGATTAAAATTTCATTTAAGCCGTACAAAGACTCGCTCCATTGTTCTTGTCAAGATAGAAAAATTACATCTAATTTCGGGAAATTTATAGGAAAAAAAAATGAGACGATGGGGTTTTTTTTTTTGTTTGGAGATGTGACCGAGACGAGACAGTTGTGGTAAGAAAGGAAATTTATATTGCAATCGTTTGGTCTATGAATACAAAACCGAGGTGATGGGTTTTCCCGAAAAAAAGATAGAAAAAATTTCCGACTCTCCATCCCAAACTCGAGAAAAAAGAAGAGAAAAAAATCGTCTCTTTCTCCGTAGCACCGACGTGCTCTCCTCAATCGCTTTCTCTCTCTCTCTCTCTCTCTCTCTCTCGACGTTTTCAAGCTCTCCCCATTGACGCTCTGCCCCTCCCACGCTCCCACTTCCCTCGAAACAGTGGGCGACGGGACCAAAGGCCTTGTCGTCTTATGCCTGCTTTGTCAAAAATCACATACCAAACGAAGGATGCCATAGGCCCCGCATCGCGGGCGGAGGAGAAGAAGTGGCCTGCTCGCGTACTCGTTTGGCCATTTTAACCTCCTCCTGAGCCTTCGCGTTCATGGTGGTGGTAGTGGTGACGCTTGAAACTTTTTCGGCCTGGCGAGCTAACGGTTCGTTTCCTGGGTGCTTCTTTGTCCAAGCGAAACGCCAAGGTTAGTCTTTGGTGGCGGAAGCTTCAGTGCACAGCTTTTTCTTTTTTGGTGGGGTTTAAAATGCACTCGGCTTCTTCCATCGGATGACCGGTTTTTGCTTAATTCGTGCTTTTCCTCAAATGGGTCATGCTCAGCTCTCGATTCGGCGGCTTCTTGGTTGTGGAACTTTGTTTTGGCTTTGGTCTGTTCGAGAACTTTCGTGCCGTTCCATGATTTCCGAGGATTGGGTTTGGTTCGCAGTTTAGTGAATTTGATATATGTGGTGTGTAGTCGAAGATTCACCATCAGCTTGTCTCAATGTCTGTATGCAAGGGATTTTGCTTCTTCTTCTTCTTCTTCTTTTTTAAGTTTCAATTTCGTTGCTTTATAGTTTAATTGATATTTTGGTTTCGGGTAGTTGTGTTCCTTTAAAATTGTGGCAAGTATCAACTGCCCCATCTTAATTTTCTATTATTTTTCCTGCACCGGGCTTATTCAATGGTTGGAAGAATAGATTCTTCTATTATCGACACATTGTCTCTTCCTCTTTCTTTTTCTACTGTGCATTCAAAGGTCTTCTGGTTCTTAATGCTGGTGGAATTACAATGCCATCCGCTCAATTTCAAGCTGGGCGTGTTTCTGGGTGTTTGTTTTTGGTGCTTATATTTTCAAATGCAAAATGGAAAAGACTTTGAACTGTTACAGTAACTTGCTGCAGCCTGAGGCATTGAAACTCCCAGCTCCATCCTCATGGGAATGATGACAGCATCTTCGTATCCAATCTCTCATGAAGCTTCCAATTATGATGAGGTCTCTATGCAGCAGAGCTTGCTCTTCTCGGATAGTCTCAAGGTAATCTTGTCTCGCATAATTGTGCATTTCAGTAATCCCTGGACAGTTGAAAATTTGAGCTGCTCGGTGTGATCCCTCGCCTTTCTAGCTGTTGCTATTTGTTGAACCACATGTAGCGACGTCGATGTCAGGTAAGTTGATTTATTGGAATGGTGTAGCCTCTAATTGGTATCGTTGATCTTCCAACCAGAGAGACTTTTACCAATGTAGACTAACATGTGTAGTCAAGTAGATGAATGGTAAGCAATAGGCGCGACGATGAAGAAATGAGCTAGTGTGTTCTGGTTCGGTAGTACGTGTGCATACAACATTTTCTGATGCAGAGACACTTGGGAAACAAGATGGCAAAAGTAATGATTCAATTGTTTGTCCCTTGATAGTTGAGCTAGTTTCAGAATGTCTCGAGTGATATCCACTTGATGAGATCTTGACATGTTTAAAGGGTTTATTGAGGAAACCTAGTGTGCTCTAGTCCTCATAACACTTGATTGTCCATGAAATTGTCATGACACTGCTTATAGCTATGCCTAACTGTCAAACTATCTTGAGAAAATGTCACTCTGCTCCCCTAGAGTTGGTTTTATTCTCATTTTGCCTTCTTGAAAAGTATATGTCTCGTTTACTGGCCAAGAGTTAGTGTCTATTTGTCCACATTCGCACTGTTAAAGACGCTTACTTTTTAGACAGAATTATGTGGTGCTCACGGTAACCATTCTTACTCGAACAAGTAGGAAAATATGAGAGCTAATGGCAAAGATTTGCCTAATATAAAGTTACACATGTGCAAAACAGGGAATCTCTCCAATTAGTAGCCAGAACAGAGAGAGTGACAGAGAAAGGGGGATGGAGGGAATATGTATTTATTGGAAGGAGACATCTCAATCACAGGGCATGCCTAGTTAATGATTTCCAAATTAACACATGAAGAAGTTGTGAGGTTAAAGTGACTCAAATCAGTGATGTTCAGTGGTCGAAGTGAGATAAATATTTTAAGGGAGCAAAATGAGATTGATACTGAATTTGAAGATGCAAAATGGAATTTGCCTATGCATCTGACTGCGTGACGTGGTTTAACACGGCATGCAGTTCTTATTCACCAGCTAACCCCGTGGCTATTCTTCATGCTTCCTTTGTACTAAATTACTGGATCACTTATCTTACTGTGTTCCTTGAGACAAAATGTTTGGTTTTCTGATTGGACTTTTCTGTTATTTCAGGATTTAAGAAATCTGAGGACACAACTATACTCAGCAGCTGAGTATTTTGAAATGTCATATACCAATGATGACCAAAAACAAATGTGAGTAGTTCAAATGACTTCTTTGCCAAAATGTAGATACACCAACAATTGCATGGTCGGCTTTTTAAGCCATATTAACCTTTTTTATTTTTGGCAATTCCTTGTGTTCTGTATGCAGAGTGGTAGAAACATTAAGAGATTATGCCATAAAAGCTCTTGTGAATACTGTGGATCACTTAGGTTCTGTTACTTACAAGGTTAATGATCTCCTTGATGAAAAGGTTGATGAGGTTTCTGGCACAGAGTTTCGTGTATCTTGCATTGAGCAGGTAAATCTGGGAAGGATTTTTTTTTGCTAAAACACCTGGGAAGGATTGTTTCTTATATTATGTTCTCCGTGTGTGTAACTGCTGAAGATAAATTGATGCTTTGGGAATTTTCTCTTATGAAGTTTATAGAGTTGTTATTGAGATACCTAACCTCTTGTCTGAAGTCGAGATTGAAATGGTGCAAAAGTTCACTGGAGTGTGAAGGTGATTTGATCAGAATACCAAACTTATAGCTTATGTTGAACTAGTCTCTTCTAATCTTGAGTATGAGATAATTTCCTGAACATTCAGAATGTCCAACATTGTTCAATTTCATGTGAAATTTTAATGTCGGTTGGACATAGAGCGAGGAAGGGTCTGAGTAGAAAACTGTGCAGTATGTTGAATTTTCTGTTATCTAGGGTACCATTTCAGATGGAGGCTGACTGATATACTATGTGATCTTTTGTTGGTCCTGGCAATAGTTAAAAGTTGGAGTCACCCAGGGTCTGCTGCATCATATAATGACGGTCATAAAAAGTTTGCCTCATCTGGTCCAATAATTTTCCACTTTCAGATAACATTCATATTAAGGTTGTTTAATTCAAATAAAATGGAGCACCAGCTTAAAGATTTTGCTTAAGTTGCAGTCCATATAGTGTTATACAGCTTGTTCTATGAGTAACAAAACTTTCAGAGTATTGCCGACTGTTTTGTGCATTGTAGATGAACCGAAGTTCAAGTAAGCCCTTACATTCTTCTTTAATTATTTGATTTGCATTTTAGAGACTTCGAACATGCCAAGAGTATATAGATCGTGAGGGCCGCTCCCAGCAGTCTCTGGTTATCGATACCCCCAAGTACCACAAGCGGTATATTTTACCAGGTTGGTTGTGAACATATCAACCTATGTTTAATTGTTTGTCCTTTCTATGATTATGAATGTAGATGTATTAGATGCTTATAATCTGTCGTCTGTGATCAGTTGGAGAGACAATGCGCGGTTCTGATGGTAGTAAATTAAAGTATGGTTGCAGCCTGGATGATGAGGATGACTGGCATCAGTTTAAACATGGTAGATTGCTTTATTTCAATTTTCTCTTTGACTGAAGGAGTTAGTTTGGAGCAACATTTGATCATGAACAATACTTATTATCACTTGATTGTTTTCCTAAAGCTATCCGAGCCACCATAACAGATACTCCTACTCAGTCTATTCCCAGGTAGGTATCAACTTCATATTGGCATTCCAATTCTTTGCAAGCATGCTGGGACAATTTAAATCATTCGTATTTTCACATTGTTTCATACAGTAAAGGTCGCTCTCCATCACCATCTCCTCGACCTCCTCAGCGATCTGGAATGTTTTCTTTTACCTCCACCATGCCTAAAAAAGAATTAGGTATGTCCATGTTACTTTCACTAAGAGCATGTTTGGTGGTGATCTTTGAGGTTTTTTGGATATTCTTCACATTCCTGATTTTATTTGAAACTGCTCCTCTCTTGAATTATCTGTTAAGAGTCTTCTTGATATTTACCTGCGTAAATCAGATAAACGGACAGTGTCACCAAACCGATTCCCACTCTTGCGTTCCGGATCACTCTCAAGCAGACAGGGGACTCCGAACTCGAGTCGGCCGACTACCCCCAACCCTAGTAGGCCAACCACTCCAAATCTTTCTATTGTAGGTCGTCAAGTAAGTGTAAAACAATCCCTTTATCCATCAGCTTTCTTTTTGAATTCCACTGCACCAGATCTGAATCCTGAGAAATCGCGTTACTTCTTGCAGTATCCTTCAGAGCCGAGAAAATCTTCTTCAATGCGATTGCATGCCGAGAAGGAGAATGGTAAGGGGATCGATCGACACCCCAGCAAAAGTAAACGTCTACTCAAGGCTTTGCTTAGTCGCCGCAAGTCGAAGAAGGATGACATGCTATATACTTACTTGGATGAATATTGAGGGATAGAGGATCATGAAACAAAGAAAGGGCACAGATGCAGAGGAAGGAGTATCCAATTGATTTTTCTTCCTTTTTTTCTTCTTTTTCTAAGCCATGTCCTTGTCTGATAAATTTATTTTTCCAGCAATGATTTTTGGGTTTTCACAATCACGGTATGTAGCAATCAGTTTTCTTATGTATGCTTACAGCACAGCCTCGTGTTATGGTATGTTGCCTCTACAATTTTACATGACCACCCAATGAGCAGTTCCTTTTTGTAAGTATCACCGTTACATCATGTCTCTTTTCTTGCTTGGATTCTTTGCAAGTTTGTGGAATTCATTGATTTGTTGCTTGAGTCATGTTGGTTTCCTAGTTCCTGGTAGCATCATTTGTGATCTCTTTCGATTCAGAGAAAATCAATGAGTTCCCATCCATAGCCACGCTTTTCTTAGTATCATGACTCATGCTGGATGAAATGTACCCCCTAAGTTATATACATCAAGATACGCAAATGCTTTGGAGAGAGCTTTATAACAATTGCCACAAATTTGCCCCAAATGTCCACAGGGCGGTTTGCAACACACTCACGAGGAAATTTATGTGAGGAGCTCATATGAACCAAACGTGTTTTTTCTAATTCCTCAAGCTCTAGAGCAACTCATTTTCACTGTCCGGATGAAACCGAAGGTGCTTATCCCTAAGAAACTTGCAAATTCACAATTAGAATGAAAGGACTTTTGCATTTTATTGACACCTCCTGTTAAGTTCTGCCTCGGTCGAAAGAATATCTCTACAAATAATGTTAAGAAATGCATCTAAAAGTGCCGAACCAGCAAGAAACTCCGTTTCAAATCTTTTTAACATGTTCACATACTTGGGCAATGAACATTATGTCCTGACTAGGAGATCTCTGTCTTCAAAGCTCAAAGCATGTGAACACTGTGAAAGAGTATGATTCACTAATTAGTTCATCATACCCCATGGAACTGAATTTGGACGTGTTTCCACTCAAACACTGTAGTTGGATTTGCATATCTGCCAAAAATCTCGAGTAATATGGTGTCTTTACATGATTCTATGAAAGCTAAAGTGCTAACTGATAATTCGATAATCTAAAATTAGGAAAGTATACTACACAGGCCGGGCCAACTCATCCTGCAGTTAAAAGAATTTCCAAAAGGCAAGCTAGAGAGAATACATGACGTAACACTTTGCATTCGGCGGATAGTAAGCATCACAACACCATTCCTCCTCCAAATTCTTCAATGGTTTTTGTGGCAAGTGTAAGCACATCAACAAAGGAACTGAACGATGCCCGAAGAAATCTCGCCTCGACCGCCTCGAATCGTCTGCAATCAACACAAAGAGGAAACAAAACAGCGATTCGAGTTTGGTCAACTCTTCAACAAGGATGAGAACTTGATAGGTATTGATGCTGTTTCTACTCTAAATGCTTATACATATGTGGCAGAAGAAGAAAGTAGAAGGAAGAGTGATAGGCGTGGCTTTATCTGAGTAGGTATGAGATACTCAGAAGACAATCAATTGAATTTCTCTCCAGACACATACAAGCGTGTGCATTGTTAGTTAGAAAACCCAAAATCCTGCAACTAATAGTCATAAAGAAGCTCACACTGAAAGCTTTCCATCAGAAACTGACATGTTCCTCTTCACTTTGTCTGGTTGCAACTGCCGTTGAATGGAAAATCGCATAAGCAAAATTTTGCCAAACATTTACAGATAAAAGCACTTAAGCACACTAAAGATACCTCTTTATCAACAGCTAATGCTGCGTAGACCATGGAAGCTTTCTCATCGGACTCGAAATCTACTTGTAAGTCACTGCAAAAAGGATGTGACTTCAAGAATAAGGGAATTTATGATATTAAATTGACATTTGCAAGGCTTAAGATCCTCTTTTAGCCAAACCCGTCCTCAAAAGTACACTAAGCAGAACTGGGATATGTCGCACGATCATTAAAGTGCAGGATATGAGAGTCGTGAGGTCGATGTAAGGTCTAATTCCAAACACCACAAGCTATACCCACATTAGATTTGGCGCTTATCTCTGCTTGCACTGTATTATTCTGAAGATTGATTATTCTGAAGTGGCGGTGGTGGTGGATGATGATGCGCGGATAAACATATATGCCAAAAGAACCGATCGAGTAAAACTTGCCGACACAAAGACAAAAAAGATCGAAGACATTCTGCAAAAATCGCATCTTGAATATGCAAGTTAGAAGCTTTCTTCTGCCAAGCTTCCGAAACTTCACATGGGTAACTCGCGTTAACCCACGACACCTCAAAAGAAGCGAGAAAGAAAGGATTTCACGGGCGACAAGACTAGTACGAGATTGATACGGACACTCACTTTTAATCGCTAATCACAACATCAAACATGTGCAACACACATCAGCTAACAGAAAAGATGAAAGACGAAACGGGACAAGAGTATAACATCAAGAACAGAGGAGAGAGAGAGAGAGAGAGAGACCAGCTAAATTCCCAGGGGGTCTTGGGTTGGGCAGCCATTGGAGCTCCTTCCTGCTGCTTCGCAGTCCAAGCTCCAAGCAAGTGGGAAGCACAGAACGGGAGGCACGATGGGGCAAAGACGGAGACGGAGAGGTGAGGAGGAGGGTTTAAGCCGAGCGAAACGACGAGGCGTATTTAGGGAGCAGCGAGCGGCGTCGTTTTTGGGCCTCAAGCCCAAGTGCGGGTGGCGGTTCTCGATTGGGCTCTTGACCCTCCAAGTCGATCTGGGATTGGTCCACAAAATACGAGGTGGCGATTTTGAGAATTCATTGCCTGCAACAAAAATTCTATTTATAGATCAAATTAATCAAAGTAAAATAGTGATACTGGCATCAAACCTCGAAATGCAAAATAAAAAATGAAAATAAATTGCATTCCATTGAATATGTTACTGGCAAATTCGTGATATGGAACGAGCTTACGTTTCAGTTTAGACATGTAGATGAGGTAACAAAAATATATAGGTGAAACCCGATTGAAAACTTTGCCAAAGCATCGCAAACCCAAAAGTAAAATAACTCGATAGGTATAATGTAGTCCAAATAAAAAGTCCGAAGTTTTTTGGGCAATGACGACGAGTGACATTAGCCACCGCCCCACAAGCGCGATAACAAGACATGAACAGACATTTGGTACCTACTCGAGACATGTTTTATTTTCGTAGAAGAGTATCAGAAAACTACGAAAATGCGATTTTGATTTTTTTTCCCTCGTCGCCAAGAGATTTATGCATAGTTTCCTTTTATTTATAGTTTTGAGAAAATCAGATAGTAATTTAGGTTTTGACGGGATTAATTTATTAAAATTGATTTTAAATATAAAAAATGGCAAAGGGAAATCGGGCCCAACGAAAGAGACACGTGGAGGTAAAGGAAAGGGAAAGAGGGGGGAAGTATGTGAAGACTGGCAAGAAAGAGATATTCCTCAGGAGCAACGAAAGTATATTCCAACCTCCTAAAGACATTCGATGCAAACGATTGGCCTTTCACGATCTCTTTCTCTTCTCACTTGATCCCATCTCTCTCTCTCTCTCTCTCTCCTCTCCTTCTTCTTCTTCTTCTTCTTGGCGAGCAACAGCACTGCACCCCAGTGATAATCTTCACCTTCATCCTCCACGGGCGGCCACCATCTCCGGCAAGTTCACCTCTCTCTCTCTCTCTCTCTGTTGAGTATTATGTATGGCTCTGTTAAAGTTTGCATGTAAGAGGAGCATCCTCCAGCATCGTTCATGGTTTATACGTCTTTCTTGTTTGGGTTCTGCTTTTTTTCTGAGAGTTCTTTTGTTTACGCGCCATTGTTTTGCCTGCTGAATCACGATTGCTTGGACGGACACGACTCTTAAGTTTGCAGAATTCGTCCACCATGGTGATTTTCTCTATTCGTTCTTTCATTTGTTCTTTGATGCTGCTTTTGAATTCGGGTTTGCCTTGTTTGATGAATTCCTTGCACGGTTGATCTGAATCAGTCAGTTTGTTCCTGCACTGCCTCAAGCCGTGCCATGTTCATACGTTTTCATTGGTCACATCCATGACATGCTCAATCTGTGTGTTCGCGTTATTGCAATGAAAAAAAGCCAGCTTCGTTCATTAGATTGGTGAAATCGCAAACACGGGAAACGCTTCCCTTTTTGATCTTCTACCCCTTCCCCTTTTGCATGGTTAGCTCAGCAGTAGTATATATGTCAGTCGCCTGACAGCTGATTGTTTCGTTAAGTTTGCATGATCTCTTCATCAACTTCTGCCTTAAGGAACTGCATGAGTTCCAGAGTCTCTCCCCTCCATTTCGTCTTCTTGATGGTATCTCCATGCCAGAAACTTTAGAAGAAGTCCCATCGTTGGCACTCCCGTAACATATTTTTCTCAGTCAATCCGGTATTTTTCTGCCTTAGTTGTGAGTTGAAAGAAAACATGGTGTAGCACTTAGTTGGAGCTAGGAAGGGCATTGTTTAAACTTGGAGGTTTTTAGGATTTGTGTTGTGATTAGATAACCTTATTACTTTGCATGCTAGGAACATCGAGATTAGAGGCACAAGGATTCAATAATCCGCAGATGTATTAGAAAGCATTCTGTATTACAGAGAGGGTGTTTTTTAAGCTTCCTCTGTCTCTTAGATACAGAAGTATTTACTGCATCTTGACTCTCGCTTGGAAGACAGAACCCGGAAAGTTTGAGTTCCTTCTCGTCCTCCGGTTTGAAAATACCCGCCCACGAATTGGCGTCTCTCGTTCTTCTTCACTCCTGAATTTCCATTTGTTGTCGCATAAAATGCTAGTTTTCTCAACCGAGCCACCTGCTCCGGTAAATAAGAGTGATGCTGATAAGGTAAAAAGATCAGAAAAACCTGCAACCCAAAGTCATATAAACATGTGAGATCTCGGATAAACAGGGGAACAAACGATTAGTTACATGTTGAACGTACTCAATGGCTAAATGTACAATCACCGATTAAAAAGAGGTTTCTCTGAATGTCGCTATGTCAGGGAAGCTCCGACTTTGACAGGCTTGAGGCTTCGTATGGCTTTTCTTCCATATTCAAATACCAACACAAACACGCTGAAGAAGTATAGCAGGAAAATGTGTAGCCTCTCTAGCATGCTGTACGCAATAGAGACGTTGCTTCCACCTCCGGTGTTATTTATTAATGCGAATTTTGTCCTTATCCACCCTAAAAGAAATGTAGGCAAATCATCAGTAAATGGACGAGTCAAATTGGCTATTTCCTTCTGACAAAAAGAGAAACGGCATATTTCCTCCTGCTCAACCATTTCAAGTGGCTGAACATACTCAGATCTTCAGAAATTCTATGTCAGCAGAACTAATGACCAAAGAGACTTTCAACTATCACACGATAAATTGCCTTCAGGATTGATTTGATTTGGTCAGGTGAATTTAAGGAGGTTGCTTTGGCTGGGAGATGGTCCAAACGCTGAGCCTTAAGAGCTCCGACATAAGCTAGCTTGTAGTCGGGGACTTTCCATGTACAAAAAAGGTGTAAGCTTAGGAATTGTCGTTTCGGTGCCAGAATAGCATGTATAATGAGACAGCCTAGACATTGTGCATCGACAATCCCCGCAGAAAAACAGTTGGAAGGTCAAGAAACCATATACTTGGAGTCCTTCATGAAGAATCTCTTAGCATTATATTCAATGAAGTTAGCAACATGCAAAATTGAGTCAATTGAGGATAGAAGTACTCACCAGGACTTTTCGTAGTTAAGTTAGTCCAGTCCTCTGGGCTGACCTTCATTTCGGATGCCTTGATCAACTCAAGAAGAGCTTGATTGACCTGAAAAGTCCGAATAACTCAATGATTTCCTTGGTAATTCTATTCAATTTACCAGACGCCTAATGGGCAATGTGATGCTCAAAGTGACCAACAGAATCTCATGCCAAGGAACAGGGAGGCTTCTGATCTCTTATAGGCATAATTTGATGAGACCAAAGTATAAATGGGGAAAACTATAACAATGTACACTTCTGTAACATTGTCTTTTCTCAAAATCCCAAAGCCACTAGCTAGCCAGTACAAATTTTTTTAATAACGAGCAAGCTCAAATAACCCACTGTTCTTCTTGTAGTTCAAAACCAATGGTGAATTGAGAGAAATTGTAGTATTCTCATGAGCCACATTAATCAACCTCTTCAACATCCAATTCACTGCAAGAACTTAATTGTTTCACACCGTAATTCAATCTTTAAAAAATTTTCCCCAGAATGTTTCACCTGTTCTAGTACCCAGTTGCTCATGGTATGCAGCACCCCATAGAACAAAGCTTAGTCCACCCATTCACATGATTCCCATAAAAATTTCTAGCAGAAATAAACCGTTACCTCTCCAGTCCTCTCATGACTCACTAGATGCCCTCCATGAAGGTCTACCATTCTAGCGAATGGGTGGAGCTTCTCTGCAAGTCTCCTTGCATAATACATCTGTGCTATGACATCGTGCCTAACACCAACAAAAATGAAGTTAAATCAGCACAGTTCTCTGGGGAACTATAATGTAATATGTAGTCAACTGGATCCTGGAGGAGCCACCTCCATTAGATATGGGATAAAAAAGACAATAGTTAAGACAGAAGAATTCCATAGCCATAAGAGACAAGCCGAAGCTGCTCAGAAATCGGATTTTACATGGATGCCAGAAATTGGATTTTAGATGGGTGCCCAACTCGTGTATTTGTCATTATAATTAACTTAGTGTAGCATTCAACAATTTGGGGTAGATTTCCCATAACTACCCATTTGTGTGTCTTCTGCATTTATAGTGATTGCTCAAGTTAAGCCATTATAATGTCTGAAATTCTGAACCGGTTTTCCTCTATTAGGATGTTGTTCTCCCGGTCACTACAGGATCCTCCTTCACATTGCTACTAATGCTATCGTATACACAAAGTTCAGTGTTGGAGTCCTGAAAGTAAATTAAAGGCTTAGCATGTCTATGCTACCTTCCATGGATGACAGACACAAGGAATCCAGTAGAACGGATCATTTCAATCTCTCTCGGGGTCATTTTATGTCTCCAGCATGCATTGACTTGACCCTCAAAGCCATAAGGGGATTGCATCCCACTTGCTGATATAGCTTTGACGTATTCCTGCATGAGAGACGAGTGTGCCCTTGAAGTCAACTTTCAATGCCATGACATGTCAAGGATCAAATAAGGCAAAAAAGGTCTTGTTTCAAAGGAACATTCAAACTCTAATTCTTAGGCAATCCTTTTAGATTGATTTGGGTTGCATCGTAGACATTCAAACTCGATATCTGATATGCAACCCTTTTATTCAAGGCCATGGTACATGCCTTCACACTTGAAGATTTTGAGGTTCCAACTCTAATTCTTAGGCAATCTTACTGGCTTGTTCATGCCATTTTCCTTTACAAATGCAAAGTTCTAAACATGTTTTGGAAATATATCCTGTGAGCTGACCGTCAGACATGGAGCCTTTGAGGTTCCAACTTATATCATGTCTGCCCCCAAAAAAGCATGTCCATTTAACAGAACCACTCAACTATTAAAGTCGCTTCATTTTGTTAATGTAATAAGTTAAATGAAGCCTAACTACAACATTCAACCTAGTCTGACATCTCTTACTTGGTATAGAATTGCCCTGCGGGTGGTAGACCCTACATACTCCTCCAGATACTCCTGCAGATAAGAAAGACTAATCAAAGACTGACCATATGAAATACTTGCGAAAAGGGAAATGCACCCAACGTTCCTAGAATCTATCTGTGTAAAACACCGTCCTACAATTAACACCATCACATTGACAGACTTCAAAATTATTTATTTACCGTTGAGTAGTGAGTGTCCAAGTCCACGGCTGCCCTCTGTTCAGGAGTTTTCGCCCTCAAGAAACGAAATGCGATGGATACTGTTTTCCGGTCAAGCTAACAAGGACGAGGAATATGGTCAGCTAAAGCTCATTCAATTAAGACATGGGATTTAAACAAATAATTGGCTTTTGTTGTCAACAGAGAATTTTCAGTCAAGTTGACACTGGTCCTGGGTAGCAGTAACTTACAAAAGGAAGTTCCCTTTAGGAGAGAGAGAGCGCGTCATGCTCAATCAAAATCGTCATAGAACTTTGCTACCTTGATATCAGCGTATCAAATATAAATTCCCTAAGAATTTGACTACACTGATAGACCAGTGCAACTCGATCAGTTCAAACATGTCACTGTATGGCATATGGATTATCAAATGATTTCAGACCAAAGAGTGCCACCACAGGTTAAATTTTTTTTCCATGTCTGTCTATGCAATGCCCATCCTGTTAATACAGCCTGAACAGACATTATTGCACCAGATGCGTGATCTCTGGTTGCCAACACCTAATCAACAACAACACCGACATCAGGATACTGTTTAATGAACATCTAATCAACACAGAAATATGGTATCCTGTATATGTGGCCGATGGTTGGCATTTATTGCACGACTACATCCTGCTACTGCTTGGTTTCTAAGTATATACCTTGAGCTGGTTGCTTTGATGGACATTCATTCAAAGTAAAACATTTTGAATACGCACAGGTAACTATCAACTCCACACGTTGGCACAACATGGTCAAGGAACAAGGTTTACAATTTCGAAAAAGAAAAGACATTCTACCTTGGGAAAACATTCGAAACCTCCACCAGTTACATTAAGAACAGCTAGTGAAAGAATTCTGTTGGGCACCATAGCAGCCAGTTTGCAAGCGATCATCGCCCCTGTTTCACAACCAATCAAAAACGAATCATCAGAAAAGAACAAAGGAAACTGCACATATTGAGATTCTTGGGAGTTTGATTGCCCCCAAATAAATCTAGCCTATGTTCAAACAAATTGGGTTGCTTTCAAATGCAAAAGGACACTGAAATGAAACCTCCATATTGTCAAAGTTCAGGTGAAGTGAAGACTCACCCATTGAATGGCCAAAGACATGGGCTTCCTTCCAGCCCAAATGATCCATTATCGCGATTGCATCTTTTGCCATTATCTTTGTTCTGCACCAACCATTCCAAATTTTCTAGAATGATGAAGTCAACTTTGGCCAGAAACCACATTATTATTTAGTTGGTTGTGAACATGTATCTCAGGAAAAGTCAAACAAATCCTCAATCTCCGCCATTCAACGTTTTTACTCAGTCAAACCACGAGGCTCAATCTTGCATCAGATGAGACAATGATTCAGAGATGGATACTGACTCCTCCCTACTTTCAGTAAAGAAATAAGGAAGCAATCGTTCAAATGACTCAATTCCCTATGCAAAAATGCAGTCGGTTTCCTTTCCTAACTGCCGAAACAGCTTTAAAGCTGGAAGTCTAAGCGAAAGATTACCAAAGAAGCTTATGAACGACATACGAAAGGAGAGAACTTCAAACTTGCACACGTTGAATCATTTCGAGGTTAATAGAGGGCTGTCAAACCAAAGAAAAAGAAAAAGAAAAAGAAAAAAGAAACTAACACAAAAAGATAGAGTGGACAGGAGAAGAGGAAGAAGAAGCATCCCAAGAAATGCAAGAAGGATACTATTCCTACGCCTTCAACAATGCCGGTGCATCAAACAGACCGACACAAACGCACGGCAAGAGGCATCATCATCGGCAATCCGACATCAAGCAAACGAAAGAAAACTCACGTGTACGATGCCTTCTTGGTGGGCACGGAGCTCCGACCCATGCCGCGATTATCGAAGGCGCAGACCTCGATCCCGCCGCCGTCCCCGCCGCTCCCATTGCCGGCTCCGCCCTCGACGGCCGCCGGATCGCCGCCGCCGTCGTTGGGCGCGTCCGTGCCCGCCAGCCCCCTAATCTGGGGACCCCAAGACTCGTGGGTCCCGGCCAATCCTGCCCATCGGCCACCCCGTCAAATCAAGAAACGATCCACCGGAAACGACCCACATGAAAATTCAACCCCCCCACCCCCCCCCAAAAGAACAAGAAAAAAACCAAGAACCGATCAACGGAAACCGGAATGCTATATTCACCGATGATGAGGAGGACTTTGACGGGTCCGGCGCCGTAGGTCCGGTAGAAGAGCTTAATGCCATTGTTGCGCACCTCGCAGAACGGCATCGCGCCTCTCTTCCTCTTCCCGGCGGTCGTCGGAGGATCAGAATTCCGTTCGCTGTTCCTTCCCTTCTTCTTCCTTTCCGGGTTTTCCCGGCGGTGTTGGAGAGAGAACAGGAATCGAATCGGGTGTGGAGAAACACCAGAGAGAGAGAAGAGAGAGAGAGAGAGAGAGGGAGGAGAAGATGGGCACGCGTGCAGGATATATTATAAGCGGATGAATGTCTGGAAGGGGTGGTCGGGTTTCAAAGTCAAAGTTCGACGTCGGGACGTCGACGCTGTGAAGAACAAGATTTGTCTTTTTTTTTTTTATTTGTTTTTTTTTTTTTGATTCGTTGGGATTGGGGTGGCAAAAAACGTACCAGGATTTGGTTTTCCAATTTCTCGTTATTTGTAGCCATCAATCGAGCTCCTTCTGTTGAAAAGCGTTCGCAAAAGTCCCTGATGAGGAATACGGTCGGATGCCTATATTTGGGATCAAAGGTTTATGTCCTTCTTCCCGATTGATCGATCTGATAGACTCGGATCGAAAATGCTAAATGATAAATGCTTGCATTTTTATTAGGAGTGATCGATTTTGGGTGTGGATAAATCACAAAGTTGAAACTTGAAATCTATCCCGTCAGGGTCAGTTCTCAATTTTTGAAGCTGAGAACCAACCTTGGTACCATAGAACTAATCGGAGTATATTTTTTTTTTTTGGTTCATTTTGGTTTTTTATGCATATCAAATATGGATACAATTATTTATGCTTAAGGATAATATGTAAAACAAATTCAATTTCAACAAATATTTTCTTGTTTTAAAAAAGGGAGTTGAATAACTTACTTGGGGTTATGATTCCAAATTCTATCCTGAATCGATCTTGCAAGTTTCAAATTCTAGTTTCCTTAAGTAGAATCGGGAACCATACCAATCAAATCGGTTCCCAATATTTAAAATCGGAAATAGGACCGGTTCCCTTGTGAACCGGCCGGGAAAGGCCGATCCCTTTATGAACCTGCCTGGTTGCTCACCCCTAGTTTCTATGCTTCTAGAATTTTTTTTTTATTATAAGCCAATTGGAAAGTGCTTTGCAAAATTAATTGGAGCAAGTATTTTCTATACCCAATTCACCACCCAACATTGACATAGACAAAAAAAACAAATTAAGAAAAAGTGCATTCTTTAATTCCAACGATAAATAATACTAATATATACACACAATTAATATGATTGGTCAATTACACCACGTCGTTCGTACAATTTTTTTTTTTTTGATGACCCAGGGAACCCCGCACGGCCGACAACCGGGAGGTAAACCCTGGGGGCGACACGTGCTAGCCACCACACACGTGCACCGGTTAAGTCACCCTGCGGCACCCGGGATTCGAACACTCAACCTTTTGCGAGAGGAAGAGTGCGCGCTCCAGCAACGCCACCCAGGCGGGTGGTAAAACGGCAATTCTCATCGAGGAGAAAGCATTTCAAAATTTGACAAAGCATGGACCTCACGTTCAAGAAATAAAGAGTCTCGTAGAATTCGTATAATCTTCTCCTCATTCCCTCCATCAACATCCACGAAACAATGACTTTCCACCATACAAATGTCATCGTTATTACCAATGAGGGGCTCATGTCCCCATCTTTGTAATTGTAATGGCATGATCTTACGAGTTTTCATCAATCCTTAAAAATGTCCTGGAGCATCGTTGGGAAATCTGCCTAAACCATGTTCACAAAGGGTTCGTTCAATTATGGTGAGGGCCCTTCACGGCCTGTCTCGATTCTATCGGACGAGCTCCACGGATGTATTCCTTATATTAACGTGCCGGTGCCCGCACGCCCGGTACCCCTCATTCCCTTCATATCTTTTTTTTTCTCACCCTTTTTTCTTTTTGCAACCCTAGAGTATTGAGACGTAGCCTTTTAAGGACCTGCTAAGGTCCAGTACTATAAGAACATGTTCTACTCTGAGACTTTGATGCGAGATTCAATTATACTCCCGCTATAAGTAACTAGTCATTATGATCATTAGTTTGCTAACAAGGTATTATCGCAACGCCTGGTACATCGAGCACGGTGGACCGCCTTCATCCAGCACATAGTCGACCATAGAGCGAAAATCCACGTTTATGCATGTTAACAACCGATTTAAAATTCGATATAGAGATTGAAGTCGGAGTGAAATTGTTAGGTTTTTCAAGCACGGCGTGTTTGGAGAGAAAAAACAATTCGATCGAGAGATGCCGTCGCGCTCGCGAGGCAGATGCCAAGCGACCAAGACAAGTCGGCTCGACCCGTAATTACAATTACGTTTCTCCTCGAACACTCACCTGTTTTCAAGCAACTTCCAATTCTCGCTTTTTGTCCGCCTCCACCCTGTCGATTCTTCATCAACCAGCTAATTCCGCTTTGCCAAATGTCGTCGAGAACCACGTGCTTGGCACGTGCGCAATCGCCTAAATTCGGGGCCGTTTTGGCCCCCCTTTGAAACCAAAAGTTAGAGCGAGAATTGAAGACTCCGTCACCCCCCTCCGATTGATTTTAAGCAGCCAACTCCTTAATTTAGACTTAGCCCTTGAAGTCGAAGCTATAGTTAAGCATGAGATTGTGAAAGCTAGAAATTAAAAAAATTGACCGAAAAGAGGGTTAAAAAAAAAAATCAAATATCAAACCCCGTTGGGAATTTTATCTATAGAAAAAGGTTTAATAATGTGCGCCAAAACAGAGCAGATGAAGAAAGTCAACCCCCCTTTTTTGAACCCTTCTTTCCATGGCAATGACAATTTGACATCTTCTCGAAACCATATGACCGAAAGCAACGCGTGGGAAAGAGCACCGGAGGCTTTACTTTAAGGTTCATTTTGCTCTCTGATTGAAATCGGAAGCCGGAAGCAAGTGGTTTGTCTTCTCATAAACAAAAACGGGTTATTGATTACAATAAAAGTTGGTCTTTGCGTCGAATCGACCTACCCTTGTTGACCAGTGAGCTGCGATGAGATTATATGAAAAAGTCACATACCGATAAAGAAAATGGGAAAAAAGATGTAAAAAAACCTAAACAACCTATGCCTACGAGACATATTTACTCTGAATTTTCTTTTGTGACATTAAAAGCTCCAAACGATACTCACCGTGGCATATTTACTCAAAACTTTTTCTCGTGACACAAAATACCCGAAACTTGTATTTATGTGACACATTTATTTCCCGTCGATGTTCTGTTAGATGATTTTTCAGCCAAAATATCGTCGTTTTTATTACGTTGACAGATTTTTAACGTTTCTCATTGACAGAATTTTAACGAAAGATAAATGCGTCACACCGATACATGTTTTGGGATTTTTGGTGTCACATGGAAAAGTTTAGAGTGAACGTGTCGCAACAACGGACATTGTTTAAAGTTTTTGGTGACTTTTGCCCATATAAAATTGAACCAAAAAGGTTCGTGGCAGGACGCTTGGGCATGAGAAAAACGTAACGTTGGTTTTTTTCAGTTTTTGAGCGTACAGGTGTTATACAAACAAGCGCTATTTTCTTTTTATAATTAATTGTACAGAGACAAAAAAAAAAAAAAACAAAACAAAACAAATAAGATTATTTACTAACTTTTCTCGATTATGATCGGTGCCTTTCAAGATTCCCGAGTTATTATACCTACGTTGTATCTACCCCCAATGGAAGAAGACCGGCATTACGTTTTTTTTTTTTTTGGTGAGAAAAGGGGCAAAGCCCGATTATAACTGTAACATTTGCCTAAGAAAGCTTAAACCGGACTGGCATTATGGTTTTAATTTAGAGCTAACAAGACATTTGCACAAGCTATAGCGAAAAGAAACACCCGTTTACCCCTGTGAAGTCGGCTTATTAGCTAATGAAAGAGGCTCGGATGTTCGGGTTGACCGCGAAATATAGATTCGATTCTCTAACCCGTCAATTCAAAGTAATACCATGTCGAGACCCTCGTTCCGGTTCTAACTCGCGTCTTATCAGAGTTCGGATGAACGAAACAAGAAGTAGAAGTTTCACCTCAGTGGAAGTGGGGGAAGATAAGATAGCAATAGGACAGCAAGCACAAGATGGTCAATGGAATGCATAGTGTCATCGTGGTATGTTTTACAATCGAATAGTCGCTCGCTTCATGCGGATATCTTATCGATGGATAACTGGATAAGCAACTCATCATGAAACCGGCACTCATTGGCGAGATAAGTAAGAACAGATTCCCTCCATGCTCTGGCTCTTTTCTCGTTCATGTCTCACAGTATTGTACCGTAGACCGGACGTTGGCGGCTTGAATTCCAGGTCATGTTCAAAGCCAGCTGTATAACGTAATTATCGTCAATGCATGGGCCGACAATAAATCCCATATTAACATCCGTGTGTCTGGAGTTATACAGGTCTAACGGAATCTGGCGTTTTGCTCGTTCCTAGGTTTTTTCCTCATTTCCCTCTTCAATTTCCTATTCCTGTTTAGGAATACCTTGTTGCTCGGCTTCAACCATGGAGTTATCAATTGAGAAGCTGAAAATGGCAGGTCAAACCCCATTGAGTAACTGGGAACCGAGAGCACCCGTACTTGCGAGCTCTTGCACTCAAGTTGGCAATCACATCCAATCCAAGGTCTCATTTCATTAGCACTCTGATTAAGCATTATTGATGATTTGTCATTAAAAAAAGAGAAATTTTTTACTTCCCAGATTCCGAGAAAGAGCATTTGCGGTTTCTGGGGCATGCTCTTCTTCCCTGAAGTATCCACTTCCACCTGCAGCAAATGTTAGGTTAAAACATAGTGGACCGGAACAAAAAGGGAAACTACAGCAACACGAGTTGCAGAGGACATGAAGTGTAACTGCAGATTCATTGAAGGCACTGCATTTCTCATCCCTAAGGGAAAATTGAACATAAGATAAAAGCACTGCATTTACAGTGGCAGAGGAAACGATCGGGGAGTGATTCCCACAGATGGAAACCACATCCTCCTCAAGAAGCATTAGAATATGTTATGACCCAAATTTTGGAACAAAGCTCCCCAACACTTTTTTGTCGGCCGGCATGTACCAATGGCAAGTCGGATTGGCAGACGAACTCTTCGAGGAACTAGCTTCAAAGCCAGCTACAACACGTTCTACAGCTAATTGCCATTTTCCAGAATAATTTCAAGGCCCGTCTTCTTGAGCTGAAAATTGAGGAGAGATGAAAGAAGCAATGTCATTGCAGGTCAGACAAAACATATATATATATTTGGAAACTTTCAGGCCAAATGAGAAGTACACAAATGAAGGAGTCAGTATGTTCCAGTTTGGTTGCAAAAGCAGATGCGAGTGCAATAGAGCAAAAGAAAGCCTTACTGCTCAAAATAAACCCTTGCAGCAGACTCTGGGCTCTCTCGGCCTGCTCCGGAGTACCGGATATCTGAATAACCTTCTGAGTTGCCTCTGGTTTATCCTCTAGCAGTATTACACTGGCCCCTGACAACTGCTCCAAGCAAACTCAGTCACGGATCAAACATTTCACCGGATTAACCAGATGATATCAGGTGGATGTAGAAGAATTGCAAACTTACCTCGCTTATCTGAGACAGCTTACTTTTGGATTTTGCTATGAGCTTTGGAACTGCATACTCTGGTATGACAACTTCAAGGGTACTCCGTGTGACAAGCGTAACAGCAGGTAACCTATGGAAAAAGAGAGGGGCGCATTTATACTGCAGAAAAAATTTGGCAATATTGCTGTGGAAGGTATCATATGCAAGGAAATTATTACCTGCTCAAGCTAGGGGCATCTTCACGACTCTCACCTTCATTACGCCTTCCTGTCTCAGAGGCAGAACTCCCATTGTCCTACAAAATGTCATTTGACAATGAGTAATGCAAACAGTCAAACTTTTCCTCAAATGGCAATTATTACTTTGTTGTATTAGATCTACATTTAAGGTAGCCTTGGCATTTTGCCAGATGAACAATGGGAAGTATGTCTTCCACAAGTGGAACCAAGGATGACACTCACTGCTTCAGCTCGTCAGTATCATGCAGAAAGCCGGTAAAAGAAAGGGAAAATCGAAGTGCAATGATAAGCCAAGCACAACCCAACAACTAAAGAGAGTAACAAAATCAGCAGGAAAATTAGGGAGAACACATGATATGCTAAATCTTTGACATAGGCAACCTTTGATGGCTGTGCTGTTGCAACATTTTGCACTCCCAACTGGGTTGCTGTCACAGGATCAGGTGCGGCTTGAGCTTCGCGATTAGTAATACTATTGGAAGGAATCGGCTCAATTTCAGGAGGAGGAGGTGAGTCTTTTTCGGAAAGTTCCCTGTAGAAATGGTTCCGTAATATTGATGTCACCTCAACAAGGGCTTCCCTAGCTGATTTTATCTCCCCCACAATCTGCAGAGAAAACGAAGCAGCTAAGCCGTACTGCAGATAAAAATTAATCCTGTCAGTCCTGCCATTCACAGGTACACAACTTGAAGCAACAATGAAAGCCCACGTGGGGTTGACGATACCCATCAGCGACACAAGATAGAAACAGAAGGCACATAGAGGTGAGAGAGTTCCAGTACATTGACCTTCCCAGAATAGAGATATTGAAGGCACCAAAATGGAGAATACGGATCTAGAAACCTACTTTGAGGACTTATCTTGCACACACATGGTAAACAATGCATATAATTAACCTTTTGGACTTGCAGCAAGCTCAAGACTAGCATGCATTAGCCATTCCAGTAATCAGTAGCCGATGAACCAAACCTGAACAAGCTCATCATCCGCAAAAGCACTGCCAGGAAGATCTCCTTTTGGAATAATCTGTACACTTGCACCGGTCAATTTCTTTATCTCATACAGAGGTCCGTCTTTTCCCTCTAAGCACCCAATATCACTAGATGGCACAAGTAACCTTGTGGTTATAATGTTGTCTTTATCAGGAAAAAGATCGACAATTCGAGTTTGGATGTGCAACAAAGCTTCTTGGGCTGGAAAGAGTTCATCATCAGGACCCTAATCAAACAATTAAAAAAGAAACCTTCTCAGAAATTTACAATTCAGCATACCACATCCCAAGGTAGATCATCCAAATTTGAAATTCTTATGCTACCATTTCTGAGCTGTAGTCTGCAGAATCTTACAATTCCAATTGCACGGCATCAGTTAAAATGCATCTCTAGACAGGAAAAAGAAGTTTCTGAAAGGCAATTACCTCCTCAGATGAAATAATAATCACTTGTTCATCTGAGCCAGCCACAGGGTCACAAATCCTAACATCCACACCAACATCATTTCTGAGTAATTCTATAATTCCAACAGATTCTCCAGCAACCTTATCAATCTTTCCAATTGGACATAAGATTCGAAACACAAGTTCATCCCCATCCAGTGGCTGCGTGTCATCAGTCATGGGAGCAGCCTCGGACTCTGTTGGTAAACCAGATGAACGAGAGATGTAGTTATTGCTCCTTGCATTGGTCAGACTAGGCCGTGAACCATATGAAGTCCCATCGCCAGATGAACGGCGTGTTGAGTTGCTCATGTGAGGAATGAACTCATCATCAGAAGGGAACCGCTCCGGTGAATGAATTCTCCCATGAAAATGACTGCGGTCACGATGTTGACTCTCCCTCAAGCGATGTGAAATAATTGATATTGCATGCTTCACAGCATTCACATCACCTACAACCTACGGGTGACAACGTAAATTAGAGACACATCAAAAAATAATCTCAACTTCATAATGTGAGGTAGACCAGTTTAGATATCAAGGCATCAGCATATGCAATTATCAGAAGTTGAAGTGTCAGATCGTTTAGCTCCAATTATTACTCTTCAAGGTTTCTAGAAGACCATATAGGTATTGATAGAAAGTCCAACCCAAATGCACAGATATTTTGATGCTCAACACCACCAACAAACATACTGAACTTATGTGCTCATCTTCATGAGCACTCGTTAAGCCAGTTTGCACATGTGATTCACGAATCAACATACTCTGGCAAAAAGATGTGAATTTGTTGTAGTTGTCTGCTGAAAAAGAGAAAGGGCAATCTAGAATGACATGGTAAATTTTTAGGGAGGACCAATCTGATAAATTCGGTCCAGCATGAGGCATTGGCCAAAAAAGAACAATGCATTCAGCTGATTAAATTCATACCTACAAACAGCAAGAATCATAGTGAGCTACTAATTCATTACGAAAATTCAACAGTGAGTACACGATAGACAAATTTGAAGGTATTGAGTAACAAAAAACAAAGACAAGCAGTTGCAGACACTGATGCTAAGGATCAACATTTAACAAGTATCAGTGGTTACAGGCTAATAATCCATGGAAGTTTTTTTCTGTCTTTGGAATAGACATGTAACTTGCAAAGTCTGAACATGCATTCGATTCACTTAGCTATTATCTTCCTCTGTGATTCTGAGATTCGTGAGTCAGTTTAAGTCATACTACAGCACACAAATAGGCTGCAAAACTTTTGGCTACTTTTGCATGAACGCAAGGGCACAGAGAAACCTGCATTCTGAACTAAAGCAGGGAGCAGCTTTGACATTCTGTAGACAAGTCAAAGGTGTGTAGGGAGGGCAAAACGCCAAAACTGGAATTCATTAGAAGCATTTAAACCCTTCATGGCCATTAACTCCTAGAGCCAACAGAGCGATTATTCTACACTTCCTCAATCAATGATTTAAAAAGGAAAACTTTAAAAGGACAGATATGTCCAACTCCGGCAAGCGCTTGGCATTTTACTTCTCATTAACAGATCAACATGTGCGAATCGCCCAAAAAATCACTACTTTCCCATTGAACAGATTTTTATTTCAGATCAGCATCTTAAGAAAGATTTTGCTCGCACGTCTGGTCAGGGCCAAATAAAGGAAGTTACGCACGAGCACCGAAGAGCAAGTGGAAACATCGGCGACTACATTCACAGCCCAAGTTCACCAATCAACCAACAAACGCACACGCAGATTGTCCCAATCATTTCAACATTCGTAATCATCTCCCTCACAGCCCGAAAGCTTTAAGTTCTGTTACTTTTTTTACTTTTTAGCCGAATTTAATCCGCAAACCTGAACAATCTCCTCGGCCATGGTAACGCATCGAGGCAATGTGTGATCTCGGGGCAAAATCCTAATCTGAGTCTTGGTCTCAACCCTCATCTGCTCAATGATCTTCCCTCCTTTCCCCAACAAGCTCCCCACGTGCATCCTCGAGACGACGAGCCTCGTCACCGCCCGGTTCCCGCCTCCTCCGTCCTCGTACTCCCCACCGCCGTACGCGTCGCTCTCCATAATCCTATCGTGAATCAACAGCAGCGCCTCCTGCGCGGGCGAGAAGACCGGCATTCGCCCGTCGGGGTCCCGCCTCCGCGTGTCCGAGATCTCGATGATCCGCTCGCTGTCCCCGCCGACGAGCTCGTGGACGTTGATCCACGCGCCCGTGTGCTGCCTTATGGACTTGATGATGGACCCGGACTTGCCGATCACGCCCCCGGCCTTGGCGTCGTGGCAGAGGATCCGGTAGCTCGTGGTGACCATGAGGGACGAGTCCTGCCGGTGCCCCCCGCCACCGCCGCCGCCGCCGCCGCCGCCGCCGCCGCCGCCGCGGTGCCGGTGCGCGGCGGCGGCGGGGCCGGGGGAGGAGTGGTGGTGGTTGTTGTACCGGGGTTTGGTCCGGCCGGGGGCCTCGGAATCGTAGTCATTATCGTAGTAGTAGCTCCTCTTGGATCTGGATCTCTCCATAGCTAGGGTTCCGATTCCGGTTCGGGTTCCGGTTCCGTACTCGTATTTGGAAGAATCATATGTCAGCGATCGTCACAACCACCTCCGCCGTCATCGTGTCTAGCAAGTCCGATTCCCGATTCAAAAATCCAACAACCGATCCCCCCTCGCCGCGGCCAGTTTAGGGTTTTTGGCTCCGACGAATGCTTATGGACAGCTCGATTCGGGGGTTCGCCCTTCGCCTTCGCCGGAGATCGAGCTCGCTCGAACTTCCCTCCGGCGAAGAGGAGGTTTCTCTCGCGCAGCTTCGAGATCGAGGGAGAGGAATCGCCGGCGAGCAGGAGGAGGAGATGAGTCAAGCTGGAGGAGCTTTGCGGTCTTTCTACTGCGAACTTCCCACTCGGATCAGTCGCTGTAGATGATTGGAAATTTTACTGCTGCTGCGAAGGCGAAAGTCGAAGGGGGGGCCCTCGTCGGCTAGGCGGTGTCGTTTTGCGGGCGTCGCTGTGCGTTTTTTGATCGTTATTGGGCGGAGGGGTTTTGGAGGGGAGCGTGACGCGACGTGATTGGCTAGTGCTGGTGGGGGGTTGAGTGGCGCACAGTGGCGCGTGTCCATCAAACGCCGTCCTTTTTGGGTTGAACCATTTATATTTGGATTAATACCACGAAAAATCTCAAATTTGTACACCCGTAACAATTTTATCTCGAATTAATTTTTTGACTATCAAAAATCTCGAAATGGAACGCCTGCGATAAATTTATCGCGAACTATTTTTTTGGCCACCAAAAACCCCACACTGGTATACTTGTGATAATTTTATTCCGAACTAATTTTTTGACCACCAAAAATCCTAAACCGGTACACTTGTGGCTAATTTACTCTCTGTTAGTGTCTATTAAATTGGATTAATGTCATGAAAAATCACAAATTGATAAACTTGTGACAAACAGAGGGGTAAAACCCCAAATTAGTATAACCGTCAATTACCACGTATCATCAAACTTATCAATTTGACAGTAAAATTTAACGGAAACTAACGAAGGGTAAATTTGTCATAATTGTACCAGTTTGGGGTTTTTGGTGGTCAAAAAATAAACTTATCAATTTGACAGTAAAATTTAACAGAAACTAACGAAGGGTAAATTTGTCACAATTGTACCAGTTTTGGGTTTTTGGTGGTCAAAAAATTAGTTCGGGGTAAAATTGTCACAAGTGTACCAGTTTGGGATTTTTTGTGGTAAAAAAAATAGTTTGGGGTAAATTTATTACATGTGTACCAATTTGGGGTTTTTCGTGGTATTAACCTTTTATATTTATTCTGTTGTTTTTCTTATAGTCAATATTTCATGAAAATTTACCAAAAAAGTAAGTTTCATCGTGTTTTTTTTTCTCCTTTCGGAAAAAGGCAGTCAAAAACCTAATTATACCCACTGCGACATATTTATCACAAACTTTTTTTGTAACACAAAAAACTTAAAACTTGTGCTCATGTGACACATTTATCTCAAACTTATATCAATGTGATACATTTGAGGTAAATATGTCGCACTAATACAAGTTTGGGGTTTTTACTGTCAAAAAAATTATTTGAGGTAAATGCATCACAGGGTATAAGTATGGGGATTTTGTGTCACAAATTTTTTTTTGTTAAATATGTCACACGTGTATAAGTTTGGGGTTTCGTGTGTCACAAAAAAAAGTATGAGGTAAATGTGTCGCAGACTCATAGTAGGTATAGTTTAGAATTTTTGGTGACATTTTCCTTTTTTTTTTTTGTGAAACACATATAACATGTACTGATAATAGTTATATTTCGAATTTCGTGCTAGTGTCGAAATGTCGAAAAATAGACAAATAATCTCGTCATGCCACACTAATGAATCAGTGAGCTCAATTGGATGGATATAATTTGGAACGAAACCTAGAACACGAAAAAAAAAATCACTTGTTTTCTAGTGTAAAGAGAAAAGACAAACGTAAAAATGCTCGAGGAAGTTGCCCGTCTTTATATTCTTGGCATTACTATAAAGAACACGGTACCGAAAGCACCTTGTACATCGTTCCAAATCTAACCCCCCAATAAGTAGAAAGGGGCAAAGCCAAAATCTATTCCTAACAAATTGCTGGCTACGAATCCAAAAAGATTGCCTCAATTTGAATCATATAGGCTCATTGCTTATTGAGCGAATTCAGGCCGAGCTCATTGTGGACTGAACTTTGCATGACCTTATCGGTTTGGTCAAACGTCCACGCAGGCTCACGGGAGTTGTATATAATTTCCCTTTATATATTTATGCTCAAAAAATGAAAAGAAATCCGTGCAAACTATATAAATTAATCATCAAAAAGATGAAAAAAATTATTTATAATGGAAGGTTTTCTTCAAAAAAAAAACTCTTTTATTATTAAAGATGATGGGCCGGGCCGGGTCGAGGGGCGGGCGCCGAGCGAGGCGGCCCTCGCGCATCCAATAGGGCGGGCCGCTGCGCGCGGGCGAGGTTCGCCGCTCCGGGCGAGCGAGGGCGGCCTCGCCCGACTCGCGAGGGCGGACCTCGCTGACGCCGGCGAGGTCCGCCTCGCCGACTCAGCGAGGTCGACCCTCGCTTGACGCGGCGAGGGCGGCCCTCGCCGCCCAGCGAGGGCGGACTCGCCGACGCCGGCGAGGGTCGCCCTCGCCCGGGCGAGCGAGGGCGGCCTCGCCCGACTCAGCGAGGTCGGCCCTCGCCCGACGCCGGCGAGGGTCGACCTCGCCCGAGCGGCGAGGGCCGCCTCGCTCGCCTGTGCGAGGGCGAACCTCGCCCGACGCCGGCGAGGGCCGCCCTCGCTCGACGCCGGCGAGGGCCCCCTCGCCGGATCCGGCGGAGAAGACGCCCGGCGAGGCCCTCGCGGAAAGGAAAAAAAAAAAAAAAAAAAGAAAAAGCAGAAAGACGAAAATGCCCATGGACTAAATACATTGGTAAATGTGTCACAAAAAGCAAAGTTCGGGATTTTTGCACACAAAAAAGTTCGGATAAATGCCATCAGATGCAAAGTTTAGGTGTGGTTTTTTCCCAAAAAAAAAACTCTTTTATTATTAAAGATGATGGGCCGGGCCGGGTCAGGGCCGTACACCGGTGCGTAAAAAGGAATCCGGGCCAAGCCCAATCATTTTTGGGGCGGGCCGGGCATGTCTTCCGGCGGCGGCGCCCATTGACGAAGTCTAGAAGAGAGAGAGAGAGAGAGAGAGAGAGAGAGAGAGTGGATATGTGGAATCTGGTCTCGCAGGTGGTGGAAAGACTTGGCCATGGCTCTCTGCTCCTGCTCCCTTCTTTTCGCTGCGTCGTCGACAAGCTCGCCGGTCTGTCCTTCATTTTCCAGCTGAACCCAATTCCCCAAACACCTCGCTATGATGTTTACGACGTAAAAATCGATCCTTTTGTTGCAGATCCAATGGACAGATGCACGGACGCAGGCACTTTCGTCGAAGGCGCCGCTTTTGGTCTCTCTCTCTCTCTCTCTCTCGCTGGTTTTTTGTCGGTATTGTCGTTTTGTTAGGAGCGAGGTGGTTGTGGTTCTCTCGGTGGAACGTGAAAGTTTTGGCCTGCGTCTCGTTGTTTGTAGGTAGTTTCGCAGTCGCGGAGCGGCGGGCGCGGCCGGCGGGTATGGCGGCGGAGGAAGCTGGTGCGTTTTGCTTGCTCCTTGCCTAATTCTTGTGAATGCTTTTGTGGGTTTTTGTGGGGGCATTGTCAATGTGGAGAAAGTGGAACTGGTGGGGGTGTTTCGCTTTCGGTGCTGGCTGGGCAAAGGGGGTTAAGCTTCGGGTCGTGATTCTAGTCTAGGTTGTAATGTGTGTCTGAACGTGCGAGAACTTGCGTGAGCTGATAGGGATGTGTTCGGGGTTCTAGCTGGATTAGTTTTAATCCTCGGAGTCAAGAAGGAATATGGGGAGGAGGAATTGAGTTTGCCGGGCATTTTGGTTTTCCTGGCGTGGTTGACTTGTGAAGTACGCAGCTTGGTTCTCTCTGCTCTATAGGTTCAGTTAGAGTCCTGGTTCTCTGCGTTGAACTTTTTCCTTTTGGTGTAGTCGGTGAAACATGGGGACAAATTGTGCGTATTAACGACATTTCGCAACATCGACAAAATTTATGGAGCAGTTAATGGCTACTTGAAGGATAGGGGATGTGGGTAGTGATAAAATGATATGAAGTTTTTAATGGCCGAATTATTGATATGACTGACTTCAATGAATTAACGAATTGCTTGCATTGCGCGAAGTATATGTTAGGGTTACTCTGCACGTACTTTCTGAATTGGTTTATTTTGTCCAACTTATACTTTTGCTGATCTAATTAAATGCTCCCGTTGCACTCTGGTTTATCTACCTATTTCCATCATTCGTCATTTGTTCTTACCATATTGGCCAGCACCTATCTTTGGGTATGTTTAACAGCACACTCTGCCACCAGACATTTGTTAGAGAGATTACTTTACCTGCCTTGTCTCTCACATATATGTTGTATCACAGTAGTCATGGTTCATTTTAATACGGCCTAGAGTCTTAACTCCACCCGGTTTTATGTGGAATGGGGTGCACTTGATATGCACTATCGCAAGATGATATTTTTGGCCAGAATTCTTCAGTGGAAAGGCTAAGATAAAGTTGCTGGCTGACTCATGTCTGCTAGCTGAAACCTTGTCGTGTGATCTGTAACTCGAGGATTTGACTGCTTTGAATATCTCGAAAGTAATTTCACTGTAGATCCTTTTGTTATTTTTGGACCATCAAAGTCCATGCTTTGCCAGCTCAATTTTGTTCAAGAATTTATGCTATTGTTATGGACAGGATAGTTTTTTTGCTTTAGCTCTTACCTAGAAGTTTTCTTTTATCTTGGCAGACAAAGAAAGATGACTTGTTGCAATACAAAATGGAGAGGATTCCTTTCCTCGAGGAGCAGGAGAGGAAAATAAAGGAAACGGGAAAGCTATTGACGATGGACATCGAGAGGCTTCTGCTGTCAGAGGATAATCGGTTCGATTTCATTAATGATGTCGCGGCTGAGGCGAAGGAGTATGTTGAGAACAACAGGGATGAATACGGTGGCACTAAGAAAGCCATCCTTCATGTGCTCAGTAACCGTGTGAACGATTCTGGGTTTTATCGACCAGAGGCATATTCGGAGACTGATCCCTTCATACCCGGGCCTGGTTACTTGAAAGAGGAATTTACCTGAGCGTCCAGAGTCTCCGTGTAACGATGGCAGCCAACTGGACCTTGTAATCTTGATCATTTTCGAGTTATTGTCATTGATGCATCTTACTATTACAGTATATAATGTACATATACACATACATATCTTAGCTAAATTAAAACATGAGGTTTCTACTATAACAGGATTGGTTACCAGAGTGGACAGTGGATTGAGGTATTGGTTTTATGAATCTAGACAGAACACTGTCCCTTGTTTACTCTTGTTTGCTTTTCAACTTGGAAAAGACCATATAATATTTTTGGGTTCACATCCGTTTTCCCTTCTGCTATAGGTACAGATTTCATTATGAGAGACTATAAGCAAGATAATAAGTCATATGTAGATAAGTTTGGATGGTTCATATGCGAATTCGCAGACAATTGATGCTGATGACACCATTCTGCAATTAGCATCATCATATGATGTTCATTAGCACGAAGTGGATATCGTCTTATAAGTGTGAGCTTCAGAAATTGAGCTAGTAAACAATTTCCTCATCTGCTTGAGTAGCATTCACATGCAACGGGGGACATTTTCCTTGTTTCAGACAGTTAGGTAGGAAACCTTTCATTCTATGCATAGTTTTCCAAAGAAAACCTTAAGAGCAATAGATGGTGAAATTTCAGCGATGTCCCTGTTTTCTTCCCGTTGTCCTTCCTTTCAAGTGCCGTCTCTTGTGCAAGGCGAATTCCGGTTGTTGTCGTGAATGGAAACGCACGGTAGCACGCACAATAATGTAAGTGCGAAAAAGATTAGGTACTCCATCATAAAATTATACTTCAGAGGTTTATTATTACACCCTCAAGACGGGCATTACAATGCGTGATATTTCTACAGAAACTTGACTACAATGCTACAATACATATTGTCTCTTGACGCATTACATTAATATCCTCACGAGAGAGAGAGAGAGAGAGAGAGAGAGAGAGAGAGAGAGAGAGAGAGAGAGAGAGAGAGAGAGAGAGAGAGAGAGAGAGAGAGAGAGAGAGAGAGAGAGAGAGAGAGAGAGAGAGAGAGAGAGAGAGAGAGTCAAGGAGCATTCTTGCAGCCCTTCTTTCGGGGATCATGCTTAGGATTGGCACACACGTCGTCGTAGTCGAGGAGGCTATCGACCATCATGAGCTTCCTAATTTTCAGTCTTTCACCATCCTTTGAGGAGATCCACAAAGAAAGAAATGTTAGCAACGATAAGCTTTGTACAGTCTATTTTCACTAAGCTTTATATCAAACAGAAGTACAATCAGAACCAAGTAACAAAATTAACATCTATAGCTTCAGGCAGCTTCTTCAAGAATAGGGAAACTTTTGCATCTGCTTACTTCACAATTCTTCTAGGGTATAAACTGCATGCTTGCATGCATGCATTTTGGAATACATGCATGCATTGGTCAGGTTCGATTATTCCAAAATGCATGCATATCAGAACCTACATGAAGGATGTCTATTGATGTAGTGTTTTGTGCAAACTATACCTTACGAAATAAGGGTTTTGTCTCCGAACCATCAAACTTTCCCAACAAGCCTGCAAAAAACAAAGAAAATCCGTCGTGTAAATTGCTACGCATTGAATATATTGAATTCTTTGAATCCCTGATGCAGACATGGGAAATCTTCTCTAGCTAATATTGAGATTTGAGGTAGAGATGCTCACCTAGAGAGAAAGAGATCACCAGCAACATCAGGAAAGCAAGAACAAGGGTCTTGACCTTAGGAGCCATGGATGTGATCCTTGCTGCTTCTGAGATTGTTCAGTTATGGATGATGCAGGGCAATGGTGTAGGAGGAGAAGAGAGGTTTGCCTTCCATTTATACGTAGCAAAGCTTGCATACGGGGTCTCTAAATATCGAGGAGTATTATTGCAGTTTCGTCCCTCATCTTTGGATTTTTGATGTCTTAGTCCCTAGACACTTCCCGTTTATGTCCGATTATGACGTACATATCACAATAATGGATCTAGGAATTGTTCTCGGTGGGGCAAAATTTAAGGAATGATTACAAGTAATCAAGTGTACTTGTTCTTAGCAATTAAATTAACTACATTCTCCTACTTTCTGATTTTTTGTTGTTGTTTAAGCTCTGTTAATTTTTCAGGGCAACTTGAAATGAAAACATTCAACGTCAACCTAATCGTATTCTTTTGAGAAAATTAACGGGAGAAAAACTTATTTTCTTATGCTCAATTCGTTTAGCATTACTTGAAAGCCTTCAAATGATTCTAACATTTATGGAAAATGAGTGGGTGTGGGGGCCCCTACTATGCTAAACATAACTCCTTCCCTGATCAAGAAAGCTGTATGAAAAAAAGCACTAATGGATTACATGCGAAGATTTCGACCAGTCACTCTAAAATTGTACCGAAAAGTAAGTTTAGGAATTGAAGTTGATGGCTTTGATCGTCGGCGGATCAAATGCTAATACAATCGACCGTCGAGACGACACGTCACACGTACTATAGTACTTACTTTCGTATTGAACATCTAGTGGTGGGCATAAAGCCACAAGGAAAAAAAGCTGTACTCATGGTGCACCCCCACTCAACAACAATAGAATGATGATGGAATGCAATACTTTCCCTTCAGCCCACATTGATCGAAGTCAACTCTACTGTGCCCCTCTTGTCACGTTCACTGATCATCTTCTCCGAACAGAAAGCACTTGGATGGTTGTGGCGATGGCAACAGTCCCCGCAATATCTGCATGGCATTTTCTGGGTGTTCACCTGTCATGTCACCTCTTTTTTCCTCTGTTTTAGTACAGAAAATGGGCGGGAAAAGTACAAAAAAAAATTCAACCTTAAATCTTTCAATTGAATCAATTTAGCTCTAAACCTTTTTACATTGATACCAATTTAGTCTATCTGATCAATTTAGGCCGGAAATCACTGACGTGGATGCCGGTGGTCCTACGTGACATCGCCGGAGCTAACGTAGATAAATTTTTTAGTTTTTTAATAGTTTTTCAGATTTTTTTAATGTTTTTTTCTTTTTTTTTTCTCTTCCCAGAATTGGTTGGCCAGTGACCCTCGCTTGGTCTGGGCAAGGGCTGCCGTGCCCTCGCCGGCCAACAGATAAGGGTTTCGGCCCTCGTCTGGATTTGGATGAGGGCCTGACGCCCTCGCCTGTGGCCGGCGAGGGCGCGGCGACCCTCGCCCAGACCAGCCTGTGGCCGATGATGATCAGCCAATGAAGTCGCCGGCCCACCAGTTCTGGGAAGAGAAAAAAATCTGAAAAAACATTAAAAAAAATCTAAAAAAATTATTAAAAAATTATAAATTTAATCCACGTCAGCACTAGCGGTGCGACGTAGGACCACCGGCGTCCACGTCAGCGATTTCTGGTATCAATTGGCCGGATGGACTGAATTGGTACCAATGTGAAAATGTTTAGGACGAAATTGGTCCAATTAAAATGTTTAGGACTGAATTTATACTAATGCAATAGATTTAAAGACTTTTTTGGTACTTTTTCAAAAAATGGGCAATTTTCACCTTCTTTTTTATAAGTCAATCCTTACTTCTCCTCGCCCTTTTATTGAGTGTGATGGGCACAAGGACTCGTCTTGTCCTGGTGGTACTGCTAATTGCTATGCATACTTTCTCCCATTGGTCAATTAAGCTAATGCGTACAACTAATTATTATCACCCGACCTCGAGGCAATACCGACGTGACGCACGTAGGCGGTCGAAATCGGGTGTTTCGTCCGATCCAATTCGGTGCCTTCCCAATTCAAGCGGGAATTTCATGAGATGGCTCCTCATTGATCTTCGACGTGCAATTAACCGCGCCGATAGGTGAATAATTATCAGCTTGCATTAGCATGACACTAATCGATATCTCGATGTATAGACAGCCATGGTTGAATCTTTCGTCCATTCGATTCGATGTTTTTTCCAAATTAGAATGAAATGCATTTGGTGGGAGATATGTAAAGAAGACATCGACATCTTTCGTTGGAGAATTTTCTTTCCCTTTTTCCGTGGTACCAAGCGCCATTTTAGTACATTATTACATAGTGCTTCTGATCCTCCCATTTCGGCTTTCGAGACTTTCAAAAATGATTTAGATGGAGACGCGAACACGGAATGGAAAAAGGAAATGGCACACATCTGACATCAAGCGGCAAGCATTTGAATCTGTAATTTGTGTATGATTTCGATTTCTCTATGGTTTGGCGAGGCATTAGCGAAGAGCACTACCAAAAGAGGGGACAACTTGACATGTCCATACCTTACCAATCGGACTTTATTAAGACCAAAAGTTAGAGATTTAATCATCGCTTGGGGAGACAGAAGGGTGGTTAATGATGGGTTTTGATTGACTAATGAAAGTGCTTTAAGCTCTTTGCTTTTGGAATCGTTCAAGGTTGTCGGGGCTCCAAAACAGTGCTGTCATTCTAAGTTTTAAGTGCAAGAATTCGGGGCATAGGAACTAGGAAGCATCTTGGGAGTTATACTTGTTTCGGATTAGTCTGATGTGTTGAGCTAATTAGTTGCATTTAGTGTGCATAAACTGGATGATCTAATGATCTTTTCAATGGTTTTCTTTCCTTCTTGAGTTTGAGTAATAATAGTTGTCATGTTCACTTTGATGATTTTGCAGAACTCTCATTCCAATTCGATCGAAAAGTCAGTGACACGTATTATCTTAATGGCGAAAAAGTTGTAATGCATGTCGAACGGGTTAAAGAGTCCCCGTATCACTTTCCAGGCTTCATGTACGTGACTTGCTCCTTTCAATGCATGCCCCGGTTTTAGATGAGATGGGTTTGTGCTGTAACCATTTGAGGAAATGTCTAACGGACGGGGCATACCCAGCTGCGCAGAGAAGACTCATCATAGAAGTTAAAAATCTAAAGCTGAGGTAAGCCTCAGGACCATGGAACATGGTCAGTTTCTCTTTCTCGGTACAAGCGTTCATGATCTTCGAGACGTGATGGATTAGAATTAATCTTGTGGTGATGCTGCATGCCGGCCCGAATGGTTCCTCCTAGGTCGCGACGCTGTCCACATCTATATTTGGACGAACTTGAATCCACCACCTGTATTATGCAATCTTACCTTAACGGTCGTGCTATGACCACGATCGCGATCACGACGAACGTGCAACACCGAGGGGTCAGATCAATAGTTGGTAGGTGGCCATCAAACACGTCCTTGTGGATTTGGATGGCATGAATTGAAAGAGAGGACTGTTGAAAGTGGTGAGTCCTATTCATTTTGAAATTCTTGGTGAGTGTGTGTGTGTGTGTTCCTTCAACTGATCAATGCACTATCTTCCAAATCCAATCGGCTACTTTTCCTCAAATCTTCATTATCTGGGTGAAAAGATGAAACTCGAGTGAATCTGAACAGAAATTCAGTTTTGACCAAAACAAAAAAGGAGAAGCAATATGAGGGAATCGAACCAACTCCCACTTTCTGCATTTGTGAAAGGCATTTTCTATGTGGTGGAAGTCCTATCACTGAAAAAGGAGCACAAGCACGTTCTATGAACTACCTCAAAAGCATTACAGGACCAACCATTTCTTCTTGCTGATTTCCTCAGCAAAAATTTCCCACAGTAAGAGGTGGGGGGCTAATTTGCATCCGAAGAATTTCTCTTTTTCAACGTTCATCTGCTGAGGAAATCAGAGGAAAGAGAGCCTTCTCGTATTGACCTTTAGTCATCGCGTATCGACCGTGTTTTAGCTACACTGCATGATTAAAAATGACTCTCCTAACCCTGTAGACCGGAATGGTCTGACTGACAAAAAAGCCGAAATGATGGCTTCAGTTTGACATGGTCCTTTGTTAGGACTTTCCTCCGTCGGATCAAGCTCATAAATAAACCTAAACAGGTGCATTTCAATTTGTTTGCTTTGGATAAAAGATGAGGTTTGAACGCGGCATTTATTTCGGAAATGTATTAACAAGCTTATGTGACATATACCTTTTAATTTTCACTGTTCATAAGTGTTAGAGTAATTAAATATTAAACCACGTCTTCATCTAATAGCTTAAGCATTTAGAACAGTCGGTAGTGGTCCCACCAAAATCTCACATAGTATCAGAGCTGGAGATCCTGAGTTCAAATCTTTTCAGGCCTCATTTGCCTCCCCAATTAAATATGTTCACGCTTAGTACTAGGCAAAACAACCAGACTAAGAGTGAGGGGGAGTGTTAGAGTAACTAAAGGGTAGTGTTAGAGTAATTAAATATTAAACCACGTCTTCATCTAATAGTTTAAATATGTCCACACTTAGTACTATGCAAAACGACCAGACTAAGCATGAGGGGGAGTGCTAGAGTAATTAAAGGAGAGTGCTCGAGTAATTAAATATTAAACCACGCCTTTATATAATAACTTAAGCTTTTAGAACAGTTGGTAGTGGTTCCACCAAAATCTCACAATAAGCGATTTATCACCTGGTTTCAGCACACTCTTTGGACTAAGAAGCCCAAATCTGCTTCTCCTGGGAAATGAAAGGTAGACCTCTAGATGGAATCATATGATATTTTTGCTGTCATTTTCACTAAGCCTTCTTCATATCGATGATATTCTAGGCTCTTAAAGGTTGTAACACCCCTATATAGTACATACAATAATATCAATAAGGTCGACGAAGTAACTCCTACTTGAATCTGTCAAAAAAAAACTCATTAGATGACTGGTCCTTTCAAAAATTTGCAGGTCATACCGGAAATTTTGGGAACCGGCATAACATCTGTTTGTTCTAAAGTTCCAATTTTTCTCTCAAAAAGCTTTCCCTTTCCCCCTCTCGCGTTTTCTGCCTCATGAAAGTTTTTTGAACAAAGATGCTGCCGCAGCTGATGCAGAAGTTCTCTTTGGAGGAAGACCCGAAGTAAAATTGAGTGACGGCAATCCATTTTCAGAGTTCGTCGTGCAGTTCATCCTCCTCCTCATCCTCCTCAAAGAGCGAGGCGTAGAACATATCCTCGTGATTAAGCATCTCCTCAAGGCTTAAATTACCGTCTTTGTTGTCGTCAGCCTGAAACTAGCGCAGCGCAAAGATGAGAGCCGGTAAAGTCATCACATGTCCTTTTCAGATATAATCACTTAATGTTCTGTTCCAAAAACTACATTTCCGATCTTAATTATAAGGATGAGCTTCTACTAACCTCGCGGATCAAATAAGCAGTGTAATATTTAGCGTGAGATAACTCTCCAGGATTCAAATAATGGAGTATTGGAATCATTTCTTCAACTTCCAGGAGTCTACATGTTGATGTCAATGAGAGCATCAGCAGATATTGGCTGTGAATATCTTTGCGGCCTCGGCAGTTTGATCATGTGCATAAAATGAGCAAAGCAACAGAAAGAAAATGGACGACAATCCAGTACGCGTACTTATTGTCGTTCACATCGAGATCGGTGAATTTCTGTTCAGGTGTGGGCACATGACCGCCATGGGCTTCAAATTCAACATAGTTCTTGTAGATATCATAGATGTGATCCGTGAACTCGTCGAGGTTGAGTTTACCATCACCGTCGTAGTCCATTCGCCTGAAAGCATAGGATCAAATAAAGCGAAAAGGAAGAAAATAAGTTCATCTAATGAGGGCATAATCTTCTCACAACGTGCAAAAAATTACCTATTTAGTAAGCTAGCAATTTGGCTAAAGACAAAGCAAGCTTGCATTATCTACTGATAAAGTACTTGAAGTTCTGATCATGGATCATGCCTTACTTCAGTTTTTGCCCGAGAAGCCATTTCTGGATTTCTGTGTTGTTACTATCTTCGGGATGCAAGAAACTGCAACAGAATGTCGATTTTTACCCCCGATCAGAATGGCTTTCTTCGAATTCTGGCGGGACAAAGAAAAAAGAAAGAAATGGGGGAAGCAATAGAAATGTACTCCATGAACTCATTGAAACTGAGAGTTCCGTTCCGGTCGACGTCGGCGTTGAGGAATTGCTCCTTCCACCACCCGGCTTCACCGTGTGCCGAGCCATTTCTATCTGTCGAAAAACTCCGTGCGTCACTTCTTCATCGTCACTACATCTCATCGTTTGTCAACGTTTCTTTGTCATTGATTTTGCTAATACTTTGTGCGTCAACAAGAAGTTAATGGGGCGAAGATTTAAATTAACCTTGTTACTTAAAAGATTGCCTCCCTCTGTATTCTTCAGAATTAAATGGCGACTTTGATCAGAGCAAGAATTAAGAAGATTAGATCGATTAATTTGTTCATGAAGTCACCTATGTCTTCATCTGAGAACTGAGGAAGGTACTCCCCGAAGGAAATAGCTCCATCTCCATCCTTGTCGAAAAACACCAACTCCTTCCGCATTTGATAGCTCAGCCGGTCGCGCGCCTGCCCCACGTTCCATGCCTCGAGCTCGTCGAAGCTGACCGCCCCGTCCTTTGGCGCGCTGTCCAACAGCGGGAACAAGAACAATAGCCTCAAGGTGATGTTGAGCTTGCCCTCGTCGGTTAAATACTCGCTCACGCCGATCGGAGAACCGGCTCCCGCGCTCGCCGGAGGGTCTTCTCGCTCCGCCTGTTTCCCTTCTCCCCTTCTCTCCAGTTCGGTCACGAGGGGGTCGAAATTCGGGAGGGACAATCTGATGCCGAGGCGGCGATTCGAGCCGCGGCGGTCGCGACCCTTTTGGCCTGCCGGGGAGAAGATTATGAAGGCGATCAAGGCGGCGGCGGCAAGGGCGTAAACCACCGCCTTTACCATTTTCCGGCGCTCGGGGGTGGAGAGAGAGAGAGAGAGAGAAACGGAGAGAAGAGGCAATGGAGGGAGGGAAGAGGCAAAGGGAGGTATGGGCGGGAAAGACGGTTGATGACGGTTAGGAGTGAGGGGCAGAGAAGAAAAGTCTGGGGAATAATAGCAAATAGCTACAAATAAAGGGGCTTTCAATGCACACTTTTTTATGAAATGTATTTTCCTGAAGCCCTCGCATTTTTATAGGAGGATTCTAGGATTTTCATCGTTGGAAAAAGAAAATTCTCTCTTGTAATGAAAAATTTGAGATAAATATTAATAGGCTGTTGGTAAATCATCAGCTCTTATTAAATTTACTTGATTGTCTAGCAGTTACTGACCATTTCGATAAATTACCGGTTTTATTGGTGTGGCTTATCACCAATCTATTAAATTCACCAATTCTGGTACGAAATTACTAATCTTAACTCGGATGAGTTACCTATTCTTCTTCGACTATTGAATTACTTACCATCTCCTTAAATAAGTCATCAACTTCATTTGAATTAATCACCAATTTTATTTAATATATAGTCAACTCCTATTTGAGTCACTTACCAACGTCAATTAAGGCCAATTCTGAATTACCAACTTTTATTCAAGTTACCAATTCTTATGTCTAATTACTAACACTGTTCGAGTTTCTCGCCAACTACTTTCAAAAAAATTTACGAAACTAGCTTTACTTTACCAACGAACTATTCTTTGATTTTGCGAGTTATAAGCTTTTCTAGACCAACTTTTATAAAAGCAAGCAGCTCTCGATTCAAATTTGACATTGTTTCAACAAAATTATCAACTTTAATTTGAATAATTTACTAACATATATTAAATCGTTTCCGAATAACCAGCTTTTCTAACAACTTGCCCATCCTCATCAAAGTTACCAACCCGGGCATGAAATTACCTAACTCTAGTTGAATTTCTCACCATTTTATTTTTTCCAACGTGGTTACTAATCAATTTTAAATTACCAATTTTTATTTAAGACGCAAACCTGGGTTGAGTTGATCGATTCTACGCAAATAAGATGTAACTAATCATATAAAAATTAGAAAGTAAGTAACTCAAACAAGAGCTGCAAGCAATGGTGCACGGACCACTAGTTCAATCACCAAATAATATTTAACGATATGGCAAGGGGTAGGGCCAGGCCGATACAAGTGTTCCTTGCCCGGACACCCGGCCTGGACCCTGCACAAGAAGATCCATTCCTTGAGGGGAAGAACAATAAAGACGAAGGCAAAAATACCATCCCAGAAACACAAACCCCCTCCCACCCCATAGGATCTTTAGATTAATGCCTTCCGCAAACGACTTTCATTTCTCAGTTACCGAGATTTGACAAGCATTCTGAACGATAATGCATACACAACAGCACTAAGGACCGTCGATAGCGCCCCCAATATCCATGTACAATGCTGATAGGAACGAGGAAGATGAGTCTATATAGCCATATGTACATCATGCGGCGATTTAGATGAGCATTTCGTGGCCCTAGGAGGAAGGAACTGAGTTAGAATTGGAATTAGTCGGCATGCATTGCAGCAGATCGCATCCAGGGCCAATCTGACTCGCAAACATCACGAGGAGTGTTGCCATCATTGTCCTTTACGTCTGTGCTCGCATTTTGCTTCACAAGGAATTTAGCAATTCCTTCTCTGTCACACACAACGGCATAATGCAACGGAGTTTGGCCCTCATCGTCCTGCCACACACAGGACAAAAGACATACCTAAATGTGAACATTGAGATAACTCCACATGCTATGCCAGAGTAAATGCACATCATCGGATGGTGTTCCTTTTAACATAGTATCCTTGACCGATCCTAAATTTATTATGACAACAAAGTTCTACTTTCCATCAAATATCTGTTTCCTTCTCTTGCAAGCATTCCTAAAAGGACTGCAACGGGATAGCTTATCTGCAGGCAAACATAAATAAAATACCTTCGCATTTACATCAGCATCCTTGCTGACAAGCAGTTCCACAACCTTTGAATGACCGCGGTCAACAGCCCAATGCAGTGGGGTCCTACCTTCACTATCTGCAATAATGTCACACTGTCTCAAAGGGTGAAAAAAAGCATAACACCGATACTCCTTTTTACTCCCATCTCAGCTAAATGAAGCACATGACATAACACACTTTTCCCCCATTGAGGTGTTATGTCACGTGCTTCATTACATGAAACTTGACAGTTGACACTACTCTTTAAATGACAAACTAAGAGCCTTGACCAAGAGAGAGAATGAAACATCGCAAATTTTCAAAATTGAGTGAAAACCAAGAACAGCAGTCCACAAATCCAAACTTGACAATTGTTTGTCAAAGAGTCACAAGATAACAGCCAGCAGGCAGCATATGTTGAATCAAAATTATTTGGTGTAATAGTTCAAATAATACATAAAAAATTTGAAGGAAAGCATTCCACTTTATTCTAATATCGGATCAAATTGTTTACAAGACATTCTTGGTTGGCTGCTTCCTTGCAACTGAAAATCACTCACTTGAGCAGATGTTGAAAGATAACAACTGCATATCTTCTAGCTGTAAAATAAAAACTGCCAGAAAGGATGGTCACCACAATTGTCGACGCCATCTCCAAACTAGGATGTTGCACTTATACAAAGCATTACACCACAAAATATTTTTCTTTTGTTGGTTTTTTTTCCCGCTATGAGAAACTATTTATCAGAGGCTTAAAACACTACAACAAGCATAATAAACTCCAGTTACACTTAGTAACTTGAAAATGCACTTCACTCTTATCTGATGTTAAATAAAATGACATAAAAGACTCAAAGCAATAAGCTGATTCCTTACCACAAAGTCCACCCACTCACATGTGCAGATTTTGTACAGGAGAAACTGCATATCCCCACCCCACCCCACATCATCAATTTTCAAAGACCTCAGCAAGCCAAGATTTAGGCTAAAGGCAAATGAGCTCAAAAAACCAATACTGCAAGAGTGATGTGAGTACCTTGACAAAATATGATATGCTAATAGAAGATGTCAAGCACTTGTCATCAGAATAAAGACTGCAAGAGCGATGTAAGTACCTTTCACATTAACTGAAACACCACCTTCAATGCATTTAAGCAAATTCTCTGTTTCGCCTTCTCTGGCAAAACCATGTATAGCATCAAGTTTCCTGAAACAGGACACAGATTGGTTATAAGTACAAAATCTTTCACACGAAATACAACCATCTCACCCATCTCTAGATTCTTTACTCTATTGGAGTCTGTTCCCAACTTTCAGTTACTAAACCTAACTCAACAAACTTTTTTGGCAGTGATTGACAACATATACATGATGATAGATAGCCCTACAGCCTAACATGAAGGTGGAGAAAGTATAACGTGCACTATACAAACGTTCTCCAAGTAATGTCAAAGAAAACTAAAGGAGAACGTTAAACTAATCTTTAAAGGAGGCAACCTAGCAATAGCAATACAAGCAACTTACGACTCAGTTCCAGGTTCCTCATGCACAAATGTGCTAAAAACTGGCCCCATCGGTCCTTTGGCCTCTGAAGTTGGTGCATCACCTTGACTGCCTTTGCTCTTCTACAGATTCAAGCACAGAAAATAGGACCTACTCAAACGGGGACTCACAAAATCTTAAATACCGGCAAAATGGACTTCAAAGGATTAGATCTCACCATACTTGAGCCAGCAATCCAAGAAGGATACAGCTCAGTAACAATGTCGATGTACTTCTGCATTGCTTCTTCAGGTGGCATTGCACCCAATTTATTCCATGCTTGCCTGAACCATCCCCCAATATAAATCTCTCAGCTAGAGTAAAACTTCACTTCGCTTCAAATATAGTAGTTTGAGGTAAAAACAAGCAATCATCTACCAAAATCAAGCCATGCTAACATCATCCGTTAAAACGATAGAGCATTTTGGTATAAATTCTCAGCTACCCTGACATACTCAATAACACCATTTCCATTATTAAAAGTTGGTCATCTGCATATACACGGGGTAAAGCGAACTGACGGCTGACCGGCACAGTGATACTCCACAACAAATCTTGCCAAGGCAAGAAAAGCTAGGAATGAAGCACCCACATGTCCTCGAGATGAAAGTAAGAGATGTGAAGGTGCTTTGTTGGTTCTGTGGGCAGTCATGAGGAGCTAAGACTTAGGTTGGTGTTATCCAAATTGAGTAAAAAAATCCTCCTTTAAGTAGGTATGAAAATGCAACATTGGCGGCTTTCAAAAGCCCTAAATAGAAGATCCATATTCTTTGATGGAACAGCAAACTAAAGTGGAAAGGAGATCTAAAAGTACATGAAAGGCAGAGACCCAGTACAAGGAAAAATCAAGAATATTTAATTCTCATTGAAGAATTGAAACAAACAAAGCAAAATCCCCAGAGAGGATCCATGTAGCCAACTCCACTCAGTAGTTGCTATGACCGGACTTGGTTGTTTTATTTTGTTTGAAAGAAACTACTCCTTTTCGTCCTTATACTTTCACAGTTTTTTCCAATCAAGTCCTCATCCTTTCAATTTCTCTAATTGAGTCCTTCTACTTACATAAAATGTTTAATTGAGTCCCCCAGACACAAAATCTAGCTAAATCCAATTGTCGGAGGACGCCAAAGTGTGACGTGAATTAAAATATTGCCTATGTGCACACTTAATGTAGATAGTTTATTAGCAAGAGCATAAACAAACAAATTAACAAAATTCAATTAATTCAATATCAGTGAAGTACTTCGACTACTTCATTCCCTCCCTGTACTTCGAGCTGTACCTTGGATATTGAATTAATTGAATTTTTTCAATTAAAAAACGGAATATTTCCTTCGAGATTGAAGTAGTCGAAGTACAGGGAGGGAATGAAGAAATATTCCCTTTTTCAACAGTAAAAGTTAGTAGCTCACAAGGTACAGCTCGTAATCTTATTAAAGAAGCCCGCTTCAATGCACCACACGGCTTAACCAGGTGGAATTTCCAAGGCCCTTTCGATACAACCCTTGGATCCCAATTCTCAGGCATCTACAAACTGTTGTTCTCTTGAGTAACTGTATAGATAGTGCATAATCATCTGAAAATCTGAAGGGAACAATGCTGTATTCCCTTAGAACTACTCTACATCAGCACTTCAATGAACCACCTGCAGTCTCTTCTTATAATGGACTGTGCTATAACACCTACAACATTAACTCTGAGAAGTTCCGGAGGTAGACGAAAGCCCTGTTGCAATATGACTAACTCTACATCAAAAGCACCACTTTTTCCTCTTTCTAACAACACCACGGTGATGTTTCCCTAAATCAATATCAGTGTCACCAACAACCTCTTCCCTCATTTTTCTCGTCAACCTAAATCAATCAACTTCATCAAAATAACCTAGATAGCAAGAACATAAAACCACGGATGGACAAAACCTACCACTTAGCCCTCGCGGTCATTTTCAACGCGGATGGCTGTGGCGCAGTGCATGGCCCTTCGGTCGCAATTTTATACAAACCATACAGCTGCAACTGAACATCACTCGACACTCTCTGGGAAAGGCGATCGGCCGCGGCCGCCGCCACGAACGCCGTCGCCGCGCTGAACACCTCGTCCAGCTCCGTGCTCTCCACTCCCTCCCAATCGCTATCGCTCCCCTCGCCGCCGCCGCCGCCGTCGTCATCGTCCTCCGTCCCCGCCGCGCTCTCGTTCCTCACGCTGCCGTGCTCGGCCACCACCGAATCCGAATCGCGCGACTCGCCGGAGCCGTCAGCAGCGCCGCCGCCGCCGCCGCCGTACTCAGCTGCATCCCTAGCTCCCGAGTCCGGCTTTGCCGGCCGCGCGGCGGCGGCGTCGGCGGCGGGGGCGCGAGCGACGGCTAGGCCTTCGTCCCGGAAGGTGAAGAGCAGGGAGATCAGCTTGGCGAGGAGGTAAGAGAAGATCAGGCCGATGAAGACCGATTGCAGGAGGGGTTGCCAGTCGCCGCCCATGGCTGCGCCGATCTCGGCCGGGACGACGCGACGGGGCGATCGGAGAACCTTGGGGGGGGGGGGGGGGGGGGGAGGAGGAAGAGGAAAATACGGCCGGACGAGGAGGAATCGCAGCCCTAGCTCGCCGCGCGGATCATCGGAGGCGAGAAAACCCGGCGGCGGCGGAAACCCTGGAATTTTTTGGGGATTTGTATAGAGGGATAGAGAGAGAGAGAGAGAGAGAGAGAGAGAGAGGAGCGCCGAAGAGAAGGACAGCAGAGCGGGGCGGCGGCCGGTGGGGGGTGCGGCTGGGCGTTTTGTTCGAGCTTGGCTCTGGGGTGGCGATCCTGTGGCTCCACGTGCGGCGGCACGCGCTGCGAGGGGAAGGGGGGGAGAGATCGCCTGATCCCACGGACCACGGGCACTTACCGTGCGCGCGCGCGCGAGGCTGCGGACTCGGGCGCGGGTCGGGTCGCCGTCTCTCTCGGGTTTTTGGGCCGGCGGTCCATATCGAGAAACCGCGGTGCGATGAGGCTGGCCCACCATCCTTTTGATTTGCATCGATCCACGGCCCATGATCGAGAGCCCATTTAGCATCTCAATCGAAAAAAACATTCTTTTCCCCTATAGGCTTATACGCGGTCACCCGATCATAATCAATCAAGTCATTGAATTTTCCAAATTCGTTCATCATCGGAGCCTTCAAATTCTCCTTTTGGGTCCACGGGTCTAGGCCAAACTCCAATCTGGATTGTGTTGAAGTAGGAAGCAAGAATTTGCAACAAAAGGACGAATACTCTGAGGACAAAGACCCTTTTGTTGGATGTCATCAATTAAGACCTTGCAATCACTTTCAAAAATCGCTTTCCAGATGTCAAGGGACTGAGCTTAATTACAAGTCAGAAGGAGAGCTGCTGCTTTCGCCTCCATCGGCAAGTTACAACGTCTTCTCCTTGTCCAAACTTGGACTATGGAGCCGCTAGCCGATCATACAATTATACCTATTGGAGCCTTCAAATTCTCATTATCTTCTTAAAGTGATCTTCTTTACCCTTCATTGAACAAGCAAATTACGTACCGAATCGAAACACTTTGGGGGCTGGTTCTGGGTTGTTAATTCATGGGTTCTGTGACGCTCTACACCATCGTTTCCGTTCAAGGGATAATGGTCCAAGAAATCCTAAACCTATTGTACGTCGGTCAATTCAGTTCTAAATCTTTCAATTGTACCAATTTAGTCACTCCGATCAATTTTGGCCGGAAATCGCGGACGTGGATACCAACAAGCTTATGTGACACGATTGATACTGATGTGAATGTTTTTTGAAATTCTTTTTTAAAATTTTATGATTTTTTTTCCTTTCCTTTTTTTCCCTTTACTTTTCGCCAATGACCGGTCTCAGGCAATGGTCGGCAAGGGTTGGGCCTTGCCTATGGTTGGCCGCTGGCTAAAAGAAAAGAGAAATAAAAGGAAGAAAAAACAAGAAAAATTTATAAAAAAATTTCCAAAAATCATCCACGTCAGCGCCGGCAAAGCCACGTAGACCAACCAATGTTTAAATCAACGATTTCCAGCCAAAATTGACAAATTGTCAAAAAGTTTAGGACTAAACTAGCACAATTGTGAGGTTTAAGACTGAATTGGCTACCGTACAATAAGTTTATTACTTTTTGGAAAATTTTCCCTCCCGTTAAATGATGCACGAGTTCCGGAAACGAGAGGTGAATCATTATGGTTTGGACGATTGATTTAAAGAGCCCAAGGTCTCGAGACAAACCATTCTTTGTCACCACGTTCGAGCAATGTAACGAGATGTGACTAGACCGACAGGCCGGCCCGGGATCAAGTATCGAGTTAACGTGCACATGCCTTTAAACCGATCATCGAACGAGTGACCGATATCTTGGAAGGGGCATGTAAATCAATTCTGGCCACCATCGGCTGTCGGTGAGGTTTTTGGTTGAGATGCTCCTTTCATTCCTGTTTTTAGGCCTGGACATGAGTACCACGACGATCGTTTGCCTCCATATGTAATGTCGATTTGACCCCAACTAAAAGAGTAGGCATTGGTTTCTGATACCTGGCTTTCTAAGTGGACCCTCTTGACACATGGCCATGAAAAATTTACCGTGTCGGCGCCGTCAAATTTAATCCCTCAATCGAGAAAAATTATCTAATCAATTCTAAACTTCTTATACGGATGTTGATTTCAATCTCTAACTTTTCACTTTTGCCAATTTAGTCAACAAATTTGCGTAGAATTCCAATATAGTCATTCTGATCAATTTTCGTTGGAAATCGCTGACGTAACGATTTGGTCATTACTGGTCGTCTTATGCGGTGCACCGCCACGTCATCAAATTCAGGCAAAAAGTGGCCGAAAAGATTATATTGAAATTTCGCACAAAGATTTACAGCTAAATTGGCTAAATAGGGTTGAGTGGACAATTTCCTCCATTAATTGTCCCTAACTACTTTGCTATTCACGAATTCAAAGATGTCTCGATGCTACATGCTACCCCACTCGATGTACTAGTAATCTCTCTCTGTGTGTGTTTTTTTTTTATTCCATCAAGATATGATTCAATCAACTTGGAATAGTATATTTTACCATATAGTCAGTGGCCTCGTTTACATCCATCTCATGCGCCACTATGGGTATTTTATGCTAGATTTTAGGAATGAGATTTATACAAAATCTCACATTAATTGGTGATCTTGCGGCTTGTAAAAGAGACCACACAAAAAAAAGAATTCTTGGTCATGAAAGTGTCTTCATCTGCACCACAATAAATCTTAAGTCTTTCTACGCGAATCCTACCGGATATAACGACGTATTGGGTTCATTATAATTCCACAATAACAAGTTTAATGAAGGGATGATGACACAATGATCCTGAATTTTGACTCAATACGTAATGTGATTCCTGAACTTTTGGTACATATTCAATGTACTACATTGAACATTTTTATATAGTTCAAAGACTATATTGAACATGTACCCAAAGTTCATGGACCACATTGAATAAATTAAAAGTTCAGGGACTACATTGTACATTGGGTTAAAGTTCATGGATCATATTGAACAAATTAAAAGTTTAGGGACCACGTTGTACATTGGGTCAAAGTTCGAGGACTATTTATGTCATTTTCCCTTTAATGAATAATCTCTCGTTCCTTAATTTAACTGCGTATCACTGTCATTCCTCTCTCATGTGCGGGAACTGCGATTGCATGCACGTCAAATCATCGAGATTAGGGTCGCGAGGTCCGCCCGGTTTCTCTTTCGAATACTAGTTACGTCGAAGAACGCGCCGCATCGGGTGATTACGATAATACCAACGAGTACACACTCGATAACGACTATACGTTAAAGAATTACATGATCGAGACACTGTATCAGATTGCTTGCACGTATCTGTTTCCTGGGACAGTGAATGATGTGGCTCCAATCGGTACCGAGCCACTGTTTCCTCATTCAATAGCGACGGCCGCGGCACGTGATGAACGCCATTCCAAAGGCTACAGGTTAAGAACGGTTGTTGGGAAAGAAACTCGGGATTTTTTTCACTTAGGATTCGTAGGAAATGGCCGACAGAAGAAGTCGACCCTCGACCAGCAGCAAATCAAGAACTGCCCTTTGCCCTTTGGTTTTTTTGTCAAGTGTTTTGTGTCGTGATCTGCTCCGGCGATGGGATGATCATCGGATCGGATCGTATCGGTTCATCCCTCCCCAAGCTGACGAAGCTTCCTTACAATCTAGAGATAGAACCCGCGGATGTGGACGCAGCAAAGTGAATGATTTCCGGCTCCGCTTTCATTAAGCCTGAATCAGCCAATCGCAGCTGCAGCTGCAATTGCGTGCGCCGGTACTGCCGTGCAAGTTGGGACGACTCCTTTGGGGGAGAAATCTACTTTGGTGATCTTATCCCCCATGAATTTTCGGACCGCGGGATTCGGGGTCGCCCGCTAAGTACCGAATTCATCGAGCAAAATTACGCGCGTGTTCTCTGGCTCTCTTTCTACCTCGTGGAGGAAATAAAGTAATTAGATAGCACACATGTTTTTTGGATCTCCCGTTGGCGACATAGACATTCGGGTTATCGTTTCTAACGGAACGATCCATAAAGAGGTCATAACGGTCCAATATGATCGCTTTCTTTTTATGACTTCGAGCCATGTCTTTTTCATTGCATGAGGGTAAAAATTTTCACGTTTGTACGCCGATGCGGGCGGAAGAGAGACTCGGGGTTAGGTGGAATATCAATTCGGGGTAAGACCCGTCATTTGGGACTCCATTGCAAAAAAAAAAAACAACGAGACGTTCTTCCTAAACGTGGGCTGTGATGTAGCGGCATGTGATTTTGCACAAAAAGGAGTCGTCCTCTAATTATGACTAAGGACACTAAACTTTTCCTAATTCTCTTGCTTACAAATTGGCATGGTGATGCACCTAATGATCACATGTTTGATTAGCTCATTCCATTAGAATCTGGATGTGAAGATACAAAGACACAACACGATTGATAGCATCCGTCCATCATTCCTCCACTTTGCGCATCTCTCTCTCTCTCCCCACCAAATGCTCTCTCCCGTGGCCGTGGCCACGCCGAGTTTGGGATGGCTATCGTCGGACGAAGCCGACCGGTCCAAAGAGGACCAGGGTGGCATCGCCGGCGTGCCAAGGAGGTGGAGGGCGGGACGGCGATGGTGGAGGAGGACGAGACAAGGGCAGGGCGGGAGTGGAGTTGTTTCGATCGTTGAGAGAGAGGGAGAAGAAAGCCCAAAGGAAAGAAAAAGATACCGTCCCAACCGGGGGAACCGGAGCATATAGACACCGGCATGTTAAAATAAAAAAGAAATGTCAAATGTCAGATAGAGAGAGAGAGAGGGAAAGGGGTGGGTGAAGATTGAAACCGAATGATGTTGGTTTTTTTCTTTAAAGAAATATTTCTTGAATTAGATACTATTTAGGGCTTTTTCATTTCATTTAAAATTTCCAAGAAGGTGATTGAGAGGGACATCGAAAATTTCGACCTGCCCGGAAAACATCAGCACAACTAAAACTTATCCATTCTATAAAGAGATAAGAAACCGATGATAAAGATCCATATCCTTCAATTGTAGTAATCATTTAGTGGATAATTGAATGGGGAAGGTGCAAATATTTTCTCAGTCCTGTAGAGAAAACACATGAATACAAGAACATATGCGGTTGACTCCTCATGCATTTGCTTGATCGTTTCTTCCTCCACAGATCGATGCACCAACAAGGAGAGTTTGCACAGCTATCATGGTTCTCTCGTCGTGCACCGAGACCCCCGTCGGGGAGTACATATCTGCGAATA